CCGTCTGCCTTTTTAGAGGTAGTGGGCGCCTGCAGGAGGACCCATTGTGTGTGTGCGTGTGTGTGTGTGGGACCTAGAACCAAATCCTCTCCTCCTCCGCCCACTCATACACCCCGGCGATGGGCTCATTTGATGTCACCCCGTAAATTCGATGAGGAGCCCACCCAGCTGTAAACTGACCCATGATGCCTGTCGGGAGGGCCTGGGCAAGAGGGCAAAGCCACCCCCCCCCCTTCTCTCCTGGCCAGCGTCGCGCTGGGGGGAGGGCGTGAGGGCATGAGGGACCGTGGGCGGATCCCCCAGCAAAGCACCGCCTGTTGGGAGTTTGCCGCCTTGCCCGTCGCCGTACAGGTGAGTGACCCTTAATCAAGCCCAGGATCCACACTGCCTGGACCACGTCTGCTATTGTGGTCAAGAAAAGAAACAGAGAGAAAAACAGAACATGGGTAGCCGCGCATCACAGGGGGGCCCTTGAACAGATTCAGGGGCAGATGCAGGTACGGGCGCTGAAGATGGTAACATTGATCCAACCACCTCCCTCCATCTGTGCCTGGATTTCGGGTCAACGACCAGGATTGAACAGGGGGCTGGGAAGGGGGGTGTGCAAGGATTGGATTGGGGCCCCCATCGCCGAGGGGGCCGTGAGATGGTATTATGGGACAGTACAATGAAAGACCCAGAGTAAGGTAAGTGTGTGTATGTGTGTGTTGTGTGTGTAGGATCTTCGTCCCCTCCTTGGTCTCGATCGACTTGTCTATTTACCACACTGCTTTTCGTTCGGGTGATTTGCCCGCAAGACCTGTGCTGTGACGTGACGATCCGTCGAACATTCCCGTCACTGTACTTTGATTTGGTCAATACCTGGATGCCAAGGTGGCCGAAGTGTGCTCCAGTGGCCTTTGTCCTTTCTCTCTTTCTTCTTTTCTTTCCTTTCCCAGTACCATACCATGCTATACCATGCCATAGCCATTAAGGTTCAGGTCGGCGATGGACAGCCACCCCCCCTCTCCTTACCCCTCATCCTCATCCTCCTGCTGCTGCTGTCTTTTCCCCATGGAGGGGAGGAAGCATCAGCGACATTAGTGAGAGTATTTCGGGAAAACGCTATACAGCAACCCAAAGAAAAAAAACCGGGGGGCGGGCTCATCCGCTGGTCAGCGATCGTCTCTGCAGCCGATCCTATTCTTGCAAAGAGGCCTAGGCCACCAAAAGGCCAGCCAAAGACGTCCGAACAAAGTTTGGCCCAGGCGCGCAGCAACTGAAAAGGAATCAAAAGCCAGATCCTGTCCCTGTATACTCCCCCCTCTCTCTCCCCAATGAATCCCAATCGCCACGACCACGTTTTCTCACGGGCCCTAGCGCGCGCCGTTGTGTCTTGTAGATCTCTCTCTTTCTCTCTCTCTATCTTTCTGAGTGTCTCGTTTCCAGGCGGCTGGGTAACACTAACCTGATGCTTATCCTCCCGTGCCACATCCGTGGGCGGCTAGCAGCAGTAGCAGCACAGCACCACCACCATCACATCACATATGCCGGGTCCTATGATCGTAGTGTGTGAGACGCTTGCGATGGCGGCTTGCATCCGTGCCTTGTAGGGTCCTGTCCTGTCGGGCCCCCCTTCTGACAATCGATTGGATTGCTCTTCGGTACCGAGGACCTGTTTTACCCCTCTAGGGTGTTCTTTTTCGAGCATAAGCCCAGCAGAGCGAGATTGGCGCGCAGGCGGGAGCGAGATGAGTGGGCCTCCCCTGCCCTCCCTATTTTCTCTCCCAGCTTCCCAGGGTTTTAGGCTTTCCACAACGGCCATCCGACTCAACTAACCGCGAAGCCGTCAAGCCTGGTTGCCTGTCATCCAAGCTAAGAGAAAAGGCGAACGCCGCACCAGCGGATGACAGCGGGACGGCGGATGATGGTTGGTTCTTGTTTCCTGAGCTGAAGAGAACCAATGGCCCGGCGCCACCCCTTTCGTAGCGCTGCCGCCCAGAGTACGCCACATTTGAACTGAAACACTCGATTGTGATTTGACTGTAGAGGGGTTTGCTGTTGTTTGCCTGGTTTTACTATTGCCAACATTGTCGTTCTCGTTGTCGATATGATTAGATGGATAGCACTGATTTTCCTTCATTTTCTCTTTATCCCGAGGAAGATTGGCGACTCGCGCTCCATAAGCTGATCTGTTGGTCTAGAAGCCTCCATAGACCGAAAGTGCTTCACCATTGGCCTTCGTCTGATCTGTGACCCGAGTTTGTTTGCTGGGCTCATCACCGCTGATCCATAGCATCTTTCGTAGGGGGGATCCACACCTGAAGCGGGAAATTGATGACGAGAAACAAAAGAGAGCGAAAAACAAAAAAGCTTGGCCTCTCGGTAGCAGTCACTGATCGGCAAACCTTTTTTTTTTCTTCCCCTTTGCTGCATGCACCATGACATCGTGAAGCTTCTTCCTGTGCTGTCGATGCTTGTCTGTTGTAGCCTGCTCGCACATTATGGCCCAGAACGGTCGGTACCCATAATCATCACCAGAGAAGAGGGGAAAATCGGCACGCCCCTCCTCGTCGCCTTCCTCTGTTACTGGGAGGATGCGAGGGGACGGGAGGCTGAAGACTTGTCGAGATTTCCAGGACCCTCGGCGTGGTTCAGGGCCTGTGTAGGCTAGCAGGGTTGAAAAGGAGGTGTGGTGTTTCACGACCCAGGCCCTGTTGCCTGTCATTGGTGGACGTCGAGATGGACTATCCCCATCAGGAATCTCCTCGCCCACGCCCCCTTCCCTCTCTCTCCTTCCTATCTATCCTCGCACCCCCCCCCTTTAAATTTTTTTTTATTCTCCGTCTTCCTGGGCACTATAGTACATAGTACTTCATACTACGTACCATGCACCACCATGCACCGTTACGCTCCATGGTAAGAGAAACCTGCCGAATTGCTCAGCCTCCCGACGCGCAGCGCCAGAGGTTGTCATGCCATGGTTTGCGAGATTGGAAAGGGTCCACAGCAACGCGGAGGGGGGTGGACATGGTTTGAACGGGAAATCACACCCCCCCCCTTCCCCCTTCCTCTTCCTCAGTCTGCACCTTCAATCTGACGGCAAGCATCATCATCTAAAAAGCTTGCTTTGCTGGTCTTGAGAGGGAAGGTGGGGGGGGGGGGGTGCGGTAATAAACCTCGGAGATGATGATGACAACCGCCTACTCAAGCGTTGTTTGAGACATATTGTCCCGAACGGAGGGGCGGACGCTCGAAAAAAGGTCCAAAAGAGAGCCCTCATCTCGCTTTTACTTACGCAACCACCTGAGGCTAACGTGAGTACACCCCATGAGATGATTGATGAGATGGGAGGAGCCCTTGTTTTAATTGATTGAATTGGTGATGATGACGATGAAGTTTTTGCTGGCCGAGATCCCGATCCCTCCAGCCTGATTTCCCTTGACATGGCCATACTCAATAGTATGTGTTGGGATATTACCCGCCGCGTGTTCATGTTGCAATTGAATGAGATGTTGACTTGGGAAGAAGAACGAAGAGAAGCAGGCAGGATGCCTATTCGTATTTGGCTTTCTTTATTGCCCTTGCTTTCTCTCGTTTGTTGACTTGCTGTAAAAAGTTCGCTTCCTGTAGGTTTCTTTCCCGGGCTCATCATCAACTAAACGGACTCACCAAGCTGTCCATTTTTTCACCCTTTTCTCTTCCTTTTTTCTTCTATTCACCTTTTCCCCTTTCCCTCCCAAAAGATCTGACTCAGGCCTCCTTCTCGTGGCAGGCGATACTGCAGTAGAATACTAATGACTCTCCCTCACCGCCCCGTTGTTCGCCAAGACAGCCTCTTTACGACACAAGCTCGACCTCAGCCTCGGCCCATCTCCGACGTAAAAAAGTTGACCGCCCAATGAGACTGTGAAGTTCTTGTCGCCGTCGATCTACCGGCAGCACGGCGACCATTTTCCTTTTCTCTTTCTTTCATCTTCGGCCTGGAAGGGACGAGTACTGTAGCAGGCTCATCATCGATCGACCTGCAAGGCTGTGCTGGGTACCGCTCGGATCCCCGTCTCAGCCAGTCAACACGGGGGAGGCACTTTCTTTACCTAAGGCCAACCCTCTTTCAAATGATGCGGTGCCACTACCTTTTTTCTTTTGCTTTTTAGGCTCAAGATCGACACCGCCTTGCCTTTGCTGCTTGGACGGACGTTTCGTTTTCGGGATGTGAGACCTACTATGCACGTGCTATGTAACAGTAGTCAATTACCATAGCACTTATTAAGTATCCTCCGCGGCGCGCACGGCAGAGAACAACACAGGCTTTTCCCTCCTGGGCGTTGTAATCAGCTGGACGCACTCATAATGCACCCTAGTCTTCCTCCTTTCGTCGTCTGAGGCGGGAAGGCAATGCCGGACACGAGCTCCTGTATCCGATGTCTTGTGTTTTCTTGATACGAAGTAGGCTACCACATATGAGATGTGAGAGGAATTTCCGAAACCCTTAAAACTCCTTGAGATTGATCCTTTCTGAAGAAGAAGACAAAGACTCCCCCAAACCACCCATACGATTTTTGCTGAGTCAAGTCCAGTGATTGTAATTTCCTATCCCAAGAAACCTGCTTGCCTTGCTTGTTAGTTTCTAGCTGTTCCACTACGAAACAGCAATCTGGATTGCAGGGCGGGATAGACTGGGGGCAAAATCCCCGAGGCCTCCTCTAATGCATGCATGCATGCTTCCCATGAACCAAAACAAGCATCCCCGTGGCTAAGTCCAGAATTGTTTCCTCCAGAACGGGCCAGCGAGTCAATGGTTTCGTTCGACCTGAAACCTGGGCTGGGCGGTCCTACCATTACGTCTTTGTGCTGGCCCTGGGGCCCGGTGGGCTGTGCTAGAGCCTAGTATCCAACCCTGAAATGTCCCGGATACGTTCAATATTTCTTCTCTCGCGAGGCGGTCGACGCGTTTTGAACACCGTCTGGACTCGTGGCATTGATGAGCACATCGATTTCACTCGAAACGCTCCAGGGCATAAGTGAGACTATTCTCTTTTTCAAGCGCAAATTGCTCTCATTCTCGTTCCCAAGACAACTACATAGAGATGTACGCACATCAAACATGATCCATCATCAGTGCCTAACAAGCGAGCAAGATGACAATCACCGCAGTGCATGTTATTGCGATCAAAATTAATCATCATATTTCCCAACGCCGACGAGTTTTTTTTGTTTTTGTTGGTTTAAACTCGATATCATCCCGAAGATGATTATTGCCCACGATAGTCCCGTTGAGGGTAACCTATCTTATGATTCCGAACCACACACACCACCTTTTCCCAACCATGCTTAATGGGTATATGTTGAATGTGACGCCGGATCTCCCTTTCTGCCCAAGAATGCCTCTTTTTTGGTTGACAAAAAACAAAAGACAAAAACTCGCTAGTTACCATGGCTTGAACCTAAAACGCCGATGTTGAATTCGTCAAGGTCGTTCGTCGAGAACGACCCGATGGAATGATCAGTGTCAACAAGGTTTGTGTGTTATGCCTTGTGACGGCTGTCCGCCTCGAGAGGGCGGACTTTGTGTGTTGAACTGGTTTACTTCGCGTACTTGGCACGGAAATGCTTGGCAGCGCTGACCATGTTGAGAAGAGCCTCCTTGGTCTCCTTCCACTGACGGGTCTTCAGACCACAGTCAGGGTTGATCCAGAGCTGCTCAGGGCGCAGGTACTGCAGCATCTCCTCAATGCGGTCCTTGATCTCCTGCTCGCTGGGAACACGGGGAGAGTGGATGTCATAGACTCCAGGACCGATGTGACGGGGGTACTGAGAGTCGACGAAGACTGTCAGCAGCTTGGCGTCAGACTTGCTGTTCTCGATGGACAGGACATCGGCATCCAGAGCCGCGATGGCGTGGAAGAAGTCCTGGAACTCGGAGTAGCAGAAGTGAGAGTGGATCTGGGTGGCATCCTCCACGCCAGTGGTGGACAGGCGGAAGGCCTTGACGGCCCAGTCCAGGTAGGCCTCACGCTCCTTACCGGCGCGCAGAGGGAGACCCTCACGGAGGGCAGGCTCATCGACCTGGATGACGTCGATGCCGGCCTTCTCGAGGTCGACGACCTCGTCACGGAGGGCCAGAGCCAGCTGCTCGGCCTGAACAGACTGGTGGACGTCGTCACGAGGGAAAGACCACCGCAGGCAAGTGACGGGTCCAGTCAACATACCCTTCATGGGCTTCTTGGAGACAGACACAGCGTACTTGGACTCCTTGACGGTCATGGAGGCGGGACGAGAGACGTCACCGACGATGATAGGGGGACGCACGCAACGGGAACCGTAGCTCTGGACCCAGGCGTGGGTGGTGAAGGTGTAGCCCTTCAGCTGCTCGCCGAAGAACTGCACCATGTCGTTACGCTCAGGCTCACCGTGCACGAACACGTCGAGGCCAAGCTCCTCCTGGATCTTGACGTTGTCCTCAATCTCCTTCTCGATGAACTTCTCGTACTCGGCAGCAGAGATTTCGCCCTTGGTGAACTTGGCACGCTGCTGGCGGATCTCCTTGGTCTGGGGGAACGAACCAATAGTGGTGGTAGGGAACAGGGGGAGGTTGAGCTTCTTCTCCTGCTGAGCGATACGCGAGGTGAAGTCGGACTTGCGGTCGTAGTCAGAAGCAGCAATCTTAGCCTGGCGCTCCTTGACAGTAGGGTCGTTGGTGCGCTCGGAGGTGGCACGGGCCTGGACGGACTTGGCATTGGCCTCAAGCTGCTCGCGAACGGAAGCAGGGCCCTCGGTGACAGCCTTGGCAATGACAGCCAGCTCGACGGCCTTCTCGCTGGCGAAGGAGAACCAGTCGGCAATCTCGGGGTCCAGCTTCTTCTCGCTGGCCAGGGTGTGGGGGGTGTGCAGGAGGGAGGACGAGGTGGCGACAATCACGCGCTCAGCACCCAGCTTCTGGGTAGCGGCCTCGACCTTCTCGATGGCACGCTTGAAGTTCGTCTTCCAGATGTTGCGGCCGTCAACGACACCAGCAGACAGGATGGTCTTGGGACCGAGGGCATTAATGACGGTGTCCAGCTGCTCGGGGTTGCGGACAAGGTCGATGTGGACAGCGTACACATCCTTGGGCACAGCCTCCAAGTTGTGGACGATGTCACCAAAGTAAGTAGTGAAGACGAGCTGGGGGATCTTGTCACCCAGGCCGGCGAACTTCTGGTAGGCGGTCTTGAAGGCGGTCTTGGTCTTGGCGGGCAGGTCCAGGACAAGGACGGGCTCGTCGATCTGGACCGTGTTGGCACCAGCCTGCTTCAGCTTGGCGAGGAGCTCCTCGTAGACGGGCAGGAGCTTCTCGAGCAGGTCGATGGGGTTCACGGATTGGCCACGGTCGGCCTTGCCGAGGTGCAAGAAGGAGACGGGACCAACGAGGACGGGACGGGTGGCGATGCCAGCCTCCTTGGCCTCGAGGAACTCAGCGACGGCCTTGGGCTTGGCAGCCAGCTTGAAGCTCTGGTTGTCCTGCAGGGTGGGCTTGACGTAGTGGTAGTTGGAGTCAAACCACTTGACCATCTCCAGGGAGGGGACGTCGACGCCATCCTTCTGGTGACCACGACCCATAGCAAAGTACTCATCAACGGTGTTCAGGCCGGCGCTGGAGTAGCGCTCAGGGACGGCCTAGAGGGCGAGGGGTTAGCACAATGCTATTCCAGAACAACGTGAGATGGGCGTGTAGCGGCAGGGTTGGATACTTACACCAAAGTCCTGAATGTGGCTGAGGACCTGGTCGTACAGGGCGAAATCGTTGGAGGGGATGAGGTCGACGCCAGCATCCTTCTGGATCTTCCAGTGGGCGAGCCTCAACCTCTTGGCCTCGGCGAGGAGCTCATCCTGAGAGATCTTGCCGCCCCAGTCTGAATATTGTTGTTAGCAAAACCATTCTCCGTGTTGTTTGTCTCATTGTTTTGATAAATCGAGCCGATGGAGACGGGCGAGCAAAGATTTTAGGTCACTAACAAGCCTCGGTAGCCTTCTTCAGGTCACGGTTGACTCCCATGCGAGGGAAACCGAGGATGGCGGACTGAACCATTGTGATTGATGTGGCGGAGGACCCGAACCGAACAATTGACCACTTCTTGGGATGTCTGGTGGTAAAGGGAAGGTCAGCATATGTGCTCAGAAAAACTCTGCCTAGCTCATGCAGCTGTAGAGAGCTGGGGTTGGAAGGAGGGCTTCGAGGCTCGGCACAGCTGGTGGTCACATACAGATAGTTGGGCAGGAGCAGACCTGTTTCGACTCTCCACGTCCTTGATAGGAGAGATACAGGAGAGAAGGGGGGAGGAATGTTGAGGGGTGGGATGGGCGTTTGGGAGAAGAGAGAAAGAGAACAAGAGGAAGAGCAAACAAGAATGGGCACCAGCCGCTTTTTAGTAGCAGTATGTGTGTGGCATGGCCAAAATGGCCGAGCAGCGGTGTGGTATGTGACAAGCTCGAGCTTGCAAGGGAGGAGCAGTCATCAGCAGCATCAGTAGCGGCAAACGGCATCAGCAGCGCCAGCGCCGCCAACTAGCACTTGCTAGCACCAACAAAACGAACCACACAGTCCGAGCCCAGCTTCCAAGCCAGCTGTAGGAGGGGTAAAAGCCGCCGAGGGTCAGGGGCAGGGTCTGGACTGAGGGGTAGCTCAGGCTCCCCCATGGGCGTGCACTACTCCCCTGTAAGACCGGGGACATCTGCACTGCGAAGAAAAGAAAGAAGAAAAAAAGAGTTTTCAAGTGTAACTGTTTGCAGGGATCCTGCATACCGTAAGTACCTACTGTGGCCCATTGTTACTGGTTTAAGGGCCTCATCAGAATATTAAGCAGCGAACCCCCTCTCCCTCCCCAATGAGCAAGCTGCATATTAGCGAGGGGCCTTACTCACGATAGGCGCTTTCTGACTCTTTCGTGTATGTGTGAAGGCTTCAAGACTGAGGTAAACCGACGTCAAAATGGCGCGATTGGTACAGTACGTCTTCACTTGTCCGCACTACGTCTTGCCACATGCAGCCCTGAAGGATTTGATTTGCGGGTCCTCATCCTCTCACCCACCCTCCTCCGGACTCCGGCCCGCCGATATTCACCTTTGAGAAACGGAGCCGATGTAAAACAGATAGGTCGCCGAACCTTTGAGCTCGGAGACTTTCTGGCCTTTTCTACTGTACATTAAGTTGGGAAGGGTTTTCCTTTGCTTCTTTCTCTTCCTCTTTTATTTATTATTGTTATCTTTTCGTCTCTGCCTTCCTTCACGGAGCATTTCAGAGAGGCAGGAAGCAGATACTCGATGCACACAAAAATCTGTCGTGAATTATCTGCTCATTTCCTTCTTGGCGCCATGATCCCGCGCAATGTACCCCCCTTGGTAGCGGAATCGGAACCTTCACGCAAGGGACTGACTGCGGCTGACTCGCCACCAGCCTTTGAGTTCTTTCAACGAAACCCTTGCAGATCTGTGACAAAACATACAGTACATACCATGTAGTACTATGTAGTAATTTGTACAGTCATAAAAATCAATCAGTGGTATCATAAGCTTAAGAGAACGCCGCTACTCCCTATCCAAGCAAAATACTCTCATACTGTTCATCATCCAAGTGTTTTAGCAACACTTGCTGCAGAGCCGCCTTGCTCCTGGTTATAGCAGGCACAACGCCGCGAATCTGCTGCAGGTTGCTTTTCAGGCTGTCCATATGACTCCCGATCTGCTTCGAGAGGTCAAGAAGCTCATCGTCTTGTAGGTCCTGTAGCCGACACAAGTCATGGTTAGTCTTTCATCATATCGACTGTGGTACGTAGGAAAACCTACTTTAAAGAGCCCTCCAAGGACGTCGCCTGGCAACGCAGGCACAAGTTCTAAAGAATCCCTGGGCTCATCATCATCCCCGTCCTTGGGCTTCATGCCGGGCGCAAGGACATGCTCTCTCCTCGCCTTCTCCTTCCACTCTCTGGCCTCATATTTCGCGTTGGTCTCCAACTTGTGCAGATGATTGTATTCGTTGGCCAGCGCATCCTCCTCCCTTTGGATCTCCTTTTGCAGCAGGCTCACGGAGTGCAGCAGCGGGTTCAGGGTGTTCTCAAGTGTCTGGCTAGCATCCATTGTCCGCTCGAAGTCAAAGTCTTCTTCGTAGCTGCCAGCGTTGCCACGGGTGGCAGTCGCCCCGGTAGGGGCAGGAAAGGGAAAGCCTTTAATTAGTTTGCCGCGTAGTCGCTGTGATACGTGCACCAAAGCTGCTGAGGCGTGTTGACGGCGCCGGTTGGTATCCTGAAGATTGAGAAGGACAGGTCGTTGTGCATCACCCAGGATTGCGCTGATAAGATTGATGGACAGAGGGTCAAGCGGTGTCCACTTGTCGTCGATCGTGGATCGTGGGATGGTACGAATGGTTTCTTTGAGGTGGCGGAATGGAAACTGTTGCTCCCCTTCGGATTCTGAGCTCCCAACTTCTTCCGCGTCTGGCTCTGCCTCTTCGGTCTTCCGTGGTGCTCTCCGGTTGGCCTTCTTCGAGGACGAGTTTTGCTCGGGCTGGCCCTTGGATGCCCGATGGCTCGTTTGAGCCCTGGATGAGAATGATTGATCTTGGTCCGGGTCCAGCGCTGATGCACTGGAAGCCTTCGGTCGCCCTCGCCGCTTAGGCTGCGTCATTTCCCCGGGTTTCTTCAACAGTGACGATTTCTCACCGGGACTGTCACTCCTCTCTAGACGAGGCCGCCCGGGACGCTTCTTTGGTGCATCGTCGCCAGCCGGAGGTCCTTGCTTGCGCGCCTTACGCGCGACTGTCTTATTCTGGGACGCATCCGGTCGCTTTTCAGGCTTGACCTTCTTCCTGCTTATTGTAGATCCATCCTCCTGCTCGGTACTTCGACGTGATCCACCAAATGTTCTTTCTGGGTCCCACGACCGTCGCTCCCGTCCACTTCGTCTTGGCGATGAACCAGGCGGTTCGACTGCAGGTCCTTTTCGTGATCCTTTTCGTGATCGCTGTGGAGGCGACGGCATTCGGCGTGATTCTTCTTCAGGAGGGTTCGAGTCTTGTTGTGCAGAGGAACCAGGTTGTCTCGTTCCGGATGTATCGTCTAACCTCGTGGATTTCCGTTCTCGTCCATTCCGCCTCGGCCTCGAGTTCGTCGATCGATCCGCTATCACCTCCTGCGGGCTTGGCCTGGCATCCTTATCCACTGTCTCGGAATGCCGCTCGACCTCTGTATCTGCGCTTCGCGTTTCACCCTTCCGCGCTCGACCTCTTCTCCCAAGTTGCGCAAGAGGGACACCTTGCTTCTCAGGTGCCGGGATGGTGGCGGCATCAGATCCCTCAGCCTTACGACCACGCTTTTTGGGCCGCGCCTCCTCCGCAGCGTCTTGTTCGTCATGTTCCTCTACAGCCTCGTGTCTCGACGCGTCTTGAGCGGGCTTCGACGCGCCTGGTGGTCGACCGCGTTTGCGCTTTTGATCTAGGGGTTTCGGGGCCTGAATTGGTGTCAGATAGAGAAGACAGTATTAAAGATACGAACTCACCATTATGTTGCTCACAAAATATTGTGGGCAGGCTTGATTCCGCCTTGAATGTTGTAGGGAGGAGGGGGAGCTTGAACTACAGGGACGGAAACGAGACCTGCGAAAGTGGGAATCCTAGGTGCAGGGGGCTAAACCGAAACAGGCAGTATCACTGCTATGGCTCCCTGGGCAACGTGTTGACACGGGTAGAATTCACTGGCACTGGCGAATCTCGTGATGACCAAAATCAAGCACTAGGACACTATCTTGTCCGAGATGAATTTCCTTGTGTATTTGATAGGGCTATTCTTCTTCTTCTCCTTGTTCTTTCTATCAGGAAATGGTGTTCTTAAATAACATGAGAGCTGAGTCTCTACTATAATAGAGCTAATTTTTGGGAGGAATAAAAAGACTATCTCCCAAGTGAGAGAGGGGCACCAGCGACGTCCCTTGCCTGTTTACATCATCCTTGAATTGCCTAGCTTCTTCCCCAGACCCTGGGAAAGGCAATCCTGCCAACATCTCTGGCCCCATTCCTGTCTCAACTTTTTTTTTCGTCTTTTCCTTTTCCTCTTCCCTCCCCTTTTGTAGACCTTCCAACACGAAGATCTCCCATCTTCTATCCTTCTGCATCGAGGTTTTCTCCAAATCTCTCTCTCTATACACAAGCAGCGCACAGGCAACATGCGCTTCTCAGCATTCTCGGTTCTCTCGGTCCTGACCTCGCTCGCGGTGGCCCAGGACTTTGAGCAGTACCAGGCCCAGTTCCAGAACTTCCTCGGCCAGTTCGGATCTTATCTGCCGAATCCCAGCAAACATGATCCTGTGGGCGCTGCGGAGGCCAAGGCTGGCGAGATGAAGATGGACGTCCTGACTCTGTCCAACTGGAGGGAGACTCTGTACTCGCCGGTCACGTCTGAGACCACGACGCCCGAGGAGTGGCTTGTATTCGTCACTGGTCGCAACAAGACTTGCTTTGGTATGTTGAACCTTGTATGATTCTCGAGTGGTTCTTCTATGGAAACTGATTTTTTTACCCCTCGTCTAGGTCACTGTCTGGGCATCGAAACTGCCTTTAACCAATCTGCCGCCAAGCTCGCCCTTCTGCCGGATGCGCCGCACGTTGGCTACATCAATTGCGACGATCAGCCCATCCTTTGCAATGTGTGGTCCGCCGGCGCCGGCCACGTCTACCTCATTGAGATGCTGCCCGAGCCAGCGCCCATCGACATCTACTCCAAGCGCCTGAACCTCACAACCACCACCGCTGACACCTTTGTCGAGCTGTACAAGACTCGTGAGGACAAGACCCAGTTCAAGAAGAAGGATGGATACTTCCACCCCTTCGACGGCGAGCTTGTCAAGTACGGCGTTTCCGTGCCTGTCGCCTACCTTCTCTGGGGACTGAGTGTTGTGCCCAGCTGGGCCATGATGCTGGGTGTGTCTTTCCTCAGCCGTACGATGATGTAAGTCGCCGAAACCGTCCCAAGTTTTGGATAGAGTGACATGTTAATGTTGCGTTAGGAACCGGCGCATGGCTCCGCAGGGTCAAGGTCGTCCCGCTGCTGCTGCTCAGGCTGCTGCAGCCCCTCAGGGAACGCCACGCCGTGGTGCTCCTGCGGGAGACGCATGGGGCACTCGGTAAGACGTCGTCTGTTTGGGAGAGAAAATGGAAGGTATAGTGTATGGGCAAGAGTTGTTGATGTGACGTCGGTATAATCGGGAAGACTTTTCTGATTTGGTAATTGTCGGTTGGCTGGACTGGTAGGCCATGGGTGCCCGGGATTATAGGTAATGCGGACCCGTGTTGCATGATAGTACACTCCCTTCGCCGGGTCATGAAATATTCATTTCTTTGCTTCGCATGTCTCTTGGACCGTCTGAAGCCCATCAAGGACCTGCTTGCTCAACTGCGCGTTTGAAAGTCTGCCGTAACGAAGATCGCTCATGCTGCCGACAGTCTGTCTGATCGACTGTCGCAACTCGGCCTCCTCATCCTCGAGGTTCTTGACTGCAGCATCTAGTTCCTCCACGGCACTGTCCAGCTCTGGGATTATGGAGCTGATGTTGTGCTTCAGGCCTGAGGCCCTTGAAGCGGGTCCGTAAAGCTTGTCTCGTGGTTAGCGAAACCCAGTGTTGAATTCGGCCACCCAATGTTGGGCAAGGGAGAAAACGGTAAAATAATAGAATGACTCCCCCCCCCCCCCCCCAAAAAAAAACAGAGAAGTGGGGGTTAACAGGAACGAGGGAGAAAAGAAGGAAAAAGAAAATCGTACTGCTCTCTCGACATCGATTTCATCGTCCACTTCTTGGCTCTCGGCCTCCCTCTTGGCTCTTAAAGCCTCGCGTCGCAGCACCTTGCCGCGCCTCGCCTCATGCTCGATATTGGCTGCAACATCGTCAATAAGCGCGTTTCTCTGGGTCTGCAGGTCTCTATATAGTCTTCGGATCTGTGGTGATGACTGTTGAGAACGTGGGAACAGTTCTGTGAATTCCCTGAGCGAGATGATTGCTGGCAACTGTGCCGGAACCAGCAGGTAGTTGGTGAGGATCGTCGCTTCAGTGGGTGCCATGTTGCCCTGCCGTGGTAGTCTCTTTTTTTAATGTATTCTTTCTGTAGAAAATCTGGCGTCTCGGAGAGATCACAGACTTGTGAGTCAGGAACACGAATGAATCGGAAAAGGGGAATAAGATGCGAATAGCCTCCAGGCGCCGGAGGGGCTTTGTTCACTATTGCTTTCCCTTGTGCCCGTATTGGAGAATGTTGCGAGTAACCGTTCCTTCCCGAGACGCGTTTTGACGCCCCTGAATCGCCTGGTCCCGTGACGCCAGCCGACCTAGCCTCCTTCACTGTCTCTGTGACTTCGTGCTCACTTTCATTCCTACCCTCTAAGCTGTCAGAATCACCCACAGTCGAGCCTTGAGATCTCGCGTTTCATCCAGACCACTCGAAAAACTCTCTTGCGTTTTTTTCTATAGCCCTGGGCACTTTTCACCCTGTTCTTTGGTAAAAACTACCGGTAGAGACAAGACTTCTCAAGGGAACCGGCAAGGATGGCCCCAACTAAGACTCAGAACGCGCCCTACAGCAAGGACGAAAAGGTCCTATGCTTCCACCACGAGATGCTCTATGAGGCCAAGATCCTCGAGATCCAGCCAAGTGATGATGGACTATACTTGTACAAGATTCACTACAAGGGGTGGAAGGCTTCTTGGGATGACTGGGTGCCTCAGGACCGCATCCGCAAGTTCAACGATGAGAACAGAGAACTTGCCAAGCAGCTCATGGACCAGGCCCGCGCGAATATGCAGAAGCATTCAAAGCCCGCCAAGAAGGCTGCTCTGAAGAATGGCTCAGACTTCAGCTCTGCTCGTGGCAGCGAGGAGCGGACGGGAGGTGCTGCGACCGCGTCTGGGCGGGGCCCGCGACGGACGAGGGACTTTGATATGGAGCTTGTGAGTACTGCCCTTAAAATTTTCCTATTGTGCTCCCATTACGTTTCGTATCCATCTGTTGTGAGTTTTCTGGCATATTGGAGTATCCCGGAACACGTCAACGAAGAGAAGGAGAGTAGAGATGGCGGAAAGGGCTGGGCTTCAGGGCTAGGAAAGGTTGGGGCATCCATCCTGTCACCCACTTCACTTGGGACCTTGTCATCCATCTTGGTTGTTATTGTGGTCAAACTACCTGAATGGACTGCTACAGCAGCTTCTATCTCTGCTATTGACATTGCAAAAACACCCCATTGTGAAAAGTTGGGACGGGGCAGCACAACAATAGCTGCAGCTTTTCTACTTGAAAGCAACTTTAAACAACAACCTGCACCACCACCAACTTCGAAATCAACAACCTCAGCAACTATCTCTTTGTTGGATTCTTTCCAACCTGCACTTGGTTTTATTCCATCAAGCCTGCTCATCATCCATCAGCTTCGGGCTTGATCTGAATCTCGCACCATCTACATCCCGTCGAACTCCCACCAGCCATCTGCCGACAGCAACCTTCAAGCCACGATCTGCAACAACGCGTTCTGTGTTCAGCATTGTTTCAGTCTCGACATTTCTGTCCTTTGGTTCCAGAAGGTTGAGTGAGTTCGTGTCGCCTATCACAGGTCGCGTTTGCATCACTTGTCCTAGGACGCGTCTCAACATCACCTTACATCGACTTCCTCTGGTCAGCCCTTCACCCCCCCATCGCAAGATACTCTTTCATTTGCACATGAGGAACTGTTGCACCATCTGCATCAATCCCCGCACCCTTAGCATCATCTTCGCCACATCAGCTGCGTCGAAGTCTTGGAATCACCACCATCTCACCTACTTCTCTACCTGATACTCTCTACAATGTCTCGCTCTGGCTCCACGACCCAGCCTGAGGCCCTTACGGCTCCAGACAGCGATGCAGCCTTGTGTGTCGAGGAGACGACCAAAGAATTCGCAAAGAAGGAGAAGGAGTGGGCTGAAGCTGGTGTGCAAGTTGACTTCAAGCGCCCTTGGGCCCTTGGAATTAATCCGCTGAATCGGTTCACGGACCGCTACGTCAAGATGGTCGATGATGTGCCTGTCTTGCAGAACCCGCCTATCATTCACATGAAGGTCGAGGATGCCAAGGTCAAGAAACCTACCAAAAGGCAGACTGCTGCCGATAAGAACAAGGACAAGGAGCACCCGCGAGTGGAAGCAGCAAAGGATGGCGATGGCAAAGCCCCGGCCGGCATCATCGATTGGTACGATGGCGTCCCACACGATACAATTCTTCCAACCGCTGGTGTTGCCCCTGAGGATCGCGCTCATTTCAACCAAGAGGTACGAGATGCTCAGCGCGAGAACCAGCTGCAGGCTCTCGGAACCTTACGCGATCCCATTGCCCAGAAGGCGCGCAAGGGGCGACGTGACACTTTGGCTACCAGAAAGGCTGCGGGCGCGGCAGAGATTCCTCCTCTTATTCGCAGCAGCAGACGATTGCGAGGACAAGGCCCCACGGTCACCGACAATCAGGACGGAGACCGGGTTGCGACCTCTTCTTCGTTATGTCGGGGACAACTGGATGTACAACCTCCCATCAGCGCCTTGCGAAGCACACTCGGCAATAATGACATCCCATCGGCTGATGATGATGCAGCGAGTCAGGATCAGTGGCGCGCCGATGTCCACATGGCGAGGCTGGCTCGAAACTTTCCGCCTATCTCCTCTGGCCAGCAGATAAATCCCAGCAACGCTGGCCCAAGCACTTGTTCGAATGCTCCTCTAGCCGTTATGAATGATGGAATTCATGACTGCCCCCCGTCGACAGCATCTGCCAACCCTGAGACGCAAGGCATCAAAGATCATGTGTCCGAGGCTTGCGAGATTAAGCCTACCGAGAAGCAGTCCAAGGACAGCAGCCGAATCAAGTCAGCTACGGCAGCACCCAAGAAGAGGCCTCAGCCAAAGACCGCAGCTACGAAGAAGGCCAATATCGATCGCAAAGAGAAAATAGAAAATACTGCTACTTTACAGAAGCAATCCAAGCCTTCCGCTTCCAAGAAGCGCAAAGCTGAGGAGGATGGCGAGAGACAGACGAAAACCCCCCGCATTGGGCGAGCTTGCGGCATGTGTCGCATAAAAAAGACCAAATGCGATGGACAGCGGCCTTGTGAGGCTTGCTTCAAGCGACACTTCGAGTGCGAGTACGGTGGCCTCAACCAGGCAGAGGCTCACACAAAGGATGAGAAGCCTCAGGGCGACGCACCTTCTGGGAATGGTCGTCCTGGCAGCGCTTCCTTCAGGCCCACAAAGCAGCCCCGACGCCCCAAGCCGCAGGGCACCAACGAGGGCGCGTCTTCAGCCGGCCACAACAAGTCTGCCGCATCCGGTGCTGAGAAGCTCGGCGCCGGGAAGAGAACGCATGACCACGACGATCCTGATGCCACCATGCATGCACCACCCACGAAGCGAATCAAGCTCAAGCTATCATGCCTGACAGAGAACCCCCAGCCCGATAGTCCATCTGTGGACAGCCAGCCCGCAGAGGCTAATGACTCCCGGGGCGTAAAGTTGCGATCCCCAGTCCGGGAGTACGCCTCTATTTTGGGTGTTGACTTCATTCTGCCGTCTGGAGAAACAGACAAGCATCGCGTCACAGCTGCTGTCTTAAACGTCATTTTGGGATGGAAGTCCGAGAGAGGCCACGAGAAGGCAAATGTTGACAATAGTGAACAGGAAGATTCGTTTCACAGCAAACCGTCTATCAAGCTATGGTTCCCCGATCACTTGAAGGGTTTGCTTGTCGATGACTGGGAGAACGTCACCAAGAACCAGCAGCTTGTGGAACTCCCACACAAGAAGGCGACCGTGGAGAAAATCCTTCAGGACTACCTGGATTATGAAAAGCCCTGCCGTGCGGGCGATGACACACAGATCGATATCCTGGAGGAGACCATCAGCGGCCTTCGAGAGTACTTTGACAAAGCCCTTGGTAGGATTCTGCTGTATCGGTGAGGCTACCCATGACTGCAATTTCTGTGCATGTTGCGGAGTGACTAACATTGGCGTTAGATTCGAGCGCCTGCAGTACGCTGAGCAGCTGAAGGAGTGGAACGGAGAGCAAGGACCAAGCACCACATACGGTGCTGAACACCTGAGCCGATTGCTTGGTAAGTTGTTACCTTGGGGGGTTCCTCCTCCTTTTCTTGCCGAAGTAAGCTAACTAAATGGCCAGTGTCTCTGCCGGAGCTGATCACCCAAACAAACATGGATCTGCAGTCCGTCACGCGCCTCCGCGAAGAGCTTGTCAAATTTACCAACTGGCTTTGCAAGAATTACGAGACTTACTTCCTCGATGAATACATGGTTCCCGGCACTGAATATGTGGAAAAGGCGCGCGGTTAGGGATCCGACGCGTCCGAGTCCGTGCAGACCAGTGTCGCGCCTACGGACTCATTGAGCAACGAGGGAATTTCTGGCCCTACGATATCCCTGAATGGCGAGGGAAATTCCAAGAACAAGAGACACGCGCAGAACCAGGGTGGCTCTGACGCAAAGATCCTTGGGAAGAGGAAGGCCGGCGCCGGCTGCAACGAAGACCTGGACAGCCCGCAGACGGTCGCAGACGACGGTGACGAGGAGTTTTCTCCTTCTCCCAAGAGGGAACGCCGAACTCGTTCTCGCCGCAAGAGAGCAACCTAAGTCAGCTCGCGTACTGCGCAAGGGAAGAGCTCAAGGAAGTTCTCGAACCGCCCACTACCTCCCTCATGCGCAACGCCAAACACACTTCGCACCAACACAATATCAGCCGAACCTGCGACCATTTGTCACAACCATCCCTTTCGTTTTCTTCGTCCTTCTCGCATCCAGCCTTCGGTGCATTACCGAGTTGAATGCCTTTTCCTCACTCTGCAGACAAAAGATTCCAGATTCAAGCTCTCGACACAACACCATTTCTTGTCTGAGAGACCAAAATAACCCATAGCATCTGGGTTCATCACGAACAAAATTTGTACTTTTATTCTTTCTTAGACTTTTCTCTTGGTCCTGTGGGTTTTGAAGGGGCCTGGTGAACCTGCCTTTCTACCTCTGTTCACTGTTGATGAGGCACATGACCAAGAAAGCCTTCTGTTCTTGCTCACCTTATATGAGGAGGCATAAGATCATACAAAAGCTTGGATCTCGGCCTCTAATTTCTCTAAATTGCGGTCTTTTGATCTCTTGTTCTGCTACACTTTATGATTTAAGGCCACGGTACACTCTAAGAGAGGACATGCTGGCCTTCTTAGTCTCCGGAGCGGAACCATTACGACTTGCGGACTTACAAAGTTACAGAGGGGGGTTCACTGTAATATGGGCCGGGGGGGGGGGGGGCAGCAAGTGTGGCACGCGCGAGGAGGACCTTGAAAAGTACGACGTGTTTCTCGTACCATTTGCACGATCAAGGGAGGCGGCCAAATTGTTTTGTCTGCCGCGGCAGAGGTCTGCTGGATAAACTTGTGGACGGACTCTTTCCCCAGCTCTTTCTGTTTTTTTTCCAGCTTCTTTAATTTTCGTCTTAAGCTTTGATCAACGACGTCTGTCGACGGCGCCCAGGCATTTCTGGGCTAGATGATGAAAAGGCTCGGAGACGGGAAGCTATTTCATAGAGAATGAACCCGGTACATGAAACAGTTCTTGTGATGCCCGTCCTTTCCTTCTTTGTGAGAGACTTGGTCAATCAGAAAATTGGTCGTGCCATGACGAAGAGCTTGTAAAGATGATGGGATTTGAGCCAGTGTAAGTGTATGGCAGGCAAATACATATGTACAGTCTTTCCCCCTCATCCATCCAGACATCCCCATATCCATCGTAGGAGTGTCTAACAGCAACGTTCCAGCATGGTGGCATGATAATGGTCCGCAAATCCGCTCCCTTCCTCTAACGTAGACATGACTGAAGCATACCTCCCTGTGTGTAGCGTTTCTGACTACCTGTCCAAACGGACTGTTCTTCAGACCATGTGTGTCTTCATCGGCATTGTCCAAGCCGGTCGAGCTGGCGATACGTCTGGGTTTCCCGCGTATCTGCGTGGCCCCTCTACTAACACCCTCCAAAGTTCGAGAAGAGAGTCCTGCCAGCATCCGCCCCCGCCAACTCTCCCTCCTCCTCCTCCTCCTCTTGCTTCACCTCTCCGCCCTCTTCTCAACCCAGTACCCCTTCTCCGGTGTCCGCGCGGCCCTTATCTCTGCTGCACTCGGCCTACTATCCACCTCCTCCACACGCACCAGCTCCTTTACCTTCATGATCATGCCTGCAAACTGCGGGTGGACAGGGTGGTAGACGGTGCGGCCGCGCTTGTGCAGACCTAGGGCGGCGAGGACGTCGCGGGTGCGCTGGGGCATGCCTATTGAGGAGCGGTGGAGGGTTATGCGAAAGAAGGAGGTGGCTGGGCGGGTGGTGGCCATTTTGTTGAAATTGGGGGAGAGAGGGGGGGGGGGGTTGGATGCTTTTTGGTAACGGCGGGTTAAGGGGTTGATTAGGGTGGGACGGATTGCCCTCTTCTGTTGATCTTTCCTTGGTCGATGCTTCGGCTTGGGTTCGAGGGACAGGAGTCTGATAAGAGTCTGGCAGGAGAGATTGTATGAGCACGGGACAGGGCAGTATAGGGCGGGCGGGCTCTTCATCAAGTCTGCTGAGGAAGAGGAATTGAGGTCTTTGCTCCTACCTTCTAGCTGTCTTCCCTGGCCAGCACGGTCGCGAGACCCAGTGGAGATATATGTGTACGATGTAAATCCCAGAAAGTGGTGCCAGTACTATCCAAAGTCGAAGAGAGATCTCAATCCTGGGTCGTCATCGTCGCCTCAGAAGTGTAATTCGGATGATGCAAGGTCGTACAGAAAAATCCCCAGGAAGACGCGACTCCCGGCAGGCTAAGAAAGTACGAAGAAATGGTCCGTGCACACCTTGACCCTGACTTTCAATTGAAATGCTATGCAGTGCACAGGCAGGAGCGGAACGATCTAGTTCCTGCATGTGCCATGCATACATATTGTATTACCCTACTGAGGAGTGAGCCTGTGGGTGAATTTCGTGTTGGGACAGGCATCAAATTTGCTATGTGTCTTACCCTATACCCCTGTCATGCCATAGAACCCGTCCTTGGACAAGTGACGCAGTGCGTGGACGATTGAGCTGGCTAAAAAAAAAAAAATAAGAAGAAAAAAAAGTGACAATAAACAACCCTCGCTTTCCAAAAGTACAGCAGCAAGCAGGAGGCAGAAACTTGTTGTGTGTAATGTTGATGTGCTCAATTTCAAATTCCCTTCTATTTGCTAAGAACCGCGGCAAAACCAGCCTGGAGCTATTCATTACGACACAGGGCATCACAGAAAATGGAGTAGCCCCATTCTGCACATTGACTTCTAGATACATATCTCGAACAACTTCTCTCTTCTCCTGTTCCCCCTCTTCTTCCCCCTTTCCATTTGCAATTTTACACCGACACCTCGACACGGCCCTCGCCACCTGGCCGCCCCTGCTGGGACAGCTGGGGCAGCAGGTACGTGATGTCGTCCCAGGGGTGACGGTACAGGCCAGTCCGCAGTCTCTTCTGGTCGAGGAAGTGGGCAATAAGACCAATCGACCGGCCGAGCACGAACAGTCCGTTCAAGACACCCATCGACAGGTAGTCCTCAGCCTCCTCAGCGCTGAAGGCACCGCAGTTGCGGAGCAGGTCCACGAAGCAGACGGCAATACAGCCGTCCACGTTCAGGATCAGGTTGTCCTTCTTGGAGGTGGTGACCGTCTCGACCGCCAGAGCGTAGTCGAGCAGCTTGGAGCTGGGGAACCTGGACTTGACAAACTCCTTGACGAGCTCGACACGCAGATCAGGGTTATTCCGCGACTTGATGCGGTGGCCGATACCGGGGATGAGCTTGTTGGCCTTGCGCATCGAGTCGACAAAGTCACGAGGGCTGAGGCCCTTGTCGAAGGCCTTGGTGAACTCCTCAGCGGCACCGTCCAGCGCACCACCGAAACGGGAGCCGATGGTGAGCAGACCGCTGACCAGCGCGCTGATCAGGTCCTTGCCGGCACGTGTGGTGATGATGGTGTTCATGGCACCAGACACGGCGGGACCGTGGTCGGCCGTGAGCATGAGGACCATCTCCAGGAACTTGGAGGCGTAGTCCGGCAGACGGCGGCGGAACCACAGCAGAGACATGACACCGCCGATACCAATGTCCTCCTTGAAGACGTCAGAGATGGGCATGCCCGCGTACAGGAGCTCCTGGCCACGATCGTCAGAGATGGTGGAGATGAAGGCGGCCGGCTTGCGGATGAGGCCGAGCTCCTGCGCCCAAGAGTAGTCCATAGGGATCTTGGGCACCGCAGGCTCGGCCTGGGGCTTGATGGTGCCCTTGGACACGAGATCGTCGTAGACCTGCTTCAGGAGGCTGGGCATGTCCTCAAAGGTCTTGGGCACGTGGAAGCCAGCCTCGGCCATCTTCTTGTTCTTCATGGCCGCCGTCTCGAGCTGAGAGTTGGCAAAGGAACCGGCGTGGCCGAATTGCACCTCCGTCTTGAACATGCTGGCGCAGGTACCGATGGCCCACGCGACGATGGGCTTGGTGATGACGCCTTGCTTGACGGCCTCGATGACCTTGTACTCCTCAACGCCACCGACCTCGCCAAGCAGCACCATGACCTTGCACTCCGGGTCGGCCTGGTACCGCAGCATGTGGTCGATGAAGGTGGTGCCGGGATACCGGTCACCACCAATGGCCACACCCTCGTAGACACCATCCGTGTTGTTCGAGATGATGTTGTTGAGCTCATTGGACATACCACCAGACTTGGAGACGTAGGCAACGGAGCCCTTGCGGTACAGCTTGGAGGCGACGATGTTGTCCATCATACCACCCGTGTTGCCGATCTTGAAGCAGCCGGGCTTGATGCCACCGACGGTAGCAGGACCGATGATGGTCACACCCTTCTTCTTAGCCACGTGCGCAATTTCACGAGCGCGCTGTCCTCCTCATGTCAGCCTTGGTTGTCTGGACCTCACTATATGAAGAAGAAAAAAACCCCCTCTACTCCGCTGGGATAGGTGGCTTTTGGTGACTTACCCTCTCTGGCACACCCTCAGCGATGATGGCGATGGTCTTGATCTGGGGATTCTCCATCAGCTCCAAGGTGGAGCTGTAGACACTTCGGGAGGAGGCGAAGTTGACGACAACGTCGACGTCAGGGTGCTTGGAGATGGCCTTGGAGACCTCCTGGTAGACAGGCAGGAGGGTCTCGCTTGTGCCCCAGTACATCTTGCTCACAAACTGACCGCCAAAGGTGTAGATGATGCCGGCGACCGAGGGGGTAGCGCGCTTGCAGATGAAGTCGAAATCGAGCATGCCCTGGACGGCACGGGGCTGCATGCCGTAGACGAAACATCTCGTCTTGTCGTTGAAGAGGGCATGGCCAGGCAGGGGGGTGAGAGGCCTGCTAGGCGCTGCAAAGCGAGTGATGTTGTCGTTGGCAGACAGGCTGCTTGGTGGCGCTGTGCCAGTCGTGGTAGCAGCCATTGCGACGCTTTTCGGGGGGTATCAGAGCTTGAGAGAAAATTCGTGAAGATCGTGGAGGAGGGAAGAGAAAGTCCTGCCGGGACGAAGTTGTTAGCTGAAGTAGTTACAAGCATTGCTGCATTCCATCCGTGCAGGGAAGGGGAGGAGGGGGACAAGAAGCCCGACGGCAGGCCTAGACAACCGCCCGAGAGCCATCTGCCTCCCGAGCTACTTCACAGGTAGGTTTGAAGCTCGGGATATTGCGCCAGGCGATGCTGCCTCTCTCTCCCTCCCTCTCCGTCCACCCCCGCAGCGATGCGATTCCTGATTACCTCGATCGCATCGGAACTTTCCACAAGACAGGAAAGCAGGCAGTTGATTGTTGGACAACACGAACCTCTGTTGAATTGCTTCGCTTCCTAGCAGTCCCGAGCTTCGAGCAGTCGAGATCACCAAAATCTGAGACTGGGGGAGAATGTCAGAGAATGGCAAATGAACGGAAGTCGGAGGAGTGAGCATGCAATTGGGACAGAGGGCAGTTTTTTTGTCCCTGGCGGCCGGCCTGCTCAGGAGGTAGGTAGGAACTGGAAAGCCCCGGTGGGAGGTCAAGGGGTCTGTGTTTAGTGGGAGACAGGGGGGTCAGGTGGGAATAAGAGCTGCGGGTACCTCTCTTTTTGCTCCTTCTCTGTTGTTCCTCTGCGTTCCTTTTTACTTTTCTTCGGTGGAGAAGCTTCAATCGGGACAATGCAACAACAGGCTGCAGCTTCAGACGGGAACCACACAAGGACCTAACTATGGTTACGGTAGGAGGGCACCGGGAGATGGGAATGGAAGATCGAGTCTCAGCCTCGAAAAAGGAGAGCTAGAGCTGACAGTGGAGGATGGGATGGATTGGTCGCTGGTTCGGGTCTCAGCAAACAAGACCAGGGTAAAAAAAAATCCCAGAGCCAGCGCCAGAACAAACAGGACACTTTCACCCTTTACCTGCTCTGGGTAATGCCGTAGACAATCCAGAAAAAGTTGGGGAAGTTCCTTGTCTTGTTGGACTCGTGTGCCGTGTTTCCCTCATACGTGGTACGGGTTTTGGCGAGTTGTTGAAAGGGAAGCGCAGGGGTGAAGGATGACGGCCTACTGGGCTGACCCCTGCCCCCCACCAACGGCGGTTGGGCTGTGCAGGTACCAGGTACGAGCAATCCACCGAATCCTCCGAGCTGAGCTGACAAGGACGGGAAGGTCCAAGCCATTTGGCGTTGTTCAACATATTCTCTCCTTTCCAGAGAACGACAAGCCCTAGGGAAATCTGTTTCTGGCTGCACTGACAACCCAGAGCTAAGCGATACGAGCCCCAATTACAAGCAATTCATTAATCAATCAACTTATTCCATAGATACTCAATATTCTTTTCCAAGAAGAGAATGGAAAAAAGAAAAGGCACAAAACGATCATAGCCTTGCTATATTGCTGTGTGGAAACATAGCTCATCTCTCAGGTACTCCGGTCGGCCACCGAAGTGCTCAGGTCAGACCCATCAACAAAGGAGATGGATTGAGCAGTGAGATGAGATGCCAAGGGTCTAGAGGGTTGCAGCACACACAGTGATAATTGATTAAGAGTGTGCAGGGGGGCAAAGAAAAAAAAATAAACAATAGTCGCAGTCAATAGTAAATTGACTTGTACGTAAGGCTTGGACGAGGCGGTATAATTGGCCTCGAACCCTCCCCACTAAGTGCGAACGAACCATTTTCGACAATTGTCTGGACCGGACTGCCCCAATCAAGACTCCGTTCACCGGACTTTGAGAGTCCAGCACCGTGACGACGACGGACAATAACCATGAAACTTCCAGCCTTGAGAGGAGAGGGTGTGGGGTGTGGGAAAATAATCCTCCTGCTGTATCGAGGCTGATTTTCGCTGTCTCGCTGGATTGCCAGGGAAGGTAAAGAAAGGAAAGTCACAACAGATCAAAAGATAACTCGGGGGGTTTTGAGATACTTTGGGTGGCCTCGCAGAAACCGCAACGGCTACCAAGTCGGATCCCGAAATGGAGGCAATGGAGATCGCGACTCTGGGATGGGGGCTTTGGGGAGTTTCATTTCCCTGAACTGTGACAGCAGCAGCAGCATATTTGGTTTACTGCTGCTATGGTAAAATGGACAGCTGACTGACTGACTTGCTTTGTCGCCGGTGCATTGAACCTCACTAAAGAAAAAATGGTCCGAGCCGACGCGGCAGCCAAGTAGAGAGAAGGAAAATCCACTAGCACCAACAATTATTTGGGAGGGAAATAATGCCTCTTACCTCAGCAACCTCAGCATCTAAGCACTTGAACACATCAGCACCAATTTCACTTGAATGAAAGTATGGTGCTGCCAGGCTTCAGTGCATTACCCCCCTTCTGAACTCTCAACTGGGCAGGCTGGAAAGTGTTGCACAGCGGTCACTGTCTTGCCCCTCCAAATTTTAGAGGGCTCTGCACTTGCTTGCCTTCCAAACCGCTGAGCGAAGCCGGGCATCCCGGTCCCCGACTAGGGACAGGTAGCAGGTACTTAGCTGGGCCCCGATTGCCCACCAATTTACGTCTCCCCAAAGCTTTTTTAGCTCGGGGTCTGCCCTTGTACCCCTCAGTTCGACTGGCCCCTGGCCTCTGCCATCCTGACCCTGCATATGTGGTTCCCCCCTGATCCTAGCCAATGCCACTCAGCATTTTCTAGCCAGGCCCCTCCATTCAGCGTCAGCCAGCGCAGACGTACGGGGACCATCACTCAGGTGAGACCCCCCCCCCTTCCCGGCAGGCTCTGTTCTGAACATTTCTGGAAGCTCGCTTGGGGTCTAGCACCAGCCCACCGCCCACTTGAGCAGCCCAAAGCCCCGATCTCTAGACTGCCTTCTCGTCCCCGAATTTTTTGTGATCACGGCAGCAATCATAGCCTCTCCTTTCAGCCTTCTCTTTGTCGACTGCCCACTTGTTGACTTTCGACAACTTCGAGAAAGAAAAAGAAAAAAGGATCAGAACTGTGCGTATTCTCCTTGAATGAGGCAAGGAAACCCAATCCTTTCCCCATTGCCCTTTTCGCAGTGTCCGTTGAAAGACACAAACTTTCCCCGAGCCCGAGGGGCACACCGGAACTTTTCGCGGCGCCCCCTGCTGTGTGGTTTGAACACCCGCGACAATAGAGCTCCGAGAGGCTACAACTGCTGCTGTTGCTGCTGCTGCTCTCAAGGCTTGACTGATTGATTGCTTGCTGGGCTCTCTTGACTCAATTGAAACCTTCCACACTTGGAAATCCCCGAGACTGACCGGACTCTTGTCTTCTCAGGAACCTAGAGCGCAAGCCCGACCCTCTGCTTCGAAACCTGTGACCCTTTTTCGCATTGCGACTTCGTATTTGAGGTCCTTTGGCAAAAAAGCAAAACAACAAGGACGACAAGAAAGAAAAGTTCCTGAGCGACTCACCTCCCATATCGCCAAAATGTCCGCCAAGTCCATTCTCGAGGCTGATGGCAAGGCCATCCTCAACTACCACCTCACCCGCGCCCCCGTCCTCAAGCCCTCTCCTCTGCCCACACCGACCAAGCACAACCCGCCCCCAAGACTGGCGTCTCTGCACTTCCCAGAGGACAAGAGCGTCGAGGACGTCCTGAACCAGGCCGAGGTCACCTACCCCTGGCTGCTCCAGGACGGCGCCAAGTTCGTCGCGAAGCCTGACCAGCTCATCAAGAGGCGAGGCAAGAGCGGTCTGCTCGCCCTGAATAAGACCTGGCCTGAGGCCAAGGCCTGGGTTGCTGAGCGCGCCGGAAAGTCCCAGAAGGTCGAGCACGTCGAGGGCGTCCTGCGCCAGTTCCTCGTCGAGCCCTTCGTGCCTCACCCTGCCAACACCGAGTACTACATCAACATCAACTCCGTCCGCGATGTGAGTACCAGCAATCCCCCTTCTTTGTCCTTCCAACCCGAACTCAGTTGCGAGATTTCTGGTGTATAAAAGTGGCCATGGCAGGACAGACAGATTTGTTGGGGCCGGCCGCAAGTGCGAGTGCAACCCGCAGTGAAGGGAGAAGGTCGGGAAGAAGTCTTCCGAAGAAGAACCCAGAACTCTTGTCTGCCAAGGTAAATATCAGAACAAAGATGAGAGGCCAAGTAGAAGATCAAAAGTTACTGGGGGTTTTTATTTTGTGTGTGTGAAGTAGGAGGAAATAAGCTGGTTTGCACGATGGTGGATACCCAGGACAATTTCGGCTCCTACATTTATCTCTGGGGTGACGGACGAACGGAAGGCCAGATTTGGTTGAGAAGGGGGCCGGTGCGCGTGCCGGGCCGTTATCAACCGCTTTCAAGCCTCTCTGTGGCCATGCAGTTGCATCCGCTATCCTGTGTCCATTTCTTTCTTTCGACCTTCCGAAAATTGCTTTTCGCCATTGCGCCATTGATCTTGGATTTTGCTAATTCACAACTTCAGGGCGACTGGATTCTCTTCACACACGAGGGAGGTGTTGATGTTGGCGATGTCGACGCCAAGGCTGAGAAGCTCTTGATTCCTGTCGACCTGTCAGAATATCCTTCCAATGATGAGATCGCAAAGTCCCTGCTCAGCAAGGTCCCCAAGGGCGTGCACAATGTCCTGGTCGACTTCATCACCCGCCTGTACGCCGTCTACGTTGACTGCCAGTTCACCTACCTCGAGATCAACCCCCTCGTCGTCATTCCTAACGAGGATGCCACCTCGGCCTCTGTGCACTTCCTGGATCTTGCTGCCAAGCTTGACCAGACCGCCGACTTTGAGTGCGGCGTGAAGTGGGCCATTGCCCGGTCACCCGCAGCCCTCGGCCTTACTAATGTCGCTCCTGCGAGCGGTGCTATCAACATCGATGCTGGCCCGCCGATGGAGTTCCCTGCCCCCTTCGGCCGTGAGCTGACCAAGGAGGAGGCCTACATTGCTGAGCTTGATGCCAAGACGGGCGCTTCCCTGAAGCTGACCGTCCTGAACCCCAACGGCCGTATCTGGACTTTGGTCGCTGGTGGTGGTGCCTCCGTCGTGTACGCCGACGCCATTGCCTCTGCTGGCTTCGCTGACGATCTCGCCAACTACGGGTAAGTTACCGCCCCCTTCCTCACTTAGACAAGCCTAGAAGAGCAACATGTAAGACGCTAACATTGAATCAGTGAATATTCTGGTGCGCCTACCGAGTCGCAGACCTTCCACTACGCCCGCACTGTGCTGGACCTGATGCTGCGTGCTCCCCTGTCGGACCAGGGCAAGGTTCTGTTCATCGGTGGTGGTATTGCCAACTTCACCAACGTTGCCTCCACCTTCAAGGGTGTGATCCGCGCGCTCCGCGAGTACGCCAAAGCGCTCAACGAGCACAACGTCAAGATCTGGGTCCGCCGTGCTGGTCCCAACTGGCAGGAGGGCTTGAAGAACATGAAGGCCGCCACCACCGAGCTTGGTCTCGACTGCCACATCTACGGTCCCGACATGCACGTGTCTGGTATCGTCCCCCTGGCGCTCAAGCCTGGCGAGTTTGAGAAGTCCACGGTGGCGGAGTTCTCTAGTTAAGTGAAGCCGTAGGGGGGACAGCGAGATGCGATGATTGTTTGGGGGGAGTAAACAGAAGAAGGAAGGGTTCGAAGACCAATGTGTGGGCGAGCACGGGGGAATGGCGCGGTTTATAGATGCATTGCTACCGAAACGTTAAGCCTTCCACACCGCCTGTTTCTTTTCATTCTTCTTTTGATATTACCTCTCATGTACACCGGTGCTGGGGCGCTGCTGGGCGGATTTTCAACCTACATGATGTCAACCAAAGGCGGCGGTAGCGGTGTGTTGTTGGAGAAGGGAGAGGAGGATCTCCATCCGGGGGTCCAGAGCGAAAACTTTCGAATGTTGGAGGTACCCAAATATAGAGCTTGGACTGTAATGTGATCTCTTCTTGAGGACTTCTCTGTTTGTTGCTTCGTTCTGTGTCTCGTGTCTGCAGGCCGACTGAAATGGACTGCATTGGAGCAGCTTCTTCTACAAATCGCATCACTACGATCAACTATGAAACTTTTGCATAACCTCATTCTTATGGTCTCCCTACCAACGGATCCCTCCTTCTTAGTTTCTGTAGAAGAACTGAAATGCTCATGGCATGATGGTATTACGGAAGCCGATACTCGGAAGAATTCTTCCCTTAAAAAAATTGTGCGACCTTCCTTCGGGTCCATCTCGATGCTGCGCCGTATCGAGGCACTCACGCCAACCAGGCAGCCTTTCACCAAACTTGTGCCCCCTTCATATTTGCAGACAAGCAAGAGAGGTGCACATGGTTCCTACGTAGCACGCAGGGCACAAGAATGACGCAGGTGTAGAACGGACTCTTAGCCGAGGAAGCCGGCTAGGAAGCTAGCGACGACAGCAGATACCACCACCAGTGGTATCGACTCGCTCTGGACGTGTCGCACACCTGTCCCTGCACTCGTCTCCTTAGGTGTGGACGTGGCAGAGGCAGAGCTCGTAGTGCCCGTCGGCATGCCGCTCGAGGTCGGGGTACTACCCGACGTGCTGGCAACGGCGGCATTGCTGCCAGGCTGATTGATTTGATCCTCGGCCAGTGGTACAACCTTCAGGCCAGTGATGACATTGCCATGGTTGTCCTTCACGGTGCTATTGACAGTGTAGTCATCTAGAGCAGCTGATTAGTAATTTTCCTTCTTTCTTTCTTTTCAATTTCAAGGTATTCGTTTCCGGTGGCAGCAACGTACTAATTGGCACAATCTTGCCGCTCGGCAAGGGGCTCACGCCGTTGGCTATGATGTCCTCCGCTCCGGAAGGAGGTAATGGAACGGTGAAGTCAGTACAGAAGCCGGGCGTGGTGATCATATTGGCGCTGCACGTAGGCACAGAGGGGCTGTTGGCAGGTGGTGCGACGCCCTGGATGGTGGCGAAGTTCAAGGCAGCATATCGATCCTTGAGGGTGTAGAAGTCGTCGAGAAGTTGGGCAGTACCGTCGGAGCTATAGTTGACGAGGCCATAGTTATTGCTGCCCTGGACAAACTCATACACAATGCCACCGCTGAACACACCACTCATCTGAGTGCTGTAGATCACGGGCACTTCTGTGAAGACGCGAGGCTCAGGCACGTTGCAGCCGTACTCGGACAAGAAGATGGGTACGGAGGAGTTGCTGAAGCCGGCGACAAGCTGGTTGTAGGTAGATTCGGTGAAGGAGCTGTTGCCACACCACGAGTAGCTGTTGAGCGAGAAGAAGTCGACGCGGCTCGCGTCGCCCGAGGAGGTATCATCACCAGCTGTATCGTCGCATTGCAGGTACGCCCACGTGTCGAAGAGGATCGAGCGAACATCGGCGGCGCTGTAGCCCACAGGAATGGCGCGATCGGAGTGCCGGGCGATGTAGTTCTTGAGATCACGCGTGACGGCACGCATGTAGGGAGGGACGGTATAGCCGGTTGCCACGTCAGAGATAACCTCGTTGCCGGCAAAGAATGCGACGGTATTGGGATAGCTCTTGAAGGCCTCGACGACAGCAAATGTACGATTCAGATAGCCGGCGTAGTAGCTTGCTCCTGGTTGGAGCGAATTGATGCTGTCCCCAGCCAGAGGCGCGTTGACGTCGAGTAACATGAAGATGCCCGCCTGAGCATTATGTCTAGTCAGCAAGCTGATCACCCACTATTTCTCCCACCCAGACCCCAGCACCAAAATCGAAGGACACAGGGTGTCGTACCGCATTGAAGATCGAGGCGCACTCGTCATGGTTGAGGTCAGGGTTGATGTTGTAAACACGGACAGCGTTGACACCGAGTACCTGCATGAGGGCGGCATCACGAAGGCAAGCATCCTTATTGGTCAGAGCATCCGTTCCAGAGGAAGGATCATAGCCAGAGCTACCACCAGGTTGATAGGCGACACCGACAATCTGGTAACGGTCACCAGTGACATTGTTGACGAAGTAGTTGGCTCTGACATTGATGGCTGGAACAGCCGCGGCCAGAGATGCATAGCCGAGAAGGCTTAAGACGGTACGTACGATCTGTGAGCCATGTATTTCAGCTCTCAGGTCACTTTGATAGAAACTGGCCGACCGGAGTCTGGTACAACGACACTTGCCGAAGCGCTTGCGCTTGCGTGCAGAGTCATGGGGCAGGAGTGATTTGCAAAGGGCTGAAAAGGAACCCCGGCCTGGTTCATGTGAAGCTTACCTGCATCTTGAAATTGCCACAGACAGCGAGACAACAACGGGTGTGGATGGCGAAGTAGGGAATGCGGATGAGATGGGTTGTTGGGAATCGAATGCTTTGTTCTGGTGTGCTGAGAAGGTGAAAAGTCAAGAGTGTGATAGATTCGTCAACAAACGTGGCACTAGAGCTGATCTGGTATTTCAAAGGTGCAGAATAAGAAAGAGGAATCCTGCTACTGGAAATGTAGCGTGTTGCTGATGTATTTGGCAGTTTGTTTGCTTGCTTCGCGTCTTTGCGTGATTGTCCCACAGGCGTGACAAAAGGAGCCGAGAATGAACCACAAGTCGTCGTGATATGAAGTGGCCTGCCACACAGAATTCTCCAGGTACGTGAGTAAATCGTTGATGAGGCAGGATGCCGATGTGTGTAGATGTCTGTATCAGAAGTGGACAACAACTGGCAGAAAACACAACCTCAGCTTGATACACACAGACCCGCACGCACGCACGAACACAGACGCGAACGTAGAGGAGCCAGAGTTCGGGTTAGACGGTGTCCATCGTACTCATTGATAATGATCGTGCGATACTGTTAAAGAAGACACGCCGACCAGCAGAGAATAACTCGATCAACCTCGAGCACTTGAAGCAAAGCAGAACATACATCAAGATCAAAAGTCGGGCAAATCAAAGAGAGATCATACTCCAAATTAAGGCAGGTACGATTTCTATTCGCTCATTATCAACTGGGAAAACGCAAGGAAGGAAGGCTCACTGCCCGAAGACCGCCACAACAGCCAGCAGCCACTCACTGCACTTGTCTCTGCAGTCGTCCTTGCCGTTCCTGCGTTACTTGACGAACAATGACGAGCTCTGACACCACCCAGAGTTCTGACCTTCCTCATAGTTGCACTTGCAACAGATCATTTTGAGGAAGGAAAGAGCATTATCCGTGTCAACATCTGCCTAGGTGCACGCATCGCAGCAATGGGCTCCTCATCCCCCATGTTCCCTCCAACAGATGGACCAATCTGTGGGTCCAACTGTCACATTTGTGATCTTCGTGGAACAGTACTTGCCTTGTCTTTGAGTCATCGCAAGCACTGGGAAGAAGCATAGTTGATACATCACAGTATCCGTTGCGGTCACACGACGGCAAGTAGTTGTAATGGCTGCTTAGCAAACAGGAGAGGCACGTCCGGCACGAAAGGGGAAAAGAAAGGGGGGGTTGTCTCACGTAATGCAAGAGCAAGAAGCACAACAGGCGGCACGGGCCGTTGGCAAGTGTGAATATATGGTCGGAGACGACACTCCTACTCCTTCTATGTGCCTCTGTGTCTTCCTTACCTATTTTGCTCTTCAACTGTCAACAGCTTAAACAGGCGAACTCTACCTCGCCTCACCTGAGGGCAGTCAGCACATCCACCACTCTATCTCCAGACGTTGAAGTGCATAGGATCTTATATTACGTACAAAATAAACCTCTGAAGGTCTCTACTCTCTTGACTTTCACCGGAGCACAACACAAACCTTAAGCAAGCATCCAGCCAAAGTATGCACAGTGTACAAATGGCTACAAAAGAACTTAATTGAAATTCCTTGATTCTGGGTCAAGTGATGGAAGAAAGGCACGAGAGGCTATGTCGACTCTATCTTGGTTACTGAGAGCGAGCATCGTCTCTTTTATGTTCCACTCTTTTCTTTTTTCGGGCATACATGAATATTAACACTCGAACAGAAACCTCTTCAGCCTCGACTCCAACTCGACTCAACTCAACCCCTAGAAACCACCACTGGCACCAGGCGGAAAGCCACCTCCGATACCACCACTACCACTACCCGTGCCTGTGGTCCCCGTGGACGAGAAATCGCAGGGGTCGTCAGGCAGGGTGCCACCGCCCTGGGTGCCACCGCACTCTTGAACATCGCCAGTCGAGGTGCGCACGAAGCGGTACGTTGGATCATACGACGCAGTGACGTTGACGGCGATGGTGATCCACCCAAACAGACCATCAGACAGGTCGTCCCCGAGGTAAGCATACTCAATGAATGGGTCCGAGTCGCTGTCGACATCGTCCGTCTCGGACAGCAGGATCTGGTCGTCCGCGTTCAGCGTCAGCGGGATTGTGTTGAGGCTGTATGGATACGTCGCCTCGACTGCATAGATCAGGTCCTGGTCGTAGAAGAGCTGGCCCACATGCGCGATGTTGCCTCCTGTGATGGTCCCGTTGGGCAGCACCGTCGCGTTGATGTGGCCGATGACGTGGTGGTGGGTCGCCCGCGAGCTGTAGTGGCCAGGGAAGACGGTCTGGAACTGGGCCACGCCGTCGGCGTCGGTGGGCTGGATCCCACGCAGGTACGTCGCGTTCAGGTTCGAGAGGTCGGCGCTGTTCCCGTTGATGTCGCCTTCCAGGCCCGCGATCCCAGAGTACACTCCCGTAGTGTTGCAGTTCCAGAGATCCCAGTACAGGTTCTCGATGGGCTCGCACGTCTCCACGTCCAGGAACTGCCCGTCCAGGATCAGCGGGACCCCCGGCTGCCCGTCTGTCAGGTTGGAGCGGATGCTCTCTCCCAGGACGTAAAAGGGGCCCACGTCGCCCTCTGGGTTCAGGATGCACGTCCCACTGTTGTTGAACAGCTCCGTCTCGGGGGTCGTCGCCGTCACATTGAGGTCAGAAAGGTGCGACGTGTTGAGCAGCTGGGCTAAGTCTCGCGAATCGAGCTGCTGGTGGTCGGCCGCCCGCTTGCTGTACTTTGCGAAGGTCGCCGCGCGCCGCTCCGCCGCCCTGGCGAGCACGCCGTTGGCCTCGAGTTTGTCGGCACAGCCTGCGAGGCTGCGGCTGGCGCTGCGCACAAAGTCGCGTCGCTCTAAGGCCGCCCGCCGCTCAGCTTCTTCATGCCCTGGGTGGGCACTGCTGAAGGCCGCAAGGCACAGGAGGGAGGAGAGTGTGGCCGCTGTCGTCAGATACATGTCTGTAACTATATACGGTAGAAATTTGGTAAAGGATGCGCCTGTCAGACGAAACACACAGACCGAGTGTAGGAGAGGCAAGCTATATTTGTACTCGATTTTGCTGAAGGCCCTCGGACGGGGTTGACAAAGGGGAGGACATGGAGACGCTCAACGCGGCCACCACCCTGGCGGCATATCAACCCCTTGCTGACCCCTTGCTCGTACAGTCGATCATCGTGATAAAAGTCCATGATATTACCACAAGCAGAAGACCTGCCTCCTGCATCGGTGTGCCGCGACCATCTTTCGACTGGACAAACATGCCTTGTTACGGCCCACGGGCATCTCACTCCGAAAGGCTTCATGCCCTTGTATGGTCCCTTTCAGCGTTTCACTCGGCTCGGACAGAGTCAGAGAAGAACCTGGGCATCCTTCACAATCTTGGAGCAGAGCACAAACGACCAGTTGCAAAAGCATTAGGCTTGAGGCCTGAGAGGAAGCTCCAGAGAGCGTCAACTATGGCACAAACCCAGCAGGCTCCATCATATGCAAGCAAGGAGGCAAGCCAAGACTTTGATTCCGCCTATCATCTCTCAGACATTTGTGATGATCGGCTGTGTGTGGCTGGATGCGGCAGGTTCACAATAATTGGATTACGCGGCCGTTCTGGGAGGAGTGTTGCGTGCGCGAGTGTGCTTCTTTGCTTAACGTAGTATATGCGACACGTCGCCTGGGATAGGTGGGAGCCGGTGGTGATTGAGTGGAAAAAGAACCTTACGTCCAACTACTACTTGGACTTGTTCTTGTAAGCAGGGGTGAGTGCGTGGACAGGTAAAAGGATGGTCACAATCCCGTTGCTTAACGGGTTGTCATGATACCCGAACTGCCCCACAACCCGGTACATTTGCCTAAGAACCTTGGAAAGAACTCTAAGGCTATTCGCTGCAACGGCTGGTGTGAAGCAACGGTCTGGGCAGGTCTCAAGCCGGGGCTCACCTTCCATCAAAACTAGTGTGGTGTATGGTTAATTTTAGGAAAAGGGAAGGCAGCACAACGACCCTTGCAACTGCTGTGACCGGTTTTCTCTATGCGTCATCTTGGCACAATGCCTTTGACTTTAACACATACTGTAGGTGTACCACCTCGCTCAGACGTTGCTCAAATCGATACATCAGCCCGCCAAGATGCTTCCAATCATGTGTATGGCCACGTAATTACGATCCTGTCGGTGGCGATACTTTGCATCTCTTGCAGTCGAGACCCTGTTGGCCATCTGTGCATGCGTAATTTTGACTGCAATGACGATCTTGAGCGTCCTGCCACGTAATATCGAATGCGTCTGGGGTTGATCCTTTAATTTGTTTCTGGTACATGACGCTGCATCCGAGTGGAGAGCAGCGTTCCACACAAGTCAAGCGGAATCAAGCGGCTTGACAAGCGAAGTTGACGGTTTGGCGATGGTCTTCAAGACAAGTAAGCGGCCTTTTTGACCAAGCGGCTTGCAAGCGAACAAGCGAATTGCCTCAGTCCTATTGTGGGTCCTTATAGGCTCAGTTGAAGCTATCGCGGCCCACTCTGGATGCAACCTTGCTGGGGTTTTTGGTGTTTTGGCCTAGGCTTTTGCCCTGGCCCTTGGCTATTCGGCCTATATATCCGTATTAAGTCTTTTCCTCCGCTGGCAGGCAAGCTCTTCTGTACCTCTTCTACCCTTGTACTTGGCATCCTCGCGTTTACTTCCTCGCGTCTCGCACCTGGGTGTCCTCGCGTTTATCTATCATCGCTTTCCTTTCACTATCATGGCTAATAGCAATGCTTTCAACCAGCTTAGCCATGCGAGATATACCTCTATCCAGAAGCAGATCGATGCCCACGATGCCATAGCACAGTTCTCTCTTGGTACCCTCAAAGACCTCCCACGCATTAAGGTTCCAGGACGATCCCATGCCTTTGTCCCAGCTCGCTGGATGCCAACATCATCGGCCAAGAGGAAGCGCCACGGGTCTGATATCTGGCATTTCGGCGAGAAGCTCTTCGAGGTCATCGTACAGGCTGACGGCACATGCAAAGTTGCAGCGGATTGGTGGTTCTGTCGCCTCTGCGATCAAAATAATCGACAGACCTTATATACTACGCGTAACAGTATCTCGACAAGCATATCAGCAGCTCTAAAGCATCTCGAAGGTCGCGATAACGAGGGCCATAACCTTGGCAAGCTGAAAGAGCTTGTTGCAGAGGCAGAGAAAGAGGAGGTTAGCCCAGAGGAGCTTGGCCGGCGAAAGCGGCGAAGAATAAATCATCGTGGCCTTTTCAACAACAGCAGTCTATATACAGCGCCTGATGCCTTGAAAGACGCTGCCAACGCTCCAACTCGTGCAGTTGTTAGTCTTGCGAAGAAGGCTATAACAGAGCTGGTTGCTTGTTGCGATATACCTCTTTCAACTCTCGAGGCGCCTCAGTTCCGCCAGCTGTTGATGGTCTGGAATAGCACCCTGACGGAGCACTTTTTCCCTCGAAGTGATGGCACAGTGATGAGATGGCTGTTTGAGGCGTTTCACGAGAACCTAGCTGGTCTTCAGCTCCAGCTCCAGCGCGAGGCTATCTCGAAGATTCATCTATCTGCTGATCTCTGGACCTCGCCTAACCACAAAGGCATTCTAGCAGTGGTTGCGCATTTTGTTGATAGCGATGCAAAGCTGCGAAATCGCCTTATAGCAGTGAGGATGATCAACGGCCAGCATACTGGCGAGAACCTCCAGTGGCATCTCCATCAGGTTATTATGGCTTTTCAGCTTGAGGAGCGGCTCGGCTGGCTTACTTTTGATAACGACAGCACGAACGACAAGGCAACAAGGCTTCTTTTTCGCAAGATGTACGGCTTCAATCATCGTGAAGCTGAGAAGCTGCGGATTGAACGGCGATGCCGCTGCTGGGGCCATATTATTAACCTTATTGTCAAAGGCTTCCTCTCTGGTAACGCTAAACAGATACTCGAGGCTGAAGACAGCGATGCTGATGAGGTAAGTCGAGCTGTTTTGTATCTTCCTGGCTTATTGCTAATATTTAAGCAGGAACTCGAGCAACAGAGGAATCAGTGGGATCAGTGGCAGCGAGAAGGACCTATACGCCGCGCTCATCTTATTGTAGTCTTCCTCAAGGCAAGTGTACAGCGGGTTCAGGACTTCGAGAAGATTGTTCAGAACTCTTTGTTTTCTCCAGAGGACCAAGATCTCGAGGACACTACAGCCTTTTTGGCAGAGGCCCTTCCTCAGCTAACAGCACAAGACCTCACGATGCCACTACCACCGCTTCCTACAGACCCTACAGATGAGCAAACTGGCGATATATCTACCTTGCGGCCAGTGGTAGCTCAGGAGACGCGATGGAACTCAACAGAGGCTGAGATATCGCGGCTGCTGAGGCTGAAAAGACCTATTGATTTCTGGGTTAAAGAGCAAGTTCGAAGCGGTGCTAAAATACAACCTTTGAGTGAGCAGGACTGGCGAGTGCTTGAGGCAACTCGAGATCTTTTGCAGCCATTCCTATGGCATACAAAACACCACGAGGGGAACGCTGTAGCTGTTCATGATGTTCTCAGTTCTTTGTGGGATCTCGAGAAGCATTTGCGGTCCTTTCAGGAGAGATTTGGAGGCAGAAAAACGTATGCTGAAGAAGAAATCCTTGAGGAGATTATTGTCTCGCCAAATGCAGAGAAACCAGCCCTCCAGCGGCCCTCATCGCGATATCAGGCCCCTTCAAGACCTTCCTCTCGGCCCTCGCCTCGACCCTCCCCTCGACCCTCCTCTCGACTTTACTCTCGGCCCTCCTCTCAGCGTTCCTCTCGGCCCTCCCCTCGACCCTCCCCTCGATCCTCCCCTCGCCGTCGAGCTTCACAGTCTTCAGATATATTTCCCAGCACTCCAGTACGGGAATGGCCAGATGTTGGTTCTCAACAAGAGGCTGAGATATACCCCGAGGAATGTGGGCTTGAAGGTGCTGAGTTTCTGAGAGAATCAGTAGCCCACGCGTTGGCAATTCTCAAGCGATATAAGAGCAAGCTTCGCGAATGCCCTATATATTTTGCTGCTGCTGTTTTGCATCCGAAATATCGCCTGGTTGGTATTCGTACAGCAGCGCCAGCTATTGCTGACGATGTTGAACAAGAGTTTAAGGCTTTTTACGAGAAATATTGGGCATATAAAGATCCAGCCTTATCATCAGCATCAACACCCAGCTTGCAGGAAGATCAAGAACATAACAAGCCAAAGAAGCAGTGGAGGACCGCCTTCAGGGCACAACCAAGGCCAAAGCATCAACGGCCACAGTCAGAGCTGGAGAAATATCTCCAGCTAGAAGAGGACGACGAGGACGACGATGGTTTTGAGCCCCTCGTCTGGTGGGCAGCGCGTAAGGCCGAGTTTCCAGCCCTCTCACAGATGGCCTTCGACGTCCTATCTATCCCCGCGATGTCGTCCGAATGCGAGAGAGTCTTCAGCCAAGGGAAGCTTACGATGTCCTCGCAGAGGAGGAGAATGAAGAGCAGCACTCTCGAGCTCCTTTTGTGCCTCAAGGACTGGCTGAAAAATGGAACGCTGGCAGGACCAGCAGCAGAGATGAGGAGGAAAGGCATTGCCTAGCAGCTTTTTGCCAAAAAAAGGCATTCGAGGGGGTCAGAAATGTTTCTTTCAGCACTTGAGCGAGGGACCTCGCGCGGATCAGAGCGTAACAAGGAAAACTATCATCATATGCCTCTGTACCGGTTGAACCACGTGCGTAGCTCATTTGTTACTCTCACCACCTTTCGTTTCGTATATCTATCGTACATTCCTAATCCGGTATAGTGACCAAGTCACCAAGCGAATCAAGCGGCCAGGTACTAGAAGACAAGCAAGCGGCCAAAATAGTTAGCAAGTCAAGTGGAGGGCTACCGCTTGCCTTGACTTGACTTGTGTGGAACGCTGGTGGAGAGCCGATCTCGGGATTAGTCGATTCTTTTCTAACGTGAGCTTAGGCACGCCGTCTTTTGCCTACATCTTCTCTCCTTGGTGTTTGGGGAGGAAGGGGGGGGCATGTGTGAGTGGGAGAGGAGTGCTCATATTTGTAGAATTACATGCAAGGTAATTATCGAGTGATATAGATGAGGATGGTAATTTATTCCATTCTACCAACCAGCCCTTTATGCAGGAACACCGTACGTAATTAATTACGCAAGCAATAGTTGTAGGGCCTCGAAAGCCTTCGAGGAGAGACTTTACTCAACAGCTACCTAGGTAATTGACAGCCCCGGCCATGTATCGCCCTGCCTCTGGTTTTGCCCAATGTTATACCAAAGTAGGTAGCAAATATCTCAGGCCTGAGGATCACTGAGGTGTTCGTTGTTGACGTATTAATAATAGTGCTGTCACTGTTCGCCTCAGCCTTGACCTTGTTCTCACTCCGTTTCGTCTTCCTTCTGATGAGGACGAGCACGGCGTTCTGCGTGTTGATATTTGGAGGTGATGAAGGGGGAACGCAGGGCAGGAGTTCCTTACAAGCGCCTTCTTATTGGCTAATTAATCATCTCAATGTTCTGTCCATCTGATACGTTTAACAGATTATAAGTACTGACTCAACATACATAGGTGTGTATGTAATCAAGATTCAGCATGCACTGCCGTAGCTGGATTCAGTCTGGCCATGGGCGGTACTCTTGAAAATACTTGCCCGCTCAACCAGCGTGGCCAAATGGTGGCGTGAGAACTGTTTTTTTTTACATGTTGATTACTGGCAGAAAGTTTGGGACAAAAGATGTGAGGGCTACAAGAGAGAAATAAGGGATCTACAAGTAAGTCAAAGGTCCTCTCTCTCTTTCTTGTTGCCTTTCTATTTCTTCTTTCAATTTTCTCTTCTACTTCTCTTAAGCTTACACTAGCATTTCTAATATTGTTATAAACTCAGGTTTGCAAATGATGCGAGTGCGTCCTGCCCTCCAGACATTTCCTTAAAGCCTCTCCAAAACTCCTCGATAAGAGTAGCAACATCAGGGACCCGCTGCCTAACAACAGCATGGCCAGCCTGCGGGACAACAGCAACATTCGAGAACCCAACATCCAGCAGATCCTGCCTGCTGCACACCTCGTCCAGCTCGCCCACCACCCCGAGACACCTGTCCACGCCCACAGCCTCCACGGCAGCCCGATATGCAGCATGGTTATCAAACACGGCGCCATCTCGAAAGATAGCAACCACGCTGCCCGCATGGCCCGCGTGCGTCTTCATCTCCCAGTCCCGCACAGCCTCCGCAACGACCTCGCCCTTGCCCACCCTCTCCCGCCAGTCGTCCGGCACAACCAATTTCCCGCCCTCGAGAAACTCCAGGACCAGATCAAGCGTGCTACTGCTGCTGCTCACTTCCTCTGCATCAACATCACCGTTGTCGGTGGTGGTGGCAGCAGCGGGACCCGCGAGCTCGTGCCTCGTCTGCGCCTCCTCCGAGAACAGAGCCGAGCGCCACATCAACCCTGCCGGCGCGATAAAGGACACAGAAGCCACCGCTTCAGGGCGGAGCGCCGCGTACCCTGCCGCTAGCGAGCCGCCGAACGAGTACCCGACAAGATGCACCTTGCTGCTGCTCGTGCCGCTGCTCTGCCATCCCAGCGCAGCTAGGACCGCGTCCAAAAGGCTGTAGAACAGCGAGGGCACGTGGGGGCTGAGAGGGGTGTCGGTTAACCCGTGGCCCCAGAGATCGAGCAGGGCGATGTGAGCTGTTGGGAAGCGGCTGCGGAGGTCTGTGGCGAGGGGCTGGAGGCCCAGGGCTGGGGTTTGGATGCCGTGGATCATGAGGATGCGGAGGGGTGCTGCGTGGTGGTCTGGGGAAGAGGATGATGGGGCTGTTGTTGTTGTGTTGGTGGAGGTGGTGGGCGGGTAGTCATAGTATGCTGCTCTCCCTTGGGGCGTGGTCAGGTATGTTGCTTGTGGGAGAAGGCTGCCAAAGGTCTTGGTCATATCGGCCTCTGTGGGCGCTCGTATGGGCGCTGGCTGCGGCGCATCTTGGCTGGTGGTTGTGGTTGACCAGGGGCGCGGGATGACGAGCAGAGGGGAATAGTCTTGGCTTGCCATGTTTGGGTGTTCCTAATTGAGTTGGAGAAGGAAATGAAATGACAAAGGGAAACAGGAATGATTTTCTATAAAACAAAAAGTAAAAAATCTTGAGAGCAAGTTTGTATGAGGGAGAATGATTAGCTCGTAAGTCACCGCTAATCTAGATCCCCACCTTTATCCGTGTCTCTGAGGATGTCCATGCCATTTGTAAGGCGCGCAAAGGGCATGACAAGGGCGCAAGAGGGATGCTTGTCAAATCCTCTGGGGATTACTTCTAGATCACCTGGCCAGATGTCAAAACATGATCTATTCTCACAGAAGTCGATTTCCATGCTTAGAAACGACGAATGAGCATATTTCCTCCAAGCTGTAAGCACATGCATTTGGTTATATTGTTGACCAAAGTAGTAATCAACAAGACACGGCATTCCCAGTTGGATAAGGCCACAACGACATTGACAAATTGCTGTATAATCCATCTGCGAGATAGAAGTAGGAACTCTGTACATTCATAGTATTAGCTGTGAAAATTCCTTGGTTGAGTCATGGTTTTATCCCCACAAAACAAGCTCAGTTGCTCGATACTTATTTGATTCCCAAACCAATCTCACAGAAGTATGAACACTACTTAAAAAAAAAAAAAAAATAAAAAAAAAAAATAAATAAAAAAGGAAGAAGAAAAGATGAACGAGTCACGCTTGCACCCATATGACCGAAGGCTACGAAGTAGAGAAGAAGATACGAACCTCCCCCGTACGCTTGAGATGCTGTCAGCAAAGCAGTATAGCACCATCTAGCAAATCACGTTAGACAACTTGAAAGCTAGCAGCGTGCTGTGCTGCTGGATTTGCAGGCCAAGCCACTGTTCCAGGATTCGTAATCAGACCTTGACGCCTGCAATCAAGGACTTTTGGATTCTTCTTGAGAAGTTGCAGAAAGAAGATTAACAATTTTCTTACTGGTAAGCTGCATAGAGACCACCATTCCGGTTGTCAATCTGTCCATCTTTTCCAAGCCACACGTTCTAAGATGTGATTCTACACAACGGAAAAGAAAGAAGAGCTTGGGGCGCAAGGTCGCAACACTTACTTGAACTTGTCATGGGGCAGGCATCTTGCATAAGGAGGACGGGAGTTGAGTATCTGTGTGGGCAAGCAGCCCATTGTTTTATTATATCCAGAGATTGTTGGCTGGTATTGTGATAAAAACAAGCTTGGAAAGATCATAACTGCGTCCATTCCACTGCTCCCTCCTCTTATTAGCGAAGGGGGGGAAAAAAAAAATGAGGGGGTAAAAACAAAATCATCCATTTGACAACATTGACCTCATGATTCAATCCGTCACGGGGCACAACCTTGTTTTCTTCTTTGACAAGGTTCTTTCATTCTCCTTTCTCTTCAAGCGGCCATCAGCCGCCCCCTTTTCTTCCCTTCTACCTCCTTGCAAACACAGCAAGAAGAAGTATATACACCCATTCTCTCTTCTTCCCCTTTCTTTGCTTCGTTTAGAAGACCATACCCTTGACCTGGGTAAGCTTGTTCAGGTTGAGGTCCCTGATCAGGAAGACCCAGATGAAGCACAGGGCCATGATGCCAGTTCCGGCGGCCAACATCCTGGTCTGGGCATAGCCGTAGGCGTCCTGGATGGCCAGCCTGGTCTCGCTGCCGACGGGGTAGCTGAGCTGGGTGTCGAGGTCCTCGTAGATCATGGTGAAGTTGGCCATGGCGGACTCGGGGAGGTACCACTCGAGGGCGTTGGGGAAGGTATTTGTCCAGATGGCGCCCGAGATGGTGGCACCCAGGGCGTCGCCGATGGTGCCGATGACGTACAGGAGGGCGAGGGCGGCGGCGACGTGCTGGTGGTCGACGGCGGCCAGGACGGCGACCTGCTGGACGATGATGAAGATGGAGCCGCCGATGGCGATGAAGACCTGGCACATGATCTGGTAGCCGACGGACTGGTTGGGGCGGCGGAAGTAGATCATCAGGCCCTGGGCAAAGATGTACAGCGGCACGGCGATGTACAGGAGCCAGCGGAAGCGGCCGGTGCGGCGCATCAGGTAGCCCACGCCGAAGAGGAGCACGCCCGACACGACGTTGAAGGTGTTGTTGATGTAGCCGGCCTCGGCGAGGCTGACGTCGTTGACCACCTGCAGGTACGAGGTGAAGTAGTTGTCCCAGCAGTAGTAGGCGATCTGGTACGTGGCGTCGAGGAGGCACGCGCCCAGCACGGTCCGGTCCGTGAGGAAGTGGTAGCTCAGCAGCGGCACGGGGGCCACCCACTTCTCGAAGGCGGCGAACGACAGCAGCAGGCAGAAGCCGACGACCAGCATGGCGATGATGTAGCCTGAGGCCCAGCCGTCGGGGGCGGAATCCGCAATGTCGAAGGGGAGAAGGAAGAGCACAAGACCGACAGAGAAGAGGACCACTCCGAGGACTAGAAAAAGAAGAGGAGAAAAGATTATTTGTCAGTTATCTGCTCCTGCTGCTGCTTTCTTGATAAAATTCCAAACATGGACTGACAAAAGAAGGAGAAGAAGAAAGAAAATACTCACTATCAAAGTCCACGGTGTAGTGCCAGATGCTCTCAAAGATTGTGCGTCCGCTGTTGTGCTCGACGTAGTTGCCCAGCTTCTTGGCCTTCTTAATGTTGGCCTTGAGGATGAAGAACAACGGAGCCGCCACGATAGGGAAGACGATGGCAAAGACACCGAAACCCCAGCGCCAGCTGATCTGGTAGTAGAAGCTTTCCGAGGCCGCAGAGCCGGCAAAGGCCGTGATGATGTACGGAGACGAGGTGAAAGCGTACGCCAGACCTCGATTCTTCAGCTTGGAGGCATCGGCCGTGACCACATCCACGCAGAAGGTCATGCCACCGAATCCAATGGTGTAAAAGACCTATCGTTGTTTTTCAAGCCACATTAGTACATGTTTTCTTTTGCTCCCTCTGGCTTATTTTCTTCAAGATCCATTTGTGCGAGGAGAGAGGTAGTGATATTGCTAAGGAAACTTACATATGCGGCACAGAATGTCGCCAGGTTCTCGCTGGCCGCCATCAGGATAAGGCCCAAAGTAGCGAAAACGGTCATGAGGGCGAAACCCTCAGCACGGCCCCAGACATCAAGAATCTTGGACAGGGGCACGTAGATGGCAGCCGACATGGCATCGGCCACCACGTAGATGACGTTGAGCAGCGAATGGGTGTCCCAGGCGCTTGTCGCGTACGGAAGCAGGTTGCCCAGGATGGTGGACTGCATCGCGTTGACAAAGTAGAGAAGGAAGATGCTAGGGACCGGGTGATCAATGTTAACAACATCCAGACAATCGGGGCTAGTCGACTAGCGATTTGATGATGGTGATGATTTTGTTTGGCGGACGAGAGAGATATCTGCGCCAAGTTTTGTGTGATTGATTGAATGGATGGGATGGATAACAACAACAACAACAACAACAACATACTTGAGAAACACCAGGATCAGCGAAAGCCGGGACCAGCTCAAGGTCACGGCCTCGACATCCTGAACACCACGCTGGTCGGTCTCATTGGGGAGGTCGTGCTGGTCAACACTATCGTCACTTGGAATGGCATCGTCGGTGGCCTGAGCCGTCTTACTGAGCTCTTCAGGGGAAGACATGGCGACAGAAAAATGACTGGATGGATTCTCCCTTGGCGCTGTCGATAGGCCCCAATCTTGTTGACAGCGGAAAGAAACAGGCAGCAAAAAGTTCTGTCTGATGTTGTTCTTGTTGTGTAGTGACAATACTTGGAACTGTCCCCTTTGGGTGTGTGGTGTCGAAGAGACGAATCTGATATAACACACCCTTTCTGGTGGTGATCGATGGGAAACGAAACGAAACGAGACCACGTCAGGCCAAATAGTGCTGGGACACTGTGGATGAAAATTTCCCCAAAGGCAGGCCGGCCTAAACAAATACTGTACTGTGCGATTTTTATCTAGTAGGGCCACTTCGGGGGTACTTTGTTGGACATGGGTATTGGGTTCTAGTGGAGGACTACCGTACCCTCAGATCAGGTCTTTTATTGGACTTTCTCCGACGTCGGATCCGAAAGGTGACGACTCGATGTCTTGTTTTCTTCTCTTTTGACCCTCCCCCCTCTTCTACTAAGGGAAATCCAGACCGTGGATGGGAACAGTTTCGTCCGCCTATGGAGTCTTGCTTGCGTTGCTCGTCTCTGGCGGCTATGTGCCGAGATGCATTCTGCAATGCACATACCGTAATTAGTATCACTCATTCAACTCTCTCAAGCTGTTGTCTGTTATTCATGATGGAACTGCAGGAACAATAGGTTCGGCATTGCCTCTTGTAGAACCCCCCGAGCACAGTTTTGATTTCTTTTTACGAATTTGAAGTGACAGGCAGTGAGCGTACCTGGTTTTTTCTTTCTCATGTCATAGAAAAGTATACACCGTCCCAGGGAGCATGTAATAGTTACCATGATACAATTGTTTGCCGCTCTGCTTTTCTTCTTTTCTCTCCCTCTCTCCATGTCTTCCCGCCTGCCCCCCCCCCTCTTTTTCCTCAATGGGCGCACCATGGAACGTAATCCAGAGAGGATCTAGCCTCAAGCCCAAGAGTCTAGAGGGTAGAGCTTCCGACCTTGTTGCTCCTCTTCGGGTATCCGCGTGGCGCAATGCCTGAGTGGAAGGTATTAATCTTATCAGATCCGGTGCGTGTGGGTCCCCTACCACCCTCCCCCCCCCGCTCCCTCTCCTCCGAGCACGACACACGTAGCATTGCCCAAGGGCCAGTCAAAACAGACCAATCTGGAGTGGGAAGACGAGTGTGATTCCATGTCTGTCGGCGTGGGTGGGGGTGTGTGCGTGTGGGAACGCATGACTTTTGGGCCCCTCTCTCGTCTGGTCGTCCATCCATCACTACTATGGGACCTATGGTACACCACCACATCTCCGTAATCTGATCCCATCACGACAAGAAAACCTTTGTGCCACATGAACGGATTGGTCCCGAAAAGGGCCGACGGCCTTGTTCCAGACATGCAGAGTTTTCCGCCCAGAGCTCAGGGGGGGGGGGCGGGAGGAGGACAGGAAAGGGTTGGTGGTGGGAGAGAAATGCCCACACAAGGTTCCACTGGATGGGCCTTGCTAGCTCATTCACTCAAAGAGGACATCCCTGGACTGCGAGTGGTAGCGCGATCAGATAAATCTTTTCGACCAGCCAAGTGGGCACGGAAATTATCAGATCCTTTTCTAGCCGATGGTTGGTATTGGTTTCAGTGGGTACCTTTGACCAGGCTCCAAAAGCTAGGGGGGGTGTGAGTGGGGGGTCTCTTCTAGTCAATATATTTTCCAGATTATTGCATAAATGCATCATCTCACAGTGCGTCAAAGGAAATAGTATGTAGATAATTGACTGTGAGCGCGTTGCCTTCCTATAGCCCGACTCATTGCTCTTGGAGGTCTGTGGGCCGTCTTTGAAAGAGGGTTACAACAAGCTGCTCCCACTTCAACAACATTATACGAGCAACATTGTCCATATTCTTCTCCAAAGTCCTCAACGGATCCAAATCATCGTGCATACTACACAGTACAGTGAGTACACCCGCCTTCCTGGGCGTCGAGATCTTGAAAGTAATATGCCCCGCTTGGGATCCACGTAATGCAAGTACTATACGATGGAATGACCTGACCATCCTTTCCAAAATGCCTACTAGTAATGCAAGTATTATAATGTACTGTGTTGATCTACCGGCTCTCGCCACACATTATGGCCCGAGTTGCACGCGCGCACACTTGCTTTGCTGCACCGTAGATCTTCAACCTTTTTCTCGGGTCGAGTCAGGCCATTTACCGTTTTGCCGTACCGTGAATGATGCACATGAGGAAGCTTAGCTGCCTGCCCCAAGAAAGCTTGTATCATAGTCGAGAATGAGAAAGGGAAAGAAAAAGACGACCTGCCGTCTTTGGCAAGTTTACCCCCACGGGTCTATAGCAGGCAAGCGGCTTGGCGTACCGCCCTCACGTAGATCGAAAAGGTCAGACGTTATGAATGCGAATATGTCAGAAAGAGCGTGGGGTTCATAATAGAAGTGAGTTAAAAAAAAAAAAAAAAAAAAAAAAAAAAAAACCAGTCACCGGGGTCTCTGGATGCAGCCTCGCTGTGATGATGTGCTTGGTCAGTTGCCATGATCGTACGCGTGGACTTTGCGCTATGCCCGCCGACTTGGTGGAGCAGACCTTCAATGCTGTATGTTGTAGGACATGTGAATGCGAAGGGGCTGCTCGTGTTGCATGCCACTGGATGAATATGATGATGCACCAAAGGAGGCTCCCTATTTGCTGTACATATTGCACCATATACACAAACTTACTATATACACACAAACACACAAACACACCCCCAACTGAGCCTCGCCCACGAGGTTGAGCCGTTCATTATTTTTTGTTTGTCTGTGTCCCCTTTCATAATGCAAATTCTAAACGCCCACCGTCATCCTTCTCAGCACTTAATGGCAATCAATTCAGAGCTTGGCATTCCAGGCCGCGCGATCCGCCGACTCCAGCGGCCTCTCCCTTCCGTCCCAGAACAGCGGGCAAAGCTGGAACCACTTCTCCCTGCTGCAGACGGAGTGGACCGACCGCTTGTGGGCAAAGTCAACGTACTTGCCGATTGTAAGGCCCTGAGCGTTCTCGTAGGAGAGGATGATGGCGCCCGCGGCCTTGGGTTCGCCCACCACATTCACCGTGCGGGGGTCGTCGAGGAAACAGTAGTGGATGCAGCTCGAGTACCAGGCGTTGACACGCATGGCGCCGCGGAAGGAGGCGTCGCCTACTAGGGAGTGGCGGCCTCGGTCGTAATCACCAGCGTCATAGTGTGCGCCATAATGATCCTCCTATAACAAGTAATGGGTGTGGCGTGAAGGGGTTTTCGTCAGCCTCGATAATTCCACCGTATATGGTGGGGGGAAGAGGGATACCGAGTCCGAGGACCATAACTGACCTTTGCCCAGTAGAGCTCATAATAAGCAAATCGAGTGTCGTCAAAGCGGCCAAAGAGACACAGCACATGCGGGTCAAAGTGCAGCTTGCGAAGATACTCTCTGTGCTGGTCTAGCGTGCCTGTTTCGTTCCAGCCCTTGGCCACGCGCGGGTCGTTCTGCCACGTGTTGAAGAGCTTCAGGTGCTCCTGGTTCTGCCAGTCGACCGCCTCGAGGGAGAAGTGCGCTCCCGTCTCGGGGATCCAGCGGCTGTACACGATGGAGCCTGGGTGCGGCTTGGGCCGGCGCACAGGGTGGCGCGTGTATACAGGCTCGTCGGGAAACTTGTTGGTGATGGTGTAGTTCTCCGGCATGAGCGGGTACTGCGCCAGAGACTTCCTCAGGGGCCCGTCTGTGCCGTCGCCCGCCACCCAGATAGGCCGTGGCCCTGTGGGCGAGGCTGCGCCCTGCCAGAAGGAGCTCCGCAGCACGAGCAGTTCGCCCTCTCCCGGCTGCGGATCTGCCTTGTCCTTGGCCAGCCTTGGTTTTGGATGCTCAACTCCTAGCCCCGTGCAGAGCAGTTCATTCCGGAGGACTTCCTGGCCCTCGCCGGCCAGGGATAGCCTGAAGTATTCATTGGCCGGGTGGGCGAGGTAGATTGCGTGGACGACGTTCCAGATCTGGTCCAGCGAGGGCGGGCTGGCGCCAGTCCACTGAAAGACGGTCGAGGGCGCGCGGCGTGCTCGCGCCCATGGGTTGTTCTCTGCGATGGGCGGGCACTCGTTTTCGCCGGGATATGTGAGGTCGAAGAAGGAGAGCGCGTCCGAGTGCAGGGGTTGTGGCAGGGCGCGTCCATTTGCTGGCTGGTCTTCCAAGGTCAGGACAAGCCTGGGCGTTGAATCTTCAATCTTTTGCACTCGGTATGTCGTCAGGAATGGGTAGGGAAGTTTGACCAGGGGATAGGTCCCCTTGGACGATGCCCTCGTGTTGGACCCCATTATTTGAGGCAGTGTGTTTGATTACAAGTAGCCCGTATGACAAGAGAGAATGGGGGAGGGGGGAGCGTGTGTGAGTGAGATGCTATTCAGACTGCGTAGAAACAAATGCACTCAACGATTCTTGTGATCTCCAAAAGAGAAAAGTTGTCTTTCGATGCGGTCATCGGCACAAGACACTGACCATACAAAAGAACCTAGTCTCCGGTCCGGGGTTCCCATGGGGGGGGGGGCCTGTGTGTGCATACTGTAGCAGTGAATAAGTGGTCATGACGGTGCGCGTAGGACGTTCCAGTGCAAGCAGACTGTGCAAGTCTACCACAGTACTATGTATGTACATAGCAGTATAGTATGTCTTTTTGCCCTTGATTCTTTCGGCATAGACCCACACATAGCCGTAGGGATTCCCCCTATTCCAGACGGTGCGAGGATGGAGCCTGTCTGTCATGATCCGATCCGAGGAGCGAAGAGAAGTCCATACTAGTAATTTTCCATGGAAGACGCGCAGGTGCAGTCCGGTGTAATATGGTAGTGGCTTACACAGTACCATAGTATAGTACATTAGTATGTTGTAGTGTCATGGAAGGTCAAGTGCTTCTTCGACGACGCGGAGAAGTTGAAGTTAACCGACCTGGAATACTACTTACCGACCAAACGAATTTCCCACTCAATTCAGCCAAGTGTCAGTTAATACGGTCAGCAAGCAAAGCACACAGACACAAAGACAACACAAATACAGACCAATCTGCCCATCATGTCTCGCCTACGCTCAAGACAACTCGAGTTTCAGCATTTCAAAGTCACTTTTCCACAAGAGCAGGTCGTGCAGGTCACGCTGAACAGACCGCAGAAGCTCAATTGTGTCGACAAGACCACCAGCCGGGAGATTGCAGAGATCTGGGAGGCGTTTGACCAAGATGACAGCCTCCTGGTGGGTATCATCACGGGCGATGGGAGGGCCTTTTGCACGGGGGCTGACCTGCAAGGTGTGTATGCCTGGACGGACTGACTGTGACCGGTCTCTTCACCTGTACACCATTCTCCTCCTCCCCCATTGTTCGGCTCTCTTTTTTCTCCAACCAAACCCCAAAAGAAGGAGAAGGGCTAACGACAAGAGGGTTTGTCTAGAGTGGAACGAGATGAACAAGAACGGAGTGGTCAACGACATGAGCGCCCCTGGCCTTGCTGGGCTGCCGCGTCGGGCAGGAAAGAAGCCGATCATCGCAGCGGTGAATGGCATCTGCATGGGCGGGGGTTTCGAGATGGTGGCCAATTGTGATCTCGTGGTGGCGTCCTCGAAGGCTGTCTTCTCCCTGCCCGAGGCGAAGAGAGGCATTGTGCCCGTGGCGGGGTGTCTGCCGCGCCTGGCCCGCACCATCGGCCTGCAGAGAACCATGCAGCTGGCCCTGACCGGCAGGAATGTGGACGCCAAGACGCTCCACGAGTGGGGTCTTATCTCTGAGATAGTGGACCCTGACGACCAAGGTGGTGGTGTCGTGGGTGCTGCGCTGCGGTGGGCACAGGACATTTGCAAGAACAGCCCAGATGCCGTGATCGTGGGACGCATGGGGATCCGCATGGCCTGGGACATGGGCAATGTCGAGGAGGCCGTCACAGCCCTGGCAGACCAGTGGTATCCTCGTCTGGTCAGTGGTCCCAATTTTGCCGAAGGGATCAAGGCGTTTACGGAGGAGAAGAGACCGCCGAGGTGGGTGAGATCGAAGCTGTGATTGATCCTGTGATTCAGCTGGAAGGGGAGGGAGGGACAGGGAGGGAAGGCGTGAGGGTGGGAACGGTAGCCCGCGGAGCGTGGGAGGAAGGAGAAGAGGAGAGGAAGTATGAGGATGCGGAAAGGGCGAGCGAGAAAGGCGCACTGTGTGTGCTGTACTGTATTGTATCTCAAGATTTACCGCCGATGAAGAAGAAAAAAAAGAGGTGCGTCGACAGCAATGGGGGCACCTTGCGCCCTGATTAAGCTTTCAGTCTAATCTGTAGTGTGGAAGTACCGTGTTGGATTGAGAATATTATTCACGGTCTTTCTCCGTACTATGTTACATGGTGTTGAGGATTATGGGTCGTTTTTAGTCATCGCTGCAAGGTACCCCCCGACCTCGGCTCGGATATGCCAAATTAAGCAGTAAAAACTCTTCTGTCATCTAATCTTATCTGATCTGATCGATACGGTGTACGGTGTCCAAGGTACTGTGCTGTGCTGTGTGACTGCCTGAGCCATGAGTGGCAAACATTGTGTGCGATGGACTAAAGGAAGGAGCCCGACCGGGGTTCGTTCTACTTGGCATTAGTTGGGAATGGAAATTTTTCAAAGGAAGCAGCAAGACGACACCGATGCTGTGTCCACACTTTTGCCAATTCCCTTCTCTTTCTCAGTAGTTGCATAAATGATTCAATTCCCCACCCCCAACGCATGCACACCAAATATTTGTACCATAGTACTTCCACCTCTCACATGCCCTTTTTATTATAGTGTTGTCACACAGTACCATCAATATGCGTCAAGATGGAGTGCCGATCTCGGGCTGTCATACCTGAGCCCTGATGGATCCCACCCTTTTTCCTTCTCTGTCGTGCACCATGTACCATGTATGCTGTACGTACTAGTACTACAGTAGACAGTGGAAGTGCAGCATGCAGAATGTGTAATGTCTCCTCTCCAGGCCCAGTTACAGTACTATGTACTGTACATATGCACTTTTATACTGCAACACTAAGTACATGCAATCAATGGCTGCAGATCTGGGACTGGAGCTCAGGGGAATGATGAGATCCACTCTGCCAACGATGGCAGCATGCTAAACTTTGTTCCCAAACGGCCGAACCTGCACAACCGTTAGGGCCTGTCAATAACTTCTCCCCGATTCAGATCTTCAGAATCCAGAAACAGCATAGCAGCCTTGTGAGGGCGGTGCAGAGACGAGACTCCTCCTCCTCTGACAGCCGAGAGTTCATCACAAATTCCTCGCCTCGAAACAACGACCACCAGCAGTATCGTCGCCACCATCAAGACAACCGGAGGACTCAAGGGCTGACGGAGAAGACGGAGACCACATCGTTGGCTGGTCATCGTTCTCGGATATTTCCCAAAGATGGGCCTTCTTCGAGGGCTGGCGGGTTTCCCGCGTCTGCTCCTGGCAGGTAATCCCACCAAGAAGGATTTGGGCATCCTCGTGACGGGAATTATCTGCGCCATTGCATCTGGAGTGCCCTTCCCCATCATAGGAATTGTTTTTGGTCAGCTACTCGACAACTTCAACGCCGTCACATGCAACGAGGACGACGCCTCCAGCTCCGAGTCCGACGCCAGCTACCAGAAGAGCATCGATGGCGAGATTCTGCTCATTTTCTATCTGGCTATCGCCCAGTTTGTCCTCATTTACGGCCACCTGCTGTGCTGGAGCCTGTACGGCGCCCGCCTCTCTCAGCGGCTCAGGGAGCGTTACCTGCAGAACCTGCTGCGACAGGAGCCCTCGCACTTTGACCAGCTGCCCACCGGAGAGGTGGCCTCTCGTCTCAGTAGTGACATCTCGACCATCCGCTCGGGTACGGCCGAGAAGGTCGGCATCTGTCTGGCAAGCGTCTCCTTCTTTGTCACGGCCTACATTGTGGCATTTATCAAGGACTGGGAACTCGCTGCCATGCTGCTCTCTCTGATCCCTGCCTACTTTCTCATGTCCTTTGTCGGAAGTTACTACATTGAGAAATATTCCGGACTGGTATCGGACTACGCTGCGTCCGCCTCGTCCATCGCCTCAGAGGCCCTGTCCAACATTGTCGTCGTGCATGCTTTTGGTGCCAATAAGCGGCTGGAGGACAAGTTCGCCAAGGCGCTCAAGTCGTCGGAGCGTGAGGGCATGAAGAAGGCGACTGCAGTCGGCATTCAATCTGGCGTTCTCTATTTTGTTGCCTACTCGGCCAACGGTTTGGCCTTCTGGCAGGGTAGTAAGCGTGTGGCAGATACCGTGAGCGGTGGTTCTGGGAGCACTGTCGGTGCTACGTTCACAGTGATTTTTATCCTGGTTGAAGGTAAGAAAGTACCAGTATCAGTTCCTCAGAGTCTTATTTCTCTAATCTTTGGATGTAGCCACATTACTTTTCAGCCAGGTGGCGCCGTTCGTCCACCTCTTCACAGCGGCTGTCGCCTCGTACGAAAAGCTGCGTGAGGAGATCGATCGCGAAACCCTGATCGACGGTACTACGGACGCAGGAACTCGTCTCGAACAAGCCCAAGGCGGCTTTGAGCTCAAGGATGTCTCCTTCGTCTATCCCTCCAGGCCAGAGATCACCGTCCTGGACCACGTGAGCATCAGCATTCCGCCCAAGAAGCACACAGCCATTATCGGTCTGTCAGGCAGCGGCAAGTCGACCATCGCCAGCCTAGCCTTGAGGCTGTATGATCCCGTGGAGGGGAAGGTGTTGTTCGATGGGCACGACCTTCATGACCTCAACACGCGCGACTTACGAAGTTTTGTTAGTCTGGTGCAGCAGGAGCCTTCACTTCTGGACCGCTCGATCTTGGAGAATATTGCGCACGGCTTGGTCAACTCTAGCAATCCCAAGCACGCACACCTGAAGGAGAGACTTCTAGGGCCTGACCTGTCCGACTTGGCGAGCGAGATCAGAGAGGGACAGACCCTCATGGCAGCCGCGGAGAAGCGTGGCTCGGAAATTGTCGAGATCGTCAACCTGGTCCAGCACGCGGCCATGCTCGCAGATGCAGACACCTTTATTAACGGGTTGCAATATGGCTATGCCACTCTTGTCGGCTCCATGGGACGGTTGGTCAGTGGTGGACAGAAGCAGCGAGTGGCCGTGGCACGAGCTCTCGTGAAGGACCCTGCCGTCCTCATTATGGATGAGGCCACGGCTGCCCTAGATTCGAGGAGCGAGCAGCGTATTACCAAGGCCATCAACAACATCGCCACCGGCAGGACGGTGCTCACCATTGCCCACCGCCTCTCAACCATTACCGGCGCGGATAACATTATTGTCATGCACAAGGGCCATGTCGTGGAACAGGGAAACCATGCCGAGCTAATGGCCAAAAATGGGTCATATGCCGAGCTGATTAAGATGCAGTCACTGGGACATACATCGACCAAGGATTCGGAGGCAGAAGGGCCAAAGAAGGACGCTGTCGTAGCCTCGGTGACAGAAACTCTTGTCGAAAGCAAGGCCAGTTCCTCGGAAGACGACGACCACAAGAGTATAACTGAGAAGTCGGCCTCAGCCGAGCCAGGAGAAGAGGGAGGAGAGGAGGAGGAAGAGCCCGAGACCCCATCCAAGTCGCTATGGGCCCTGATGAAAGGTTACGCACCAGCTCTGAGGCCCCACGCTCTTGTCATCTGCATCGCGCTCCTAGGTTCGATCGTTGTCGGCGGAGCCTTCTCTGGCGAGGCTGTCATCTTTGGCAACACTGTGGGAAGTCTGAATGTGTGCAAGAGTGCCAGCAGCATCCGCGACGCAGGTGACTTTTTTGGCCTGATGTTCTTCGTGCTCGCGATTATCGAGTTCTTCGCCAATATCATGAGCTGGTCTGGGTTTGGATGGATCTCTGAACACATTGTCTACTCGGTCCGAGTTTTGTCCTTCCGATCTCTCTTTGAACAAGACCTGCAGTGGCACCAGTCCAAGAACCGCACACCAGCCATGCTTCTGTCGTACATCACCAGAGATGGCAATGCGCTGGCTGGTCTGAGCGGCTCCGTCATTGGAACCATGATTTCGATTACCGTGAACCTCGTGGCCGCCATCATCCTGACGCATATCATCGCCTGGAGAATAGCCCTTGTCTGTCTTTCGTTGATCCCGCTTCTTCTCGGAGCTGGCATGATGGAATTACGAGTTCTGGGCAAGTTTGAGGAGAAGCACGAGACCGCCTATACAAAATCGGTCGACATCGGCACAGAGGCCATCACCTCCATCAAGACGGTCGCCTCTCTGTCCCTGGAGCAGGAAATACTGAGTGACTACCGACGATCCCTCAAGGGACCCCGCCAGGAGACCCTCAAAGTCACGCTGCAGGCGAGTCTCTGCCAGGCCATCACCTACTTCCTTGGTAACTGCGTCAATGCGCTGGCATACTGGTGGGGCTCGAAGCAGATCATTGCCGGCAATTATACCCAGACGCAGTTCCTCATCGTGGTGTTCTCACTGCTGGTTAGCGCACTGCTCTTTAGCCAGATGTTTGCGCTCGCACCGGAGCTGTCCAGCGCACGCGCGGCGTCGGCTCGGATTCTGGGTCTCATCGAGATTGGCTCAGACAAGATGCAAGGACGTATCGACGAGTCCTTTTCCACGCACACGACTTCGTCATTGTCGCCCATGGGCGAGAAGGACGTCGAGGCAGCGCATGGAATCAAGTCCTCTTCCCTTACCACGTCCTCAGGAGCCGCCAGCGTCCAGTTCCGCGACGTGCAGTTCTCCTACCCAGCCCGTCCCGACGTGAAAGTACTCAGCGGACTAAGCCTCGATATCCGCCCAGGCCAATTTTGTGCGCTTGTCGGCCCCAGCGGCGCAGGCAAGTCCACCGTCATCTCCCTGGTCGAGCGCCTCTACACGCCCAGCATCGGGTCCATCCTCATCAACGGCCTCGACGTGACTAAAGTAAGAGATATGTCCTTCCGCGACGACATCGCCCTCGTCCCGCAGGAGAGCGTCCTCTTCGAGGGCAGCATCAAGTTCAACATCGGGCTAGGGGCGCGGCCGGGTCACGAGGCCACGCAGGAAGAGATCGAGGAGGCGTGCAGGCTAGCGAATATCCACGAGGTAATTGTCGCGCTGCCGGAGGGGTACGATACGCTATGTGGGCCGAATGGGAACCAATTCTCGGGCGGGCAGAAGCAGAGGCTATCGATTGCACGGGCGCTCGTGCGGCGGCCGCAGCTCCTCATCCTGGACGAGCCGACCAGTGCTTTAGATGCGGAGTCGGAGAGGCTGCTGCAGGATGGCTTGGAGAGGGCGGCCAAGGATATCACTGTGATTGCTATTGCTCATCGCCTGCACACTATTCGGAAGGCGGACCGTATCTTTTTGATTGAGGCGGGACAGTGTGTGGATGCTGGCACACATGAGGAGCTGCTGGAGAGATCGGAGAGTTATCGGGCGAATGTGATGCATCAGACGGTGGCGCAGTGAGAGGGAATAGATATAAACAAAAACTCTGGGGAGAACGACAAGAGGGCTTAAAAGGTTGTTTTTTTTATTTATGCATGCGTTGTAACATATCATAAACTATAATACTGTATATACTACACAATTCCGGATCACCATTATCCAGCATCAGTCAGCATGTGCACAATTCTTATACAAACGTGAGTCCTCGTTGTTATTCTGTAGTTCTTTTATACGGTCTTCAGAAAACTGAGTACTCTGGCACACAGCCACTGCCTGGGTTCTGCCTGATCATCATTGCTCAAGGCATGAGAGGCATTAGGAATTATACCACTGTGCTCCTTGTCCCAGACCTGATACTTTCCATTGTGATCCGCCGCGGCGCCCCATCGGCCCAGCAGCTTCTCCTTGTCCACCCAGTCCGGCACAGCCTGGTCCGCACCCGAGTGAAGCATCGCTAACTTCCCCTTCAGCAGGCCACCCTGGTGCACCATGCCAAACGTCTTGGCAAGCAGCTCGTCCGAGAGGTCCGAGCTGAACAGGTCGTCCTCGCCAGGCGCGGCAGGGCTGTCTGGGCTCACGAGGCTCAGGAAGCGCCGGCAGCTGATGGGCGTGTTGGGCGGGTAGATGCGGTCCGTCAGCGCAAGAGGCAGGAGGGTCCCGTCCAGCTCGCCGTTCTTCTCCGCCGCGCGCGCGATCGCGACCATCTCGTCGTAGGCCTTTTGGCATGTCTCGGGCGTCCTGTCGCCGATGCCGTGTTTGAGCACCCACAGGATTGCCTCTCGGTCTGACACGGGCGCCTGCGCGATGGCGCCGTCGATGGCTGGGCGCTGGACGTGCTCGAGCCATGGGTCGAAGGAGGGGATAGGACCTGCGTGCGGGTTGGGCCGGTAGAGGTAGTGCAGGACGCACTGGCTGCCTGTGGAGTGGCCCATGAGGACAATTTTGTTGGTGCTGCTACTGCTGCTTGCGTCATCCTCTCCTCCGCCAAACTTGGCGGTCTTGTATTCTTGGATGTAGCGCAAGCAGGTGGCGATCTCGTCTGTGTCACGGTCTAGGTGGCCTACGCCCCATGCCTGGCCTGCGGAGGTCAAGTTGAGGGTGAAGAGGGACCATTCTGTGGGCTGGAGCGCGCGGATGAGGTCGGCTGTGTAGGAGGTGGAGGCCAGACCGTCGCCTAGGCCGCCGATGAAGAGGATGCTGTGTGGTTTGCGAGGGGCAGAGGCGCCAGTTGTGGTGTACTCGAAGGTGACGAGGGTTTCGGTCTACGCCAAGTCATCAGCGGGCTTGAAAAGCATAGTGGGCAGAGGAATTGAAAGGCATCGTCACACGAAGGAGGAGGCTTGATGCCATCCACATGTGACTTTTTCACAAGAGATGTTTGGCTATAATACTAACGTAATGGTGAAGGATACCGCTCATGCCGCCCTTGGGCCAGAACTTGGAGTACTTGGACATGGTGAATGGACCGTTGCCCAGTTGAATAGCCAACCCTCACTGCTGATAACCTATGGGATTCACTGGAAAATAAATCTCTAGGGAGTCGTCAAGGCTTGGCTTCCCTCTGTCTTTGTCAGTCTGTTTGTCAGTCAGAAATGGTGTCGTGGTGTCGTGTCGGCCTCGTCGTCATAAGATGAGAAATCCCAAACTCTACACGTCCACTGTCTTTCGTCATGAAATTCGTAAGAGAACCGCCGTGATCGGGGATTGAGCGATCCATCAAGGGACTCATAACCTTGTTGGGAGTGTGTGCCATGCAACGTCTACCCTGTTTTCGATCTGCGCTTGCATTAACGCCTTTGTGGAGACCTACTGCTTTGGACGGAGCACCCAAGATCCATTTGCCATGTCACCTCGTGCGAGCCTCGTGCCGACGCCCGCAAGCCACAAGAGAAGATTTTTTCCTTTTTGCTGGTGGTGATGCTGTTCATCTTCCCCCCCATAGGAACAGAAAGAAAAATGGGAAAAAGCTTGGGTCACGTTTGGAGCTATTACGAGTAAGGTAGGTAATAATGACCGAAGTGGTGGGTGCATGGGTGGGATGACCAGCCGAGGTCCCCTCCGGCTGAACCAATTTTTTTTTAGATAATCTTATCTGATCAATCTAATCAGATTTTGCAATGCACTGTGAGGTACGTACCTTGAAAGAGGGGAAGGGAAAGGAAAGATTAATTTGGAAGAAGAAAAAAATGAGAAAAGAAGAGAAAAATGAGAACCCTGCAGCTGATCACTTAAGGTACCACAATTCTATAGTCTACGCCTCGCGTTCTTTCATGGGCACCACAGTGAGGTTCAGATGTATACTGTTCGTTCTATATTATGTGCACTGTGTGCACTGTGTGTGTTCTGATGCATGTATCCCATCTTACCTCCTCGCTTAATCGAATCCTCACTGACGACCTCCCTTCCCCCGTTCCGCCTTCCAGACACGGAAGGCAAGCCACTTTCCGACGGTCGCTCCATCCACCACAGTACCACACGACAACACAGTACCATCCTAGCCCACACTATGTTTCGATGAGAAGCAGGAAGAGAAGGAGGGGGGCCAACATGGGTCTCAAAAACAAACCTGTTGTGGTAAGGACCATAGTATGGTCACCCACGCGACCATTTGTCAGGTTGGGGGGGCTCTTGGTATGGGTCCCGACTCGCGGAGGTTGTCATTATTTCTCAAGGAAGGAGACCGACCCAGTGTGTGATGTGACTTCTTACCGCGGTCCACACAAAACTACACATACCCACTCTCCCAAGGCTTATGTCACAAGGGAAGAGGGTTGGTCTTTCCTCTCGACTCTGATCAGCCGGAATCCGGAGGAAGAGCAACAGAGAAAAGAAAGAGACAGGCAGGCAGGCACGCAGGAACCAACCAACACATCATTACCGCTTCATGACCTCATGACCATCGCTCATGCTGCATGATTGAGCTGATCGTGCAGCTGCAGCCAGCCTCTCTTGCATATCCGGCACTCCTCTTCTCCTCCCTTCTCCATGTGGTGTGGGCACATCTTATATATATTTTTATTGTGATTATCTTATCACATCAGATCGGATCAGATCAGCCCTCTTCAGGGTTCCGTTGGTCTGAACCAAACCATTCATTCGAAACCATGGGTTCCGTCTTTGTCGATGATGTTGATGCGGGCCCGGGCCTGGCCAATGGCGGCGACGGCACCAGATGCTTCAAGATTGCCGGTCTTGCTTCCCTAAGAGAAGATGTCCTGCTATCATCATGGCTTATTGCCCTCATCCGCACAAGGGAAGACAGGTCTGCTTCTTTTGAGTGGGCCTACGGTAATGATGATGATAACGAAAATGGCGTTGAGCAACAGCAGCGGCAGCAGAAGGAGAAGCACAACCAGTTGTCCACAGATGATGTGTTACCAGACCTCAACCTGAACAAGAGCGTGGAAGAGTTCACCAAAGCTGTCAGCGAGCGCATTGCGACGACCGCCGGCCTAGCTTCCCATTCGCTGCTCCTAAGCACAGGTTCGCTGTCACGGAATTTGGAGGGTACCCTTGACCAAGTGAGTAGCTTACTCTCCTTTTCTTCCTTTTCTTTTTATTTTTTATTTTCTTGTTTTCTTTCCAAGAGAAAAGAGAAACAAAGAATCAATCTATACCTACCATCCTCCATGACTGACTGCGATGACGGCGTTAAAAGGGCACAATACATCTTCAAGTACAAATCGAGGAGGGTCACCGCCTGGCAATTCGCCCGGTATGGTACAGCGATAAAGTCTTGCCCTATACTGTGGAGCGGCATATCGAGACCCTAGTTGACATACTGCGGATATGCATCTCCCGCCCTGCGGATGTGACCATTGACAGCTGCATGGCCCCAACCCCATTCGATCTGGACTCGATATGGAGGTGGTGTCATGAGTTGCCCCCAACCCATGCCTTCTGCATGCAGGACATGGTCGCCCATCAGGCCCAGCGGCACCCTGACAAGGTGGCCATCGACTCCTGGGATGGTACCTTGACCTACGGCGAGGTGGACCGCTACTCCACGTTCCTGGCAGCCTCCCTAGTCAACGATTCTGGCGTCCAGCTGCACGACTTTATCCCGTTGTGCTTTGAGAAGTCGAGGTGGACCATCGTTGCCGTGCTCGCGACCATGAAGGCGGGGGCGACGATCGTCATGATGGACCCGTCGCTCCCGCTGGCCCGCCTGCAGAACATGGCCAAGCAGGTTGACGCCCGGACCATGATTTCGTCACGTCTGCAGAAGGACCTGGCCGAGGAGATCTTGCCTACTGGAACGCGTTTCGTTCTGGAGGCCGACGCATTCGCCCGGCTATCCTCTGCTGATGCCCATGCCTCCTCCTCTATCGAGCTGCCAACTGTGCCCCCAACCGCCTTGATGTACATCATCTTTACCTCTGGCAGCACGGGCACCCCCAAAGGCGTCAAGATTTCCCACCAGACCTACACCAGCAGTGCGATTCCTCGCGCCAGGGCCGTCGGCTACTCAGAGGAGTCGAGGGTTTTAGACTTCGCCTCCTACGCCTTCGATGTCAGCATAGATAGCATGCTCCTGACGTTGGGGAACGGCGGTTGCCTTTGCATCCCCTCCGATGAAGACCGTCTCAACGACATCAACGGTGTGATGCGTAACATGCGCATCAACTACGCCGGTATTACCCCTTCCGTAGCCCGCATCCTGGACCAGGACGTCATCGCATCACTAAGTGCCCTTGGCCTCGGCGGCGAGGCGTCTGCCCCTCGAGACGTCAACCTCTGGGGCCAGGACGCGAGGATTGTCATCGGCTATGGGCCCTGTGAGTGCACCATCGGCTGCACCGTCAACAGCAGCGCCGCCACAGGCAGGGACTACATCTCCATCGGCCCAGGCAACGGCGCCGCCATGTGGATCGTCGATCCTAACGACCACAACATCCTCCTACCCGTCGGCGCGGTGGGTGAGCTGCTCGTCGAAGGGCCCATCGTGGGCCAAGGCTACCTCAACGACCCTGACAAGACCGCTGCTGCCTTCATCCACGATCCACCTTGGCTCCTTGCGGGCCACAATGGCCACCCTGGCAGGACTGGCCGTTTGTACAAGACGGGCGATCTGGGCATGTACGATCCGGATGGTTCGGGCGACATCGTCTTTGCCGGGCGAAAGGACACGCAGGTCAAGCTGCGCGGGCAGCGCGTCGAGCTCGGCGAGATCGAGAGCCAGCTCAAGGCCAGGCTGCCTTCCGGGACCAATGTGATCGCTGAGGTCATCACACCGCAGGCATCTGCAGGGCAGCCAACCCTCGTGGCATTCGTCTCTCATAAGGCAAAGGTTAATGGAGTAGAGGACCTGTCGGCTGCTGAGCTCTCGGATGACCTGCACGGGGCGCTGGCGAAAGTGAACGCGGACCTGGGTAAAGTTCTACCGCGATACATGGTGCCCAACGCGTACATTCCGACAAACTATATCCCAACCCTGATCTCGGGCAAGATAGATCGCAAGCGGCTTAGACAGTTCGGCGCAACGGTCGACCTGCAGAAGCTCGACCAGACCTCGTCGACCACAAAGGCTGCTCGGGAGGATCGGGAGCTCAACGGTCTCGAACGGCGCCTGCGGCACGCCTGGAGCCTCGTATTGAAGCTCGACGAGGATGGAATCCACCCAGACGACAACTTTTTTGCGCTAGGTGGCGAGTCCGTAGCGGCCATGCGGCTGGTGTCTGCATGCAGGGAGAGAGGCCTTGAACTGTCTGTGACCAGCACATTTGGCCACCCTACACTTGGCGCCATGGCCCAGACGGTCCGTATCTGCGAAGTGGACACTCGTAAGGAGACACCACCCTTCTCCCTCATCTCACAGTCTGTCGAAAGCGCCTCTGCCGAAGCGGCCCAGGCCTGCGGGACGGATCCAGCAGCTGTCGAGGACATCTACCCTTGCACTCCCACGCAGGAGTCGCTGGTCACCTTCTCACTCAAGTCGAGCGAGCCATATGTCGCACAGAGGATTGCCTGTGTGCCGTCGCACCTGTCCCTTGACGCCCTGCAGCAGGCTTGGGAGGCGGTCGTCGCCGCAAACCCGATCCTGCGCACCCGTGTGGCCCAGCTGCAGGACCCTGGCCTGCAGCAAGTCGTGCTGAAGGAAAAGGTCCACTGGAGACGCTCGACGGACCTGGCGAGGTACCTCGAGGAGGACCGGAACGAGAGGATGGACCTGGGCCAGAGCCTGGCACGGTATGCCATTGTCGAAGACGCCAAGGACGGCAAGCGGTACATGGTCTGGACTGTCCATCATGTGCAATATGATGGGTGGTCTGAGCCGTTGATACTTGACATGGTCGTGGAGGCTCTGAAAGGTCAAGCCGTCGAGGCGCAAGCGCAAACCAGAGCACAGATGAAGAACTTTGTGCAATGGATTCGCGACACAGACGAGGCCGCCATGCAAGACTTCTGGCGGACCGAGCTGCAGGACGCCATGGGGCCACAATTCCCACGGACTCCGTCCAGAGACTTCCTGCCAACCCCGGATGCCATGGTCGAGCGCCAAATACGTCTCGACTCGGTAGACGGGCTGCCCTTCACCATGGCGACACTAATCCGCGGCGCATGGGCCCTCGTGGCCTCGCAATACAGCGGCAGCGACGATGTCATCTTTGGCGAGACCCTCACTGGCCGCGATATCTCGCTTCCCGCCGTCGAGGACATTCTCGGACCCCTAAACGCAACGATCCCCATTCGCATTCGCCTGAGCAAGTCGAGCTCCGTCGCGTCCTATCTGCAGAGCGTGCAGCACGTCATGTCGTCTCGCATCCCGTACCAACACATGGGCATGCAGTACATCAGAAGGGTCAGCGTCGACGCTCAACACGCGTGCGAGGCGCCAACGGGCCTGGTGATCCAGCCAGAGCCTGAGCTCGTGGGCGGCGAGTTGGGCTTTGAGCTGGGTGACCCCGTGCGTGAGGCCCTTCATTTCAACCCTTATCCGCTTATGCTGGCATTTGGGCTGCGGAAAGGTGGTTTCAGGGTCTGCGCCAGTTTCGATAGCAGCCTGGTCGAGGTCACACAGATGGAGCGTGTCCTGGCACAGTTGGAGACGGCCTGTGTGCAGTTGACGCAGGGTCTCGATAGGAGAATTGATGAGATGTCTTACCTACCACAGGCGGAGCTGGACCAGATCTGGCGCTGGAATCAGACTCCCCCGCTTTCTCTGGACGAATCGACAGGCCACCTTCGAGCAGACACAAGCATCAAGAATGGAGCCGAGTATCCTCGCATAGTCGTCCCCTGGGTGGTTGATCCGCGCAACCCGTCCATGCTGTCGCCCATCGGCTGTCCCGGTGAGCTCTGGCTGGAAGGCTCGTGCATTCCGGGAGGCGATGCGGTGGATACACCGGCCTGGCTGGCGGCTGGAAGCTCTCAGTGCGTGGGTCGGGCGGGCAAGGTACGACCTACGGGTGATATTGTGCAGTTGCGGCCAGATGGCGTTCTGGTGTTTGTCGGCCGCAAGGATGATATTGTCCCGGTATCAGGACATGCGGTCAACGTCGCTGATCTCGAGGCACACTGCGCAAGACTGCTGCCCCCCTCGGTTCGTGCTGCTGCTGCTGTGTTTGAGACCTCGGTGGGAGATGACGCGCAGAAGGACCAAGAGTTGGTCATCTTTGTTGAGCAGCAGCCGCAGCAGCCGCCTTCTTCTGCTGAAGAGAGCATAGAGGTCATGTTCATGAGGCATGAGGTCAGCTGTGATGAGTCGGATCCTGACAGCTTTACGACGAGCCTCTCCGCCGACGTCCCCATCAGCCTCGCTGTCGCCCTCAAGAAACTCGACAAGTTCATCCGAGACGACCTCCCGTCAAGCTCTGTGCCCTCTGCCTATGTCGTGGTCGACAGACTTCCCCTGAGCAATAACAACAGCAACAGAGAAGTGGACCGCAGCGTTCTCAAGCAGTTGGCCTCCAAAATCCCGCGGCACGTACTCGGCCAGCTTCGCGAGGGATTCAAGAAGGCGTGGGAGACAGACCTGGTACCGGGCAGCCTCACGGCAGCCGAGGACATCCTGCGCTCTTCATGGGCACAACTCCTCCGCATGCGCCCAGAGCAGATCGACGTTGACGACAACTTCTTCCGCCTCGGAGGTGACTCGGTGCTTGTGATGAAGTTGGTCTCTGGCCTGCGCGCGCAGGGGCATGGATTGACGGTAGCCGACGTCTTCCAGCACATGCGCCTTGGTGATGCAGCTAAAGTATTGAAGGTGAATGCGGCTTCGACGGGAAAGACGCTGCAATACAAGCCTTTCTCGACTCTGCGTGGCGTCCCGGACGTGGACCATTTCTTGTCCGAGTTCGTGCGGCCCAAACTGGCCAGCTCGGCCTGGTCGATCAAGGACGCCGCACCGGTGACGGACTCTCAGGCGCTCGACATAAGAACGACCGTCGACGCACCGCGGACTTCGGTGCAGTATACTATGCTGTACCTCGGCGACGATGTGGAACAAGAGCGTCTCCTTCAGGCATGCAGGAACCTGGTCAAGGCCCACGACATTCTGCGCACAGTGTTCATCGAGCACGAGTCCACCTTCTTACAGGTTATCCTGGATGAGCTAGACACTCCTCTAATCACGCAGCAGACTGATGACGAGGATCTCAGCCAAGCTGTCGCCGCCATCTGTACCGAGGACAGTGAATCCGAGATTCCACTTGGGGCACCGTTCCTCAAGATCTTCCACGTCACAGATAAAAATAACAGCCAGCAATGTCTCGTGTTAAGACTCTCGCATTCTCAGTACGACGGCATGTCCCTCCCCAGACTGCTTCAGGATCTGGAGTCGCTGTATACTGGAGGCAAGATCACCACCGACTTCGAGCATTTCCCCACCTACTTAGCCCGGATCAAGGACGAACGCGCCCAAACCAAGGCCCTCAGCTACTGGCGAAACCTGCTCAAAGATTCCACGCTGTCTTCGCTGCCCGGCCAGTCCATCAAGCCCGGCGATAGGGGCGTCTTCAGAGAACAGGCCGCCATCGAATCCTTCCAGCCCCTGGAGGCCATCACGACCGCCAACCTCCTCACCGCGGGCTGGGCCCTGGTCCTCGCGCGCCGCCTTGGCATTGCCGACGTGACGTTTGGCGGCGTCACATCGGGCCGTAGCATCGATGTCAACGGTGCCGCGGGTGTCGAGAATGTTATTGGGCCGTGCTACCAGCTGACGCCCATTCGGGTCTCTTTTGTGTCTGGATGGACGGCCGCCGACCTGCTGAGCTTTGTCCAGAGGCAGAGTGCCGAATCTGCGGCGTATGACTTTGTCGGATTCGAGACGGTGGCCAGGGAGTGTGCGGCACAGTGGTTGTCGCCGTCAACGGTGCGGACCTTCGACTCGATCGTTCACCACCAGGACTGGGATGACACAGACTCGATGCCGTTCGCTGGGGGTCAAGCTAAGCTAGCCATCTCGAACCCGCACGGGGATAGCCCTCAGCCTCTGAAGGTAGTTTCGTTTGTACGGGAGGGCCAGTTGCGAGTTGGGGTGGTTGGAAGTGAGAGGGATCTTGAGTTTGTGGAGGGTGTACTTGGGGAGCTAGTTGGGGCAGTTCGGGAGCTTGTTGAGGGTGGGGATGGGCAGCGCATCTTGTTGTGATCGGTGACTATCTCGGTCAATGTTATATTGTGATTGGTCGTGTTCGCGATTTCTTTGGTTAGGAAAGTCATCTTGGCAGTCTACGTTTTCAGCATGTTTCCTCAATTTCCCATAGGCATTGCGTCTTTTATATATATATATATATATATATATATATATATAACGCATTTAAACTCACTTCTACGCCTAGACCTGACTGCCCTGTGTTTGTGATATCATATGATGAAGCAGACGAAAATTGAAGGCGAGCTTTGATAGGAAGAGTAGAGGCTGGCCTGGCACAAAGCCCATTTGTTGTTGATCCAGGTGATGTATAAAAAGGGACAATTCCACTTTGCGGGCCTTTGAGAGCGATACGACGGTGGGGGTTGAGAGGCTGGGAATCAGATGGTGAGTGGTGATTTGTTTGAAACATATCAATGTGAATATCTTTCTTCCATCGCCTTGAGACATGTGTCTCCTCTCAAAGTAATCATAGTCACTCGTTAAAATCGCAACACAGTAAGTCAGACCTCATACGGTAGGCATGAGACAGCGCTTTTGACAAGCTTCACTGAACGCGATCAAGTTAGATGAAACTAAATAAATAGAAACTAGACTAATACTGCAAATGTACTTAAATTTCCTGCACAGACGAACAAACCTTCAACACATTAACTGAAAAATTGTAAATAGGTAAAGAAGCTCCCTTGCCACTTCATTAAGTCCTCTTGCGACACAATCGATGAAAATCAAAACTGAATTATCCCAGCAAGCAATTACCCAGTAATAACACTTCCCAAACCAATAGATCCTTCAGGTCGCATTGCTACTAATTATCCTCAATGGGGGGATACGTGCCGTAACCAGTATACTGCCCGTAAGAAGGCAGGTTCTCTCCGGCGCCATCGTATTGCCCATAGCTGACATAGCCATCACGCTTCGCCTTCCTAGCAGCCTGTCTGGGCTTTGCAGCAGCGCGTCTCGCCCTCACGGCACGCCCGGCCTGTCGGGGGTACTGGCCGTAGTCGCCGTACAGCGCATAGCCACCCTCGGGCACGGGGTAGTTGTCGTACGTGCCGTAGGTGCCATAGTCGCCGTAGTCGGCAACAGAGTCGTCGGTCTGCGGCGCTCGCTTTTGAGGGGGGTAGATGCCGTAGTCACCGTACTGGCCGTAACCATCCTCGGCGGGTGGGTAGTCGGTGTAGTCGCCGTAGGCGCCGTATTCAGTGTAGCCAGCTGCATCATCTCTGTTGGGAAATCACGAGGTCAGCCATGTCTCTTTCTTGGGGGGGTTTTTTTCTTCTTCTTTTTTGGTTTTTGATGACATTTCTCCTCCCTCGGCCTAGGACTTGATATAATTACCTGACGATGAGGTCGGGACCGTTCTCGGGGATTCCGACGTCCTGAGCAATGGTGTCGACGACGGGAACGTCGATGGCCAGTGTGGGTACCTGGCGCTTGGACTTGAAGGCCCTGTTGTGGTGGTGCTGGTCAGATCCTGTCTTTCTCTTTTTTTCCCCCCGAGACAAGGGCAGAAAAGCAAAAAGGGGGAGAGGGGAGGGGGGACCAGTTATCAACGTACCTAGCCTTGACCGCATTGGGATCGTTCAGACCTTTGGCGAGCTGGAGGTCAGCGTCCAGGACGTCGAGGGCAGCAACATCAACCTCGTCCAACTGAGGGATGGTCTGAGCGATGGGCTTGGCTAAGGCCAAGGATGCAGTGGCGAGGAGTACGGCGGAGGTCTTCATTGTGGAAGGTCAAGAATGAGAAGACACTTTGGTCTGTGTAATAAAAGAAGATGATGATCTTGTGTTGGTCTTGAGTGAGAATCTTGGAGGATTGGGCGAGGGTTGTTCTGTTGGATGGAGAATGATCAACCCTTTCCCTCAGCTTCATCTGGACGGCAGCCCATCCTTTTATATTCGAGACGCCATGTATGAGATCATGAGACAGCCTCACATGTCGGTCTCTCTTGACCCGGATACTCGCTGCATCTGTCTGTCTCTATTCATCTCTATCTCTGTCTCTTCGCCGTCATCGTCACCAGCATGTCTCTAGCTGATCCACCTGGCCGGACCCAGGTCGGGCTAAGTGACGCAAGTCCAGTACTGGCTCCTTTCTTTCCGCTTTTGTATATTCTTCTTCTCCACGATGATGGCACGAGACGGATGAGTGACGAAGCGAAGCGGGAGGCAAACAGAGAGCATGTGTGTAGTAGACCAAAAGAGAGAGTGTTTACCGTATCCATGTAAATCTACGATTCCCAAGGCTGTGGACCCTGAGATGACGGACAACCCGCTTGCGGCAGTTCAACTGTCTAGTTACCGTGCGGCTCAATTCCGTAACGACCAGCATCAATGATTGACACCAGACGAGCCCGATGATCTGGGCAAGCCATCGCTGGCGCAATCGCTGGCGCAATCGCATGGGCGGAAAGGAAGGACGAAACGATTGACAGCCCACGTGCTCGCTCCCTTTTCACTCGGGATGTGATGTGTGCTAGTTGTGCTGTTATGTGACGTGACTTGAGACTAGACAAGAGTTAGTAAACAAATAAGCATGCATCAGGGACGACACCAAACCGAGAAAGGTTTGAATTTCTCGAACGGGACTCCGTTCAACCGACCTGAGGACCCGACTGCTTGGCAGCTGGGGCCAAAACGTGCAAGGCTCCCACGCGATGCCTCTGCCGTGTCTCAGATTTAGCAACGGCGCCGGCGAGGTGCTATCGCCAGACCGTCTTCCCACTACTCCTTACTACGCAGCATCGTCTTGACCCAAAACGTGGGGAAGACAAAGCAACTGCCGATGTCTGGTGGTAGTAGTTTGCGGGGTGATACCAGCTTAGTCCAAACGCAGCTGAGATGTGTCTCCTCCACGAGGCCCAAGACATGTCAAGTCTAAATATTGCAAACGACTGGCGCGAGAGCCGGCGCCTTGCTAGACTCAGCATCGTGAGGGTCTCGGGTATCTTTGGCCCGACTGTGCAGGAAGATACTTTGTCGCATCCGGAACAACTGCTCTCGTGATAGCCTTGGTTTTCTTGGTGTTGATCCAAGTTGGTGGCGGATGAAGGGCTAGATAAAGATCGAGACGGGCTGTGATGCATCATTTGTCTCTCATTTTTTTTGTGTCCCTTTATACGACTGTCTCACGGGAGAGAGTTGACCGAGCAGTTCAGTAATAACGAAGAGATTTTAAGTTTCGAGCTTGTGGATAGGAAACTATTGACTTTGCGTAAAGTCTGAGACTTTTTGAAGGAAGTGCGCAACGAAACATCCTTTTGTCCAGCTCCTCAACTTGCTATCGACCCCTTCCCCCTTTGCACTGCAACAAACCTTCTCCTTAGGAATAATAGCCATCAAGCAAGCAACAATACCAGGACAGAAAACACAAGTTTTTTCAGAAATCCCACCAAACTCCAAACATGTCCTCACTGATAAAGCAACAAAAGATGATGTCCGACCCTACAGACGCAGAGTCGCAACCCCTCAACGCCGCCGCCTGCTATGCAGACAGTATCAACAGCGAGGAGGAAGACCTTCCAATGCTCAACGATAACTCTCGGCCGTCGAGAGGCAAGAGAGATCATCTCCTCCGCACACCACTCCTCATCGTGGGCGTTCTCCTCTGCACCGGCATCCTGGGTGCCTGTGTGGGTGCGTTTGTGCGTGGCCGATTTGCTGACTGGGACGCTGGCTGTGCCGAGTATACGGCGAAACACTGTAAGTTCGACAGCCTCCCTGTGTGTGTATTCTCGAGGTGTTTAGCTTCTGCAAGAATACTGACTCTTCTCCTCTCTTTCCAGCGCCTGTGATTCAGGACGTGGATGTGAAATACGATACACAGCTATTCAACGGGTCCCTCATGAAAGAGGACATCTACCGGCAAGGAGCCGGTCCCGAGGTGGATGCCGCGTGGGAAGCTCTCGGAGTAGACTGTACGTCACATATGAAAATATCCGTACTTTCCCCTTTCGTTCATCTCTGGCAAGTTTGTTCGGGACGAGAGGATACATCTAAGTGACCCTATTTCTTCTACAGACCGAGCCGCTATCATATCTGATGAGGAGGGTCGCATGAGTGGCCTGACCTCCGCGCATGTGCAGAGGGCCGAGAAGTATGGCGGTGGCTTCTTTGTCAACGTCGAGGGATTACACCATCTCCACTGTCTTGTAAGTTTTTGCCAGCCAGCCCAATGTGTCAAGGTTATCAAGACCCTTCTCTAACGCGTGAAATGCCATGCTCTTTCTCTTTGATCTCCAGAACCTCCTGCGAAAGTCGCTCTATTACAATTATGACCACTATAAGGCCATGGGAATGCATGCGTTTGCAAATGAAGACTATATCCTACGGCTTCACGTGTGTAAGTGTGCAACATTCCATTCCCATCCACCACAAAAAAAGTTACAATCAGGAGGCATCAAAGCTGACCATTTTCTGTCAACTTGCTTCTTTCCTCAACTCTAGCACACTGCCTCGACACAATACGTCAAGTATTGATGTGCAATGTCGACACGGGCATGCTAGGCCAGGTGTGGTATGACCAGCAAGATGCCAAGGCGTTTCCGGACTTCAACACGGAGCACACGTGTAAGAACTATGATGAGATCAGGGCGTGGGCTGAGGAGAGACAGGTAACGCCGCACCCCCCCCCCCCCCTTCTTATTTTCCTTTTGTGTAAGACAACACCGTATCTAATGGAAATGTGTGCATACAAAGGCTCCACCTGCCGAGGAACTACCTTTAGATTATATGAGGACACCGGAAGGCGTGCTGCCCGAGATCCCTTGATAACTCCTTTCCGTCTTTGATTGAGAGAATGCAATACAGGGAAGAAGAGCGTTCATGACATTGCTTGGCTGTGTCATGATCAATAGAGGACAGGCAGTTCAGCGCCTTCAGCAATATTTTGAAGTCTCGGAATAATTCAAGCTGCCTTTCAGATTTTACGTGGCTGAGCAAGGAATTCATATGCAATTCAAAAATGAAGCATCTATCCATCTGAGTCACATGATCTTGTCACCTTCTGTGGTGAGTTGACTTGAAACCATGCTCAAGTGATCAATCTCGACGTGATCTCCCCCCCCCCCCAGCACGCCATTTCCTCTTTCTTTTCCCTTCCTCTATCTTTCTTGTTGTCTTTCATTTCTTGTTTTCCTTCAACCCTAATGCCTTAGAGAGTTTTTAATAATATTCCCCCATGCCTTCTGGCTCGCCTCTTAGTCTTCCTTTGATATTCTCAACTGAAAGTCTCAGACTTTCCTCTGTGGCACTGCAGAGGCATCCAATAGAATGGTCAGTGAGAAACTTTGAGTCCAATGCTAGAGCGTTTCCATGCCGCACTGAGATATTGACATTGATCAATTTTCAAGGCAAGGATAGCCGTCTACGAGGCCGCATCAGGAAACAGAAGGAATTCTAGCTCTGGCACCAAGGACACCAGGAAAGAAAATGTTGAAGAAGATGCACGTCAGGTCAGGAGTGTCCATACCAATAGGCTTGAAGTTTTCCACGTTCAATATGCTTCCGGAGAAGTTGTTCGAGCTCCTGCTTTCACCTACAATCAAAGGGTTTGACAACAGTGGAAATGAGGAGGCGTTCAAGAAGTTCAAGTATGGCTCACACAGCGAAAGAATTTATTCAAACTCTAATGAGCGACCAGTTGGCAACAGAAGCAAGCACCTATCTCATCAAAGATAAAAGGAATGGTCTCGTCTGTTGTTGTATGGAGGCCGGGAACAGGCAACACGCCCACAGCTGAGAGCGTGCGTTGTGCTTCGGAATGAGGCGGTCCACTTTTTTCTTCTTCTTCTTTCTTCCCTTTCTTTTCTCGGTAAAAGATGGGTAAAGTTTGAGGACTCATTGACTAATAATCATATCGGATCCACATAACCATGTGAAGGAGTTGACAGACGAAAGAACAAAAGGGAGACAAACACGGAACGCTATCACGACAACATGCCAGTACGCCGAGTGGAGGATGCCGGCACTCCCATAGACGGAACTGGAAGACATGCTCGAGGTTGCCGGGCATTTCGGCAGGTATCTCGACGTGCTCTACGGAGGCGGATCAAAAGACCAATTGCCACAGGACAAAGGTTTACGGCCAGATTGTCCTACTGTAGACATACTATAAATACACGTACTATTGGCATGCTTTGGAGTTATCAAGCATCAACTTTAAGAGCAAAAAATGCTGTACAAGTACCAAGAAACAAGGACAAGGTAATGATCGTGGTTCATACACTGAGCTTTTTACAAGGGCCAGTTGGTGCATGTGCACGGCGCCGCTAGTCAGCCTATATAGATACTTAGCCTGGTCTGTTGATAGCCTTAGGTATTTCGGCCTCGTGGTTTTCCTCCGGCTTTCTCTTCTTACTTTAGTGCAATGTAATTAACAAGAGGCTTTTCCCCTCTCGTGTAGCTCTAAGTCCGCTTGCTCATGATTTGGAGCATTTGGTTGCCTCATCCTGCAACTTCAAGGTCTTGATGTGCGAGGGCCAGTGAGTCACTGGCCCAGGGCCGTGCACGGCCCCTCCAGCCAGCCAACAGCCAGACCTGTTGGCCTCGTGGCGTTTCTCTTCCTTTCTCTTTTCTCTTCAGCGCTCAGCAATGCAATCTTTTTGCCCACACACACTTGATCTGCAGCATAATTTATGGAAATGATCTCACGTCCGGTGGTCAGGGTACACCACCGGACGTGAGGATCATTCTCGGAGACTTTGATGTCTTGCTGTGCCCTGGTTGGGTTTTTGTCCCCTTGCTGTGCCCTTTTGGGTTTATTTCCCCACCCCACCTGCGCCCCTTCCCCCCACTTTCTTCTCCTTTCCCCTTCTTCTTCTTCATCCTTTCTTTCTTTCTTCTTTTTTTTTAATCTTTTTTTTAATCCCTTCTATCCTCCTCCATGGATCAATGCAGTCCTGAGTGGGTAGCGCCAGAGCTGACCCCAGGGTTTGAGATGTTGGTTCCGGCGCGGCCTTGCTCAGCCTTGACGGCATTCGCGAAGTCGCCTTCGGAGAATGGACAGCGTTCCCTCACCTCTCTCTCTGATGCCCATTCCAAAGACATGTCTCTGGCAAACCAACAGTATGAGAAGATCACACGTCCAAAGGTGTCAATCGGCCTGTTCCTTTCCGATAGAAAATATGTGCGAGGACTACCCCGTGGGCGCTAGCCCTTCCTATCGCCTACCTCCGTTACCACCCATAGTAATGGAGGTAGAGGAGAGGAAGGACTGGCGCCCACGGGTATGAGGATGTCCATCTCAAGTGCAGCAGGAATGTGTAGTCCATATAGAATGTTGTCGTGGTCTGGGGTCTCGCAAAAGTCTCGATAATTGCCTCTATTACCGGCCGACCCTGGCCTGTATTAGAGCTTCCTCACATAGGGAATAAAGCATGATTTGCCGGGAAAAGGTGGCGCCGTGGCGCAACGTTATTGCGTAGAGCCGTTATAAGCTGTGGTTAATGTTATGTTGATTTTAAACTGCACTCAGGCATTGTCGGAAAGTCTTTTTTCCAAGTGTGTATGTTAATGATTGATCAGTCGCCGGCATTGCTTCCCTGATGTATTGAATCGAGACCAAGAGATCATGACCTAAGCAAACACTAGAAGAATGTCTATCTCTAGTGCAGGCTAGGAACATCTGGTTTATATAGTATGTCGCCGTAGTTTGGCGCCTCGCACAAATTAGTTGTTCCAGGGGGGTCTGATGGTTCCCTCTAGAGACTTTCAGTTCAAGAGGGAGAGCGTGAACTCATTTGGAGGGGTATCGAAATGCGGATCACCGAAGACTGAAACATTTCGTAACGCCGGACTGGCTTGCTGGAGCCGTCGAAAGGCTCCAAGTCAGTCCCTGTCAATCTGTCCGTCGTGGTGTTGATACTTCAATGATTCTCTTCCGTGGTCTTCCTCTTTTGGGCGGCTGCCCATCTGGAGCCCGGCACCGTCCATCTTTACATGTTTGAATGTGCAGTAGGTGTTGATGAATGCCTGCGGACTTGCGACTGTCTGTGGCATGTCCACATCGACACCTGTATGGCCTGCCATTTATGCACTGGTTTCGCTGAAGGTGGTTTTTGTGCTTGTCAAGCCGCCCGCGAGAGCCACAGCAACACGTGTACATGATGTGCAAGTGCATGCACTCCAAGTGCCGTGCCAGATCCTTCCATGATCCGGTGGATGTGCCGCAGCCGGGCTGGACACAAGGCCACCGCGAACCAGTGACGTGGAGATTTGCCACATGTGCCCTAATGTGCGGGTAACGGTCAGATGGTATTTCCAGTAGGCGAGGCTTTTGTTACAAGTTCATATACATACAAGGTCGCCTCAACGTCGCGAACGGAGACATCACACTCGCCGCAGGAGAGTAAAGACGACGCATCTGAGGGCGATGATGCTGATGATGTCCCACTGCTCAAAGGCGATAGGTCTGCCGGCAATTGAAGGCTTTGCGGTGGCGGCTGCGATGAAGGCTGAGGACTTGAGGATTGAATTGCGGACGGTCGGGGTGTTGACGTGGGAGGGGGAAGATTAAGAAATTGAGAATCGTTGAATGAAGATGAGGTACCAGCGCAAACGTCTAACAGATATCGAGAGGAGTTCGAACCAACTTGAGAGGGCCCAGGACTGAAGTCACTTTTGGCTGTGCCTGGCATCTGGAAATCAGGTTTGAATATCCTTGTTTCTTCGCACAAAGCAGAGCACATTGTGGACATTCCGTCCTGCCCATCGTCGGAGTTGGCCGCATTATGATTGTATACCTCGGCCCGGATATACCATTCCAAATCTTCCAGGAAACAGGACTGATCTTGTTCTAAGTGGTGATCATTGTAAGGCTTCGAAATGTCTGGTGCGCCGAGACAGTTCTCGGCGCCAGACTATCAATGATGGTAGGTTTTGAGTGTTATTGTAGCGGAGGACTTGACTGGTCCCGCGATCGTGTAACAGACGTTCTAGAAGAACAAACATCAGCTTAGGCTCTACAATCAGGATTTGCAAACACAACCCTTACTCACAGTAAGGAGGCCGAATCAGCAGGATTGGTACCGTGCTGGGCGGCCACTGTGGGCGGTCACCCGACAGAGCAGTGTTGGCTCATCTGCTCAAGACGGTTGAGAAACCAGCCTTGGGGCTCTGGGATCGCGGAGCATTTTAAGTAAAATCGCTTACATAATTGGCCTTCCCTGCCTGACATGCATAGTTTGGTAGCATCTGAAAAGGGCCTTATTTTTCATTCGTTGTGAAGTTCTTAGGTCGGCAGGGCTGACGCAAACATGCTTATAATCCAACCCTCCACTTTCCCAAGGGCCGTTTTGATGATTGGGTGATTCAATAGGTGCATGAGCCAGTCAGGAATCATATACAATCGCAGCTAAGTGGACTCAGAAAAAAGGCCCTCCAATCAATATTGTGTTACCAATTGTCAGGCCCAAGTCACCGCAACGTCATGCATTAATCTTACAAGCTCGCTGTACATAAGGCTCAAGGGCCAGAATTCTCAGTGGATGGACTGAGTGAAGGGTTTATCGAGTTCACGGCTCAACCAATGTGAAAAGTGGCCCTCTGCAGGCAGTGTGGGCAACCACCGTGGCATATGCAACATTGATCACGAGGTCGAGGGAATAAAGGCACATAGCTGAAGTCTCTATCCGGTAATTAGGGCTAGATGCAGCATGCGTAATAACCAAGACCAAGACGAATGCTCTTGAAGTCATGCTGTTTAAGAAACATATTAGGTATATAAATGCATGAGATGATACCCGTGAGCGCTCCAGTAAGCATTTCACTCATACGACAAGACTCTTCCAAGCATAAGACATAATAAAAACACAATTCGTCCTCCTTTATCCTCGCCTGTCCTCCTCTGCACGGTTGACACAAGGACTCAATACGCCATGGCTCAATCCAACAGACCCAATCAAGCGTCTCTCATTGCAAACGGAACGCAGCTGGCGCAGGCGGGCACCAGTAAAAGTTGTATGTCACCCTTCTCTTCCTCTCAGATCAAGGAGAAAGAATAATCAAGTACGCAGTATCTGACGTTAGTCTACCAGGTGCGGATGACTTTGCCATGTCTCGCTGGCTGGCACAGAATCCTGGGGATGAGCCTTGGCGAGGGCCATGCATAGTGGATGGAGTCAACGCTGGATCTCTGCAAGAACACGCCAGCCAAGGTAGGGATGATTGGAGTCTCGTTGCTGAGAATGGCTCGGTGAGAAGTAACAAGTCAGCTCGTGCTTGAGAAGTGTAGAGGGCCCATGAGATCGATCTCCCGAGTGTTACACTCCTTGTATCCGTCGAAGTCTTCGATTACGCTGTATTATAAAGACTTCATGGTCGTCTGGTGGGAACATAGTTTGAGCTTGCTGTTTCAATCATTAGCTAAGGCAGTTGGGCGAGATCAACTTATTTTCAAACGAAAAGACGAGACCCTGAGCGGGAAGAGACCAACATAGTACATGGCTGTCATGGAAGCATTCCCCGGATGCATGCCATGTTGTTGAGAGACCAGGACCTTTACATATGCACGTCCTGCGCATGATCGCTAGCTGTCCGACTCTCTGAATGGCAATCACAAATCTCATAAACCTAATTCTTTACCAATAAGAAAGAAAGAAAGAAAGGAGAACCGTGCAACACTCGATGTTGAAACAACACAACGATTTCAGAGTCGACCCACTATATACAAGAATTAGTCTATAAGCTAGAGACTCCAAGAACGCTTCGTGGATACCTACTCACTGTTGCTGCCACAGGCCTTCGCTGTGTTGAATCGACTGCTTACTGCCTCTGCCTCTTTCCCTGCACAAAAACTTACTGCATTGCTTTGTTCCTGATATAGAGCATCATAGCCTGACGCAGGACGTGCATGTGGCGTTTATCATCATCTAAGCGTCATGCGCAACAATTCCTCCTCAAGATTCACGTCAGATCCAGAGGGCAACTCAATCAGTGGATGCTTGCTCTTAAACTCAGTCAAGTTCACTTTTGCGGCTTCCCAACGATGGAACAGATCGTCACGCGCACTAGACAGGGGAAAGACTGTACCCATCCACTTCTCGAGCTGAGTTACAGTCTCTGAAAGTCTGCCCAATCGGTCCTGTAGCGACTTAACCCTCGCGCCCTCGCGGGCAAGAGCCAGGCGGCGACTGTTGGCCTTGTGGAGCGTCTCTAGCTTGTCCAATACCTTGGGCAAGACGCTCTTGGCATGGCGTGCGAGTCGGAGCTGGGTGAATGCTTCTGCTCTCCGACCGTATTGGATCTCGCGCCACGGAGCAGACCCTTTGGGATGTTGTGCTTGTTCATGAATAATCTGGAGCAACTTATCGTGGTGCTCCTGGTCGATGCTGGAGAGCTTGCCCTGGAGACGTTGCAACGAGCTGATCTCACCAAGCTTGACTGTAGAGTATGCCTCCATGTCCTTAAATGCCTTGAAGTTGATGGCGACTTGGCTCATATATGTCTCCAACAAGCCGTGCAAGGAACCACTTCCCGTCGCCTCGAGGAGCTTCACGTGATCTGGAGTCATTGTCTCTCGCATGCTGCCATCTGCGTCGTAAAGAATATAGAGCAACACAAGGAAAAGGGTGGCTTCGGTCTCGTCGCACTTCAAACTTTCGCCCACTGCGGTACTCGCATGTTGTGCTGCCCGTTCGAATCTCCGCTTTTCGAGCTGTCGTACACGTGCGCACTCTCGTTGATAGGGCGTCTTCACCTTCTTCCGAACGTCTTTTTCTTTGCTACTCTCAGTTGTTACAAGTTGCCCTTCCTCGAAGGGTGCTTGATGAGCGTTTCCCTCGGACGTTGAGATTACGACGATAACGGCGTTATGGACCTGAACTTCGAGCTGCGCGCGGCGGCTCATCCGCTTGATGCATCGCAGCCGGTGTTTGCGGATTTCTGGCTGGCTGCGGTCCAGGACGAAGACGTGAGCTTCAAGACCATCTGCTGATCGACCACTCTCAACATCGACCACAGAGTACACCTGTGCGTGTCTCTGACCGCCTCGCTCCAGCGGTTCCCCCATCCGCCACATCGTGTTGAGATTCATGTTTGGCGGTATGATATCAGGTGTCTGGTTGGGGTTATCGCTGGGCAAGTCGCTCAGATCCGAGTCTGCAGCCTCAGGCGGGTGAGCAAGCCCATGCCCTTCTTGCGATGGATCTGCCATCTTTGGAGGCGAGATGCTGCAAGCAACCAAATTCAACGAAAGAAGGATTTGAGAGACAGGATGACCTCGACAGACCAGGCTCGTGGATATCCGAATTGCTCTCGATGCTGTCTGGGAGCGAAGCAGCCAGAAAGTGACTCTCGCCATAGCCCTCCCCATTGGGGGCATTGGGCATTGGGCATTGGGCACAGAGGGACTGCGATCCTGATGCCTTGATCTCAGTGGCAGGAGGCGTCTGACATGCAGTGCATACCACCCAATAGCGAGTCGAGTGGTTGTCCGGGGCTTAGCCCCCCCAACCTATCACGTCGGCACGCGTGTCATACCTTGGAAAGAGAAGTGGCAGCCTTATAACAGACAACGCTGAAAATGCACAATGGTGTCATTGGGGAGGAGAAGGGCTCCGCCTGCGACTCAGGCAGAGGGGCAGCCATGGCGGACTACAGACTCCTCTCTGCTCGATAAAGAATGGCCTGTTTGCTGTGCAAATGCATTGTCACAAGAGAGCACTTTTGACAATCACCTGGATTTCCACAGCTGTTAGACCTCAAGCTTCCGATATCGAGCTGAAGACGTGACCTCGCATACGCCTTCACCTGATTAACACTTTTCTTACTGAACAAAACTTCGGAAAGGGGAAACTGCTCGGAATCTCGTAATTCCTTCTCATTCCTATGTAGTAGATCGCCAATGCAGAGAGGAATTCCCCCAACTTTTTACAAGGCTGCGTCGAAGGGAATTAAAGAGAGCGAAAAAGCCTCTTGGCACCCGCAAGACGAAGTCTTGATGCCAATGTAAGCTAAGCTGCTTGTGCCGCTGAGGTCATAAAAGGGATTCGGGAGGCTTAGTTAGCATGCCTTGGCAAGATGTGCATGTAATTGCCAAGCTTTTGGGGTTGAGCTTGTGTGTGTGTGTGCAGGGTTGTGAATGAGAAATGTCAGAGAGAGACAGAGAGGGAGGGAAAAGCGAGGAGGGGCTACAGCGGTCTAGTGCTGTAAGAGGAAGGTGACCACGCGACATGATCGACGTTTTGGAGGAGCAAGAAAGAAGAACAAGAAGGAGAAGCCCCTCGGACAATGTCGGTCGCCTTGTCCTTCCAGCCGTCAAGGAGATGGGGGACATCCTTGCCGTACAAGGAGAACGGACCACAGTATAATTTAAAGAAGGTTGCCAAGCATGATGTGGATATTTTGTGGGCGATCGTCTTCAGTCAGCCGAGAGAGAGCCTGAGAGGGAAAAGGTGTGTTGCACTATAGCAAAGTACATATAGATGGCCTCCCCAAAGGAACTGAAGGATCCAGCGAACGGTGGAGCATGCCATCAGCGCCAGCATTAAGTCGGATTTACGACTCTGAGACAACCAGTGAACCCTAGCTGTGGGCTCGTTCTCAAGTAGGTTGTGATATAGTACCATAGTAGTAAGTAGATTGAATTGATGACTTCCCAGGTGGTGGTAATTAATTTGAGTCTTGTGTGATACAAACCCATTTTCCTTGACTATTTTCGGTTTACTTTCTTTTTGTCTTTCCTTTTTCCGCCCCCCCCCCCCCCCAACTCTCCCCTCGCAGCGCACGGCCCCCATGGCTCCAAACAGGTCGATCCTGTGCCAATGCACCCAAGTCATCATCCCTTGGCGGGGAGGATTTTTGTGGAAAAGTAACCAGATGCGTACAGGCGAGGTGTGGTTGGGCTGTCAGTGTTGATCCTCACGTCTTGGCAGCTGAGAGGTGGGTGTGCCTCAGTCAGGCAGACGGATGCGAGGCGTCTGGGCACGAGAGGCTGATGGAAGAAGAGTACGGATGAGCATACTGTAATTGCAGCAGTACCCGTACAGTGAGGGCACCTAGAAAATGTGGGCTCTGAGCTTGGAGAAGGCGGTGCAGCAGCAGGGCGGGTGTGTCGTGTCATGTATACCAACCCGTTATGCTTGCTGCCCGACATAGTACAGCCCATACTTACCATACATAGTACAATCAAGTCAGTCGTAACATGCTACCACTAGCACTGTAGCACTACATTGTGGTATATGTGGTTCAATGCAGCTCTACCACGAGCCACGAGAGGTGGAGAATCTTGTTAAAAAAAAAAACCGTGGGCTTGCGAACGTCTAGGGGACGTCGGATGCCGATTTGTCGTTCGTCGTCTTGGGCAAGGGGTGGCCTCGATGGCAGATGGGGGTACCAGATGCTACTATATACTGTAGATGTTGTGGCAACGTTCGGTTCGTTCCCATTAAGCTTGCGGCCTGCCAGGGCTTGTGTGGTGCCCGTTGCGCCAGGGACCACAGGGCGCCAGGAAAAAAAAGCTTGGTAGTGGCAGCTGGTAGCTCAGGGCCCTTTGGCATGGACCACCGACCACCGACCGCCGACCACACCGCAGCATCACCCTGCTAGCCCTGCTATACATAGCGCTATGCACAGACAAGTTCAAAGTGTCTAGTCCCAGAGTACGCAACACAAAAAGCCATGATTGGCTCCTGGCTCTCGGTCTGCCCCGCATCCTTCGAAGTGGCGCAGGGTTCAGGGATATAGTGTCATGGGGGGCCATGCCAATGACACCGTAGGCTGTGGGCCGCGCGTCCAGTTCAGTTTTTTAAATTTTTTATCGATATGTTTGACCTGTCGTCTGGTGCTGCGTTTGAGGCTAATGTTGTGGGCGGTTTGGGGCGCTGCCGTCATCATCTTCGCACGCCGCCCATGCGCCACTGTGGTGGGTTTTCGTTAGTACACCCCATACTGTTTCCCGCAAATTCACTGTCTCCCTGACCTTTGCTACTCAATCGCAAGACACGCAGGAGATGTGGGAATAGTTGACTGCAGTTTCAATGGTCCTACAGAAGTAGGCAAGGGCAGTGAGACGTCAGATCCTAATAGTGTCGTGATGGTGGTCCTGCAAGACACGAACATCGTTGGTCCTTGTTTGCAGCAAGAGAGAAAACTAGGAGACGCATGGAAAGGGGGGGGGGGTAATCAATAGACAAAACCACGAGTCAATTCCCAGAATTATACCCGAGCCTTGACCTTATGCCGAGGTCAGGTTCCATGCCCCTTTATCTTTGCTCTACTTTTTCTGCTCATTATCATCCCGTCGTGAGGAGTTTGCTACCATTATCGCTCTCTTTCTCTCTAAAAATATACGACACGGTAGTCTCCGCAGATGGACATCACATAGTCACGCGAGCAGAAAGCTGGGTATCAAACAAGTGTTAGTCCAAACTGAAGGGCTGGTAAGTCGCAGTGCCAAGGCCAAGAAGTGTTTGCGTGCTATGTGTAACGTTTTTATTTAGGAGGCGCGGGAAGGGCTGCAGAGGGCTAGGAGAGCAGGGCAGAGCAGGGGAAGAGATAACATCATCAATGTAGCAATCTTGGATTGGTGGTGTGGCTACTAGGTCGTAAGCACACAACGAGGGAGAAAAGAACCCTGGCAGCCATCGGCGTACGGAAGGGACGGCATTTGGAAATTGCTCACGCGACGCCTACAGCGCACTATGAATGTACCATGATGAGTAAATGGTACGTATTGTGGGCACGTACCTTTTTGCAATGTCTACTTGATATGCAATGGGAACACAATCATGTGGACGCCGTCTCCTTTGTCCTCTCTCTCTCTCTCTCTCTTTCCCTTCAGCCCCATTTTCCCTGTAGTACTTTTTGAATCCTCCTCGAACACCACCACCATCCGGGCTGCTCGTCTCTCAGCCACCCCAATGTTGCCGCCCCTCCTTTTTATTTCTTTGCCTATCAATCAGATTGGCCAATCTACTAGTAACTTGCTTAGACATAGTACTCTGTCTACGTGTGTGATTTGTCGTCGCCGTCCACTGTAAAACGCACGAACTCAATCGAGATTTGACTTGCGCAATTCCTGGCGCTCATCCCCTGCCCGGCAGTGGGTCCACAGGCCCCATCACCTCCTTATAGTGTGCCCCTGTCAGAACCTGATGGCGGCCTTCTCCCTTCTTTGGTACGTACTTGGCCGACGTGGACCTGGTCCTTGGACCCCACGAGCCTTGCTACCATAGTACGTACCCTCCTCCTCCTCCGCCCCCCTCCGCCTCGCCCCAACATTCCGTCGAGTGGTCGTGTGCCCATTTGATCTTCTTTTTTATTTCGCTATCCTGCCATTCACTGTAGGACAATAGCTGTATATCCAGCTTTTTGTCTGGCATTTCCATTTTGCTTACCTCCAGCAACCCGACTTCGACCATCCCGAGCCCTTCTCCAAGACAAAGGCATCTCCAAATCTGCTGCCGTTGGTTGGCCTCCGTTCGTCCCGTCTGCATCTCGTCTTTCACCAGTCGACGTCACGCGACCACCTCACACCGCATCGTCACCACTGCCCTGACCACAGACCAGCAGGAGACCAGACCTCTTGGCCCCTCTACCCCCTCAGAACATCAAACAGAACGACTTGGAAGAAAAAAAAGTGTCATCATCTATCTTCTCTCCTCCCTACGGCCCTGACCCAGACCCAGTCTGATTACGCACCCCAAGACCGTCTCACTCCGCTCCCGCCGACCATAAGCGCCCACCTTCAATCCTCCTCTGTGACCTTGACTGGTCTCGGTTTCTAAAACAATTTTGTCTCTGACACAAACACACACCACCACCACTTCCTCCTCCTTCGACCCAAAGGTGTCCTCGAGGAAAAGGATAACGATCGCCAAACCGTTACCGTCAGGAGAGACAAAGACAAGACAGACAAAGACGCAACAAAGTCATCTTCCTTTGTGCGCCCGAAACAGCTGATATCCTCTTCTCCGCCCCCCCAACCAACTTCCAACTCCCGGCCATCAGGCCACGCTCATCTTTCGTCTCTCGTGTGTGTGTGTGTGTATGTGTGTCTACGACCTGCACACATACACCACAAAACAAAAGACTTATTCTTGTCTCTGATTACACAATCTCCACATCTTCTCAACCATGAAGCCGACAACAGCGATCCTCCTCGTCGCCTCTCTCGCGTCTACCACCCTCGCCTTCGCCCTCCCCGGCATCCTCGAACCGCGGCGGGTCGAGAAGAAGGGCGATGGCAAGTACTTCCACGAGCCTGGCGGCAACGACGAGTTGGGCCACTATGACGAGCGCTACTTCCAGGGCATGGTGGGCTACGACGAGCACCGCGTCAACCTGCGCAACCTCGTGCGCAGCTACCTGACTGTCTTCCGCGCGCTGGGCGTCGAGACGTGGCTCGCCCACGGTACCCTCCTGGGCTGGTGGTGGAATGGCCAGATCATGCCTTGGGACTACGATCTCGACACCCAGGTCACCGCCGCCACGCTACAATACCTCGGCGATCACTACAACCGCACCATGCACGAGTATCGCTACCGCGACGAGACCACTGGTGAGGAGCGCACCAAGGTCTACCTGCTCGACGTCAATCCCAACCACGTCGACCGCCAGCGCGGCAACGGTATGAACGTCATCGACGCCCGGTGGATCGACACTAGCAACGGCATGTTCATCGACATCACCGGCCTCGCCGAGCGTGACCCCAAGCGTGCACCAGGTATCTGGGCCTGCAAGAACAACCACCGCTACAAGACCACCCAGCTCTACCCCATGCGCGAGACCGAGTTCGAGGGCGTGACTGCGACTGTGCCCTACTCTTTTGATAATATCCTTGTCGAGGAGTACGGCAAGAAGAGTCTGGTCACCACCACCTGGCAAGGGTAAGTTCCTTTCAGAATGCAGATTCGTTGTGTTGTACAGCAAGCTAATTGTTCTCTTTCTCTCACCAGGCACCAATGGAACCCCGATGTCAAGGAATGGGTGAAGCAGGAAAAGTAAACCCACAGAAACTTCAAGAGTCCAAGAATAAGGAGAATCTGCGACGGTGGGGATCGACTACGACGACTTGTCCTCGTTCCTCCCTACCACCGACTCTCCGGCGGATCCGATGCCCACCGGGGCTCCTCAAGTCGCCCTGGGCGTGCTGTCCCGGCCTGACCTGGTCTACAAGGCTTGTTGGACCTGCCACGACCGGAGGACAGCTCCTGAGCATCGCCATAACAACAACTGTCGTGGGCTCCTCGAGCCCCACCGCGCTCGCTCTTCCCCACGCGGCCTGATCCTCTTTGGAACAAGGCCCCACGGTCTCGCCCAGGCCACCAGATCTCAAATCCAGCATATGATATTCAAGCATAGCGAGCCGGCGTTTTCCCAAAAGGGTTTTTATATGCTTCGATATCCAACCCGAACCAATTGTTTTTTCTTCTTCTGAAGATGCCGCGCCGACGACCGACAATGACGACAATTTTGCATGAGCAAGCAACCATCGCGAAAGTAGAAAGAAAGGTTTCTATGCGGTACCATCTTTACTTAAATTTTTTTTTTTTGATGGAGGGAGAATCACATAACCTGAAGGGGTGGGGGGAGAAAGAATGATGGGAAAGAAGAGAGAAAGGAGGGACGTGCAGACATTATTTGGATGGTGCATGTGTGTTGAAGTTGGATATGGCCCCAAATATATATCTCCTACATTCACTGGTGTTGAGTGGCTATTTGGTTTCTTTTCTATGGACGCAACGGCGGGCTAGATTCCGAGCATCCCAAGACGGAGATGGCTTGAGGTCTAAAATAGTTCTGTCCCCTACCGCCGCCGCCAAGAAGGGGAAAGAAACGGGCGCCGTTGGTATTCAAGAGCCTTGGCGGGCGCCCCTTACACCACGTCCCAACATGTCCATGGGCTACGGCCGAGATGGGGCGCCAAGAGAGTAGCAACACGTTTGTGTTCGCTGCACGCACATCAAGAAGGGAAAGGAAGGTTCCAATCCTGTTTACATACATCAACAAACGAGGGCTACACGGGGCGGGGGGGGGGGGAGATCTGATCTTTTGGGAATGTTGTCATTATGCTGTTAATATCGCACAGAGGGCGAAATTATGGAAGAAGAGAGGGAGGGAAAGAAAGGAGCGCATAGTCACGATGATACCCCCAGAGAGAGAATGCAATCAATCAGAAATTGACTAAATGGTTAGACATTCACTTGCACTCTTACATAACTAAATGTTCAGCATCATCGACTGTAGTAGGTCGAACTGAGTCGTACTTACTGTATATACTAAGCCTCTATCGAGACCAGATATGCAGGGAGACATGGCGGGCCTGAACGGGCCTGAGACGGACTGGCCTGGCCTGGCCTGGCCTGGTTCTGAATGACCACTTGTTTTCTTACTTTGCTCGGTCAGGAATGCTCTTGCAGTGAGTGACAGGACTCTTGTCTGTTTCATGTGATTTATTACGACCGCGACTATCCCTTCTTCGCGCAGTGAATGGTCCTGTGATGATGCAGGCTATGTATGGTATGGGTATGGGTATGGTATGCTGGTTTAGGTTGACGTGGTATTCACGGCAGTAGTAGTAGTAGTAGTAGTAGTAGACATTGCCTCGCTTTTGCGCACTGTCATACTACCTACTCGTCCGGCTCCCACCCTCGCCGTTCTCGTCGGGTGGCTTGCTATCCTCCTGCATTCTCCTCATCCTCTCCTCTGCCGCCCTCGCGATCACATCCCGCCTGCTCAGTCCACCACCAGAACTACCACCACCACCGCTCGTCGCTCCTCCTCCTCCTCCTGACGCGCTGCTGCTGCTGCTCGCACCAAGAACATAAGTCCCGCCCGTCCAGCCCCCATGGTCAGGAACATCAGCCTCGGCGCTCGGCTCATAAAAGAACCCTTCCTGTCCTGCCCCGCCGCCGACGCTCTGCCCACCGTGCCGCCAGTCGGCAGCTGCAACCTCCCGCTCGATCTGGTGGCACAGGTCCCAGAAGTTGCGGTCGTGGGGGCCGTGGACGTTGTGGGCGAGCTCGTGGCAGAGGGTGTCGCGGATGGTGCGGTAGGCGCGGTAGCCGTCGTAGGCGTCGGTGCGGAGGCGGAGCTCGATGGCCTCGCCGTGGTTGCGGTTGAGGCCTAGGAGGCGGGTTGTGCCTTCGTGGGAGGACTGGGTGTTGCTTAGGGGGTCCATCTCTGTGAGGAGGCCGACTGTGGAGTATTGTTAGCTTTGTGTTTGTGTGTGTGCGTGTGTGTGTGTGTATGTGTGTGGATGTTTCATCCTTCCTTTCACTTAAACAAGAGTCTCGTGGGTCTTTTCCTCGTATGACGCTTTCATTACGCAAAGGAAACCTCACGTTTCAGAGACAACAGTCTTTCCACATACCTGTGAACTTATGTTTTCTCATGGCAGCCTTGATTCCAGGGTCCTCGGCCAGCCGCACCAGCAACTCCCGGCTCCTCTCCGGATTCCTCAACCCAGGCAGCGGCTCGATCCGTAGAAACGTGTACTCCGAGTCCTCCTGCCGTCGCTTCTGTCCCACCGTCCGCCGTGCCGGCACCGCGGCCCTCCTCTGCGCCTCTCTGCGGTCCTGTCTCGCTCTGGCCGCAGCCGAGGATTCCCTTAGCCCTTGCAGATCCTCCAACGTGGGCACCTGCAGCGTGACCTTCTTCCCGTCAAGATGGGCGATCGTCTTGTTATCGTCCGGGCCGGACCTCAGCATGGCGCCCTTGGCTATGAACTTGGCCTTGTCCCAGTCGAAATGTTGTGGTGGTTGCGAGGAGGTGTCATGATCTGCTGGTGCTTCTGCTCCAGGCGATGGGCCCCACGCTGCGGACTCTTCACATGCCGTTATGAGATCTGAGAGGAGAGCATCTCCGGGAAGCTGGACGTCTATGGTCTTGCCGCCTTTGGAGATGTGGATGGACAGCGCGGGAGGAATCTCGCCTTCTTTGGTTGTGTTGTCATCCATTTCCGGTGGTGGAGAAATGCGAGTTCTGTTGCTGAGTGTATTGAAAGCTAGTGATTATTGTGTGTATGTATATGTACAGAAATGGTATTTGGTATAGACAAAGGAAATAGATTTTTCTTCTTCTAGAAGGGGATGATTATGAGGGGATATACATGGCCGCTATCGAATCTTCCATTGATGTCGATGAGCGTTGAGTACTTAGGCTGAGTGGGCAGTGTGAGCCGAGAGGCTTCATGATGACGAGGACTCACTAACAGACAAGACGATACTTGAGGCGTGTCGGGGGCTTGGATTGCAGTAACCTCTGTTAAGTGGCCCTGAAGCCCTGGGCTTCCAGTGGATTGGTAATGCTTTCTGGGCCTAATTTAGGCCTAGCCCGGGCCTTTCCCCTGTTAGTGGCTAAGCCCTCAGCTTACCTCACCATAATAGCATGCATAGCCTGCCACGGTACATCGTGCTACTGTCCGTACTCAGCTACTGTGCATACTATGGTACATAGCTCCCAAGTTTAGAAGCCAGGGGGGGCCAATCAGAAGCTAATCGCGTCGTGTCCTTTCCACCTGCCGTGTCTATGCTTGTGCCTTGTGCCTTGTTGTTGTAGGAGAGCTTCTTTTTTTTCTTTGGTAATTTAATTCAGACAAACTCACAAGTCAGCAACGACAACACCATTTCGCCCATTGAGCTCGTCCAACTCGTCGTGGACCGACGCCCATCCTTTTCAATCCGAGACTCGCATGGTCTCGCCTCTCCTTCACCAGTCTACCTCTTCACTCCATCCAAGTGGCTCGAGCCCACACCGTCGTCCAAGATGTTGAATGTGTTCCGCGTCCTCGGTATGCAATACGTATCCTCCTCCTCCTGGTCGTCTTTCTGCTGCAACCACCCTGCGTCCCTAGCAGGCTGCGATGCGGGCTTCAACTTCGTCGCGCCGGGCTGCGCTGACCATTGTTCATGTTCTACACAGCGGACTTCTGCCATCTGGGGTCAATCCTGATCCTGCTTCACAAGATGGTCGATCTCAAGGTTCGTTGTGCCCCTTCTTAATGGAGATGGAGGCGTAAAAGTTAGACGGTATCCCTAACGAAACTGTCCGGTTGCTTCTAGAGCTGTTCCGGAATATCCTTCAAGTCGCAATGCATGTATTTCCTCGTCTACATCACGAGATATCTCGGTAAGCAATTGATCATAAAACATTAGCGAGAGAAAGCCATGAGCGCAGTCGATGGCTGACCCCGTCTCCCTCCCTTGTCCCGGCAGATCTCTTCCAAACCAATAGTATCTACAACCTCCTGTTCAAGATCGCCTTCATCGGCTCCCAGGGCTACATCCTCTATCTCATGACCAACGCGTACAAGCCCACCAATGACCCGAACCTCGACACCTTCCGCGTCGAGTACCTCCTGGGCGGGGCGGCCGTCCTGGCCATCGTCTGGCCCTACAAGTACACCGTGTCCGAGATCTTCTGGGCTTTCTCCATCTGGCTCGAGTCCGTCGCCATCCTCCCGCAGCTCTTCATGCTGCAGCGCACCGGGGAGGCCGAGACCATCACTACCCATTACTTGGCCGCCCTCGGCCTCTACAGGGCTCTCTACATCCCCAATTGGATCTATCGATACGTCGCGGAGGAGAACCATAAGGTGGACTGGATCGCTGTCATCGCCGGTATTATCCAGACCGTCATGTACAGCGACTTCTTCTGGATCTACTACACCAAGGTCATGAAGGGCAAGAAGTTCAAGCTGCCCGTCTAGAGAAACATGTTTGGAAAGTCCTCTCGTCGTTCCGAGCCTGGGAAGGAGATTTCGTGGCCACCACGGAGGGGAGAGTCCACGGGGCAAGAGCAGAGGAAGGAAAGAAGAGAGTGAGCATGCAGAGTGACGAGAGAAACCAGTCCTGTGTGCGTGTATATGTGTGAGAGAACGTCAGAGGAGGCCATCGGACACCGCCATCACCACCCTTAATAACTGGAAACCACCGTGGCCTGGCGGAAATGTCTCTCTGCGTGTCAAGGGAGCTAGCTGGCTGGCGGTCGGGCGGCCTGCCTGTCGACACAAGAAAAACCAGGGGTCGCATGCATGATGACGGCGTTCAAGGGGTCAAGGAGCTCGGGAAACGGGAATGATCCAGGCTTCGCGATACAGTGCGCATGCGGCAAACCTGATGATGATGGGCAGTTATTTGGATTTCTTTTCTTCTTTGTCTGTTTCTCAAGAAAAAAACAAAAGAAGAAAAATGATTATTTATCGTAGTTGATGGATCAATGGGAGCAAGATTTAGATCTCAGCCGGGGGGCCCAGCAAGCCATCCCCCTTGCCCCCCCTCTCGCATGCGGCTTGCAACAACTTGACACTACGTTCGTATCATCTGCACCAGGAATCTTATGCCAACCTCCGTTATCAACACACCAGAGAATGAACAGTTCTGGGGTTGCCACACCATGCCGAGGTGCCTCAGCGTTGCACCGATTGATTGGCTCATTCGTTGTCATTGCAACATGCCACAAAAGAAAGAAGAAGAAAAGACTCGTCAGCAGTCAATGCCTCAACACCAGAACCAGAACCAGAACCAGTGACTGTGATATTGTGACACATGCGAAAGCTGTTTTCTTTGAGCCTCAAGCCGACCTTTGGGTCCCCAACCCTGATCTGAAACCCCAGAGGATCTCTCTCTCTTGCATGTCACCTGTTGAGCTAAGTTGTGGCAAATGCTGTGGAGGAATAAGGTCTCGCCGAGTATACATAGCTCTGATGAGGGAGGAGGATGTCAAGACGGCCTGGACCCTCCCGCTTCAGCGCTCCACCCTTCACATTTCTCTCTCTTTCTCACAGAATCTCTCATAGGTAAGACAAAAGAGACCACCGGGCTCCGACCAATACGGACTTCTCAACCACAGATCTATACTGTCGTTTTCGACCCTGCCAACAGAGTTGTATCGTATCGTTACTGCTGGGTCGGTTGCGTCGGCAGAACCTGGTTGGATAATCCAATAATACAGGGTCATGCATTATAGATTCCCTTTCTGTCTTCCGGTTACCTGAGACATGGTTCGTTGCGTCGCGGAAGCATGGACCAGTACCAAGAGAGGAGCCACTTGTTATCCTTTTTCACAACTGCGACACTCACAGTCCTCTTCTCGGCACCCCTTCTTCCTTCGCGTGCAGAACGACGTGTCGGGATTGATCCAGATCCAGAAGTGCATGAAGTGCTCTCTCGGAAGCCTTCGCACAAGAAGACTGCGACTTGGGTGGCTTGGTAGGAGTCTCCTTGGGGAGGGGGGGGGGGGGGGGCAAAGAAGAGAGATAAAAAACCCCCCAAGAACATGATCGACCTCTCTTTACACACATATGCACATACACACCATGGGATTACAGACTTTCCTGCCATGGCCTGGAACGAAAACGTTCACTTCATTACACATCAGGTCAAGCCCAATGTATCGTTCTCGGGGTCCAAGAAGGCCGGAAGCTGAGAAAGCTTGCTCGATATCGTCGACATGCAAGAACATGAGGATGAATTGGAAGCTGGCTCTGTGCTCACCGCAGACTTGTTGCATGATGGAGGGGGGGTGAGGAGGGGTGGTTCACCTCGTGATGATGGGTTTCCTTGGGCCCCCGCCTCCCCTGTGTGATTTGCCACATGGTTCACGGTTCACCTGCTGTCCGAACACGCAGTCGTCTGAGGTCGTTGCAAAGTTTCCTTCTGTCTGCTCCATCACTGTTGTGCCTGCTGGTCCATGGGCCCAGGTTCATCTATATCCCTCCCCTTGGCCATCACATTGCCTGCTCGGTCATGCCCACCCTATCTGGGCCTGGGACACGGAGAATAACCCAAATTCCGTCATCCCTGGAAACGGTTTGATCCAGTGGGAGAGTCAGTTGCGTTGGTCTTCACCACCACCACCACCATTACCTCCTGCTCCTGCTCCTCCACCACCACCAGGTTCAGCCTTGCATGCATGAAAAACACCCGGTCCAGATGTGACGGTGGGATCGATTTACCAGGGAGGGTTGGATCGTCTTCGATCCGCTCTTGACAGCTTATGGGGATTCATACCCCTGCCGTTATAGCATCAGATCGATTGCAACATGTGTCGTTGACTATGCTTATTCTTCTTCTTCTTCCCCACGCTGCTGGTTCAGGTGCGAAGCAAGTTCGGCTCATACGCAACCCCATGTCCAGACAAATAGACAGACAGACAGACAAAAGGTCCTTCTGGATTGAACTTCGGCGCCCGTCTCGTTCCTCGGAGGAACAGTGTGCTAGCCTGTCCTTCCCTCTTTCTGTATGCTTGGGTGGCTCTGGGCAAAAGCTGGTTGGCTCTCTGTCTTTTTCTGTCTGGCCACTGTTGCATCTTGTCTCGTCGTGTCGTGGTTGAACTACCTTCCTCCTTTGCTGACTGGTCAGTCCCTCTTCATCTCGTCTGTTGTCCGAGGGGAAACAAGAAAGAAAGAAAAGTTAGCCCAGCCCACTCTTCTTTGCCCAACGCAATCATCCACTTCGCCCCCTCCATTCTTTCCTTCCCCCATCTTTCTTCGGTCATGGATGTCCTGTTCAGGTGACGGAGACGGTGTGTGTGTGTGTGTGAAGGTCTTCCTCTTCTTTCGATGCTGGACATCGCGTCATTCGATTAATACTTCTCCAACCCCCAAAAATGGCTGGAAGATGTGCTTTTTCACGTATACGTCTTCTTCTTCTCGTGCTCTCGTTGGGCTGTGCGTGGGCGAGCGAGAATGACGCCTGGGCAGGGCCTGAGCGCAGCGCGCCGTCGAGTCTGGGCTCGCGCGAGGAGGAGAAGATTATAAATCTGTCGGAGGGGACTGAAGAGTGGCGGATCTTCATGGCGCAGCCTTATCCAACTGGTCTGGCTGCTGGCGGGTTGAGCCAAGAAACAGGAAGAGGTGGTGGAGGAGGAGAAGGAGGAGTTGTTCTTGGCAAGCCGACTGCAGAAGGGTCGCCATCATCATCATCATCGTCGTCGTCATCTTCTTCGCTTTCATCAACGCAGCACGCCAACGAGGCAGAACTGCGCCGGAGAACAGCAACTCTACAACAAGAAGCAACAACCCAGACTACCGCCGCAACCACACCGCCTCCACACCCTCTTCGCCGCCTCCTCCCCCGACAGGACCAAGCCCAGATCGACCAGCTCAACTCCCAGCTCCAGTCGGCCCAGTCCTCCGCCCAGTCGGCCCTGCAGTCCCTCAGCTCCGCCTCGCGCGTGGTGTCGCAGGCCAGCCAGCAGCTGAGCCAGTCGTCACAGCAGCTCAGCCAATCCTCCCAGCAGTTGAGCCAGTCGTCGCAGCAGCTGAGCCAGAGCCTGCAGCAGGCCACGCAGTCCGTCGCCTCGCTGACGGGTGCCCTCAGCGCGGCCAGCTCGTCGGGCAGTTCGGCGCTCGCCAGCTGCACGAGCTCCGCCAGCAGCATCCTCGCGCTGGCGAGCGGTGATGCGGCTACGAGGCTGCAGGCGGCGCTGGCCCAGGTTACCACTACGAGGGTGAGTTCTTGTGTGACGTTTTTCTTTTCTTTTTTCTTCTTTTTCTTCCTTCTCTCTCTTCCCCATTTCATGTCTTACTCGGAAAGCGATATCATCTTTCTTAAGCAATCATAAGACTACTACTACTATTTTCTTGCCCATAAAACTGACCCGTGTAAATAAAACAAAACAGGCTGAAGCGGACCGTGAAGTCCTACAAGCCCAGGGCGCGGCGGTGTCCATCACACAGGCTGCAGCAGCCATCATCGGCACCTTTGTCGGCTCCTCGTTGCTCACCGTGGGCGTCGTGCTCCTCGTCCTCCGGTACAGACGCAAGAAGAAGCGCGAGATGGAAGGCGCTCGTCCTGGGACCGGCCAGAGCTACAACTCCATGGCGGACGACGGGAAACGAGGAGGAGGAGGAGGAGGAGGAGGAGGAGGAGGAGGAGGAGCGGGCAGCCTGGATATCAAGGAGCTCCCTCCTGTGGTTCTATCCTCGCCGCGTGGGGTGGATGGTGACGGTAGCTTGGGGGCAGGAGGTGGCGAGAAGGCGAGGCTTGGATCTGGGCCTGGGCCGATCGCTCCTTTGTCCAGGCTGGGCGTCACGCGGGAGCCAGGCGGCGAGGGGCTTTCCAAGAATTATGTGCGCACTGGCGGTAGTCTGGGAAATAAGAAGGCGGTGAAGCTTGCTGATCCGCCGCCGGCGAAGCCCAAGAAGAAGCAGCAGACGACGAGCAGTGGTGGTGGTGGTGGTGGTGATGATGTGGATGACGACAACAACACCAGAAACGACAAGTATAACAAGGCCAAGGAGGGCGGAAGTGGTAGTGCTACCAAGAACAACAACAACAACAACCAGTGGAGCGTCTTCCCCAAGGTCGACCCGGACCCCAAGGGCCTGCTCGCCGTGCAGGAAGAGCAGCGGCAGCAGCTGTTCAGGCCCGAGTCTGGACTGCAGCAGGGCGCGAACCTGCAGAAGTGGCTGTCGGCTGCGTCGGTCAGCCCCTTTGGTCCGCTTGACGGTGGTAGCAGCAGCGGCGGCGGCGGCGGCGGCGGCGGCAGCAGCAATAACAACAACAACAACAATAGCAGCAAAGGCGGTACGATGGTGGCGAGGGTCGGGACAGCTCCTGTCAAGGGATCCAAGGGGCCTTCGAGGTTGTCGGATACAAAGTGGCCGCTGCAAGGTTCGTGATCGGAGAGTCGATACGAGGATAACGAATGGAGGGAGGGAAAGACTAGTCGAGATGGAGACGGAACATAGTAATGGTCACTTTTGGGTGACGGGGGATGAAGCCTGGCAGGGAACAAGGAGATGTTTGTTCAGCCTTCTCGACATGTGCACTGCTTAAACCCTCTCGTTGCAAGGGCTGGCATAATCAATAACGCTTGGAGGAAGGGGCATTGTCTTGTCGTTGTTGGTCCCTCAATCACACGCACACACTCAGTTCTAATCATTTCTCTTCTCTTCTTCAATATAAGATAGACACTCGTTTATACCTACTGATCTAGATAAGTCTCCAGCTATCAACATGCCTCATACTTACTCATTCTTCTTACCGGTTCGTGTAGGTGTAAGACGCTATGGTAATCTCTCAACTTGCCCGACAAGAACCTAGAATCCTTGAACCAGGTCCACTAAGCCTCTCTCCGACATGTGTGTTTACCTTACTTTTCTGGTCTGTTCTTCGCAAGAGTCACGAGGATGAAGCCGAAAATGATAGCAGACTACATCTGAGAAGAGTAAAGGCAAGAAATGCATTGAGTGGTATCTCAGCACGCAGCTATCGAAATTTCATCCATCAAGCA